CGCTGTCCAGAGGAGAGTAGTTTATGCATTGTCTATGTATCTCTTCAAATCATGCACATAGCTACAATTTAAACTTTATAATCAAATGCAAGAGTCCTTCGTAGTGCAGGAGTAACCAAGACAATCAACACAGTGACGTAGCTAGCCCACAAATTTGGTCGTGCTATATGTAAATTTCTCAGAGCTCACTAACTGTAAAACAATAGATCTCTAAAGAAATGAATAATGATAATGATCTGAAATTTACATAGAACCAGCAATTTTGCGTGCCGGCTACACCACTGAATCAACATCTGCACACAAGTTTGTATATAAATAGCAATTTAAAAGTTTACTTAGTTTATAACTTCATTCCTTTTTAAATTTCCTTTAAATTTATAATATACAAATTCGATAAGTCTACTGTTACCTTCTGGGATTTTTCAGATTTCCAGTTCACACCATCAATGTTTGTCTGCAAGTGATATTTAGTTACAAAGCTTGAACTTGAACTGTCTCCAAAGATAGTGATAACGTTAACTGTATAAAGACTCGGAAAATTCAGTTGAAGGTAATGATTGCCATTAGCAGCAGGAGCACACCATGAACTACCACTGGATATTCTTGCTTTAGCAGCACTACGACTCTTTGGGAAGGCAGTAAACCAAGAATCTGGGAATTTTTCTGCGTTTTTAATAGAGGATTATCACAAACATGACCTTAAATAGAAAAGGATTTGGTTGAAATGCATTATAACATTAGAACTGGTTTGATTTGATAGAGAGCAATGGTGCACTCTCATATTGTTCTCCATTCACGTAAAATTGGAAAAATTAAAACTGTTTTCTTAAGAAAGAAAAAGAGCACAAGATATATTGGAGGAATACGACTGATTTTGCATGCTTTTATTAAATAAGGTTAAATTCCAGTTGGAATCAAGCCAGCTATGACAAGAAACCGTAAGTATCTTGTCAAATAACAACAATACCGTAGCGATTTAAATTCCATTAAAGAGTGAACGTCAATCGTATTGCAGAGGAATGACAATTGGACATTTTTTGAAGCACGAAATGAAGTAGCAAGAGTAAAATTAATTTAATCCTCAGTATTCGCAGCAATCCTGTTTTAATTATTTATTATTTAAGAGTAGCAATCGTTTATATTTTGTGATGCTATATTTCTTTTGTTATGTAAAAGAAGAATTGTGAAATTCTCCAAGTCAGCGTAAAATACAGTGACACTACGATGTCAGATGTAAGTCTTGATGATAGAGGTAAGTCATGATGCTTAACAATAGACAGATGTAAGTTGAGAAGACAAAAGTAACACATTCATTCCTTAAATTCTTCGCTAAAATCTTTTCTAACGTCATACAAATGTGTCCTGCAATACGTTAATACATTCAAAAAATTGAATGAGAATGCTTACATGTAACGTACGAGTATTGAGAGCAATCATTATTTTGAGTGATAGCACATTGAGATAAATCGTTCACTCGAGCATCACATTTGACAATTCCAGGTATAAACGATTGATGCATCAAAGATGATAGTGACATTGAGCCTCCCCCAGATGCTGCGGTAGGATAACCAAGTTGTTTACAAATAATCGTATTTATTTTGTGCAAAAGACCTTTGTTGCAAATGGTGAAGTTTCTAAACTTGGTAATAACATTCACGACACCTTCGTTTGGAAGATTCGACTTAGACAGGCGTACATCCATAACTACACAAATCAAAATTATTTTTCCTTTAATTGTGATTATGGCGCATATCTTAAAGTGAAATCTGTGTTTTTAGAAGTGGTTTTATGAACATAAATATGACAAATCTCGTCCATGAATAAAATATATACACGGAGTTTGAATATCAGAAGAACACAGAAGGTGACATTAACTTAAAAAAAATTTTAGTTTGAAAGCACTTAACCAGAAATGTTTTCCACATTCTGATGGACACAGTATCTTATAGATTTACACTTAAAGTTGGTAAGCACTGTTTTGATTTTAATCTTTAAGTTGACAATGAACTACAGGCAAATAAGTTGAACTGAGAACTTTTCTCTTGTGTTGTAAACACGAATCACAACAAAATGTGTCTAAGTGATTATGTGAATCATTAATGAAACCAGAACAAATACCGTTTTTTTATAGGTGAGCGCTGCGTTTAGCTTCCCAATTCATAGGAATTGTAATGAATCTATCTTTGTATATATATACAGTATATGTAAAAATTCTGTAGTGTGAAGTCATGAAAATATGAATACAAATGCAATTGTAAATGTCACTTTTGGCCTACATAGAATGGCCAAAAGATTTTAAAAGAAATAGATTTGATAAATCAAATTGACTGGAAGAAGATATGTTTCCATGAACAAAGTTTGCATTAACAAACTAAAACACAAAATTCACCAAACCATTAAACTTATGAAAAATATTTAGGACACAAGTTTAAATGTCACATTATAAAAGACACTAAATTATACAATACGAGATAAAACTGCATAAACAAACCACGCCTGGTGAAGACACCCGACGAAAATTCAAATTTGTGTCAACTTTTCTAAATTGATAACGTACATAGTATAAAATGAGCACCATACCATTGCGCATTAAGGTCAAAATTTGTCCCGAAGCTCTTTAATAATAAGCAAAATATAATCTGCCCATATAATACTTACGATTGCAAATTTTTCTGTATGGCATACTTGTGTAGTTACATTGATATTCAAAGTAAAGATATTTCTCCAAACCAGGACAAATATTTGAAGGAAATGATTATCATCAACAGTTACATTACATTTTCTTTCACCATCACAGTAATTTTAAGGTCACATGTTACATCGACACTACAATTGTAATCAAAACTGAGCCACAAATGCTTCCTTTCTCAATCCACGATATTCTGCAACTTTTATCACCATATATTGATTATTAGAACAACTAACGTCCGATATATTTTTCCATCACATGTTACTGAGCCTATTAAAGACACACAAAAATAAGTAAATTCAAATCTATACAAGCTTATTTGTGAATTCCTGTAAAATAAAAGTTGATTTGATAAAAATGAAGTGTGTGATGGCAGTGACTTCACTGGCGCCATTCCTATATCTGCGGCCTTGCAGTGGCTTTTAATCAGAGTTTAAGTATATATACGCTAACTGGATGAATATTCTCACTTGCCGAAATTGAATCGCTGATTCTCTTCTTTTTTACAACTGGTCAGTCTCAGTCTCCAGTTGAACAAAACTCCTGTAGGTACTATGCATGTATTATAGCGTGAAAAGAACAGACCACCCCAATTTGTTTGGGTTATGGTATTGATGGCTCCGCATTCTGCAGTAAAATTTCCATCAGATAACCCCACATAAATATCGTATCTCACAAGACACCTTGTTGTATTCGACCTATTGATGGAGCCAGATTGTAAAAATTTAAAAAAAGCTGACTTCTCAGAACAATTCATTGTATACAGGAAGGGAGAGTGTAAATAATCATAAACACACTTTCCTGACTGAACATGTTTGATGAAAAATCCATTCGTATCTGAAAAAGGACAATGATACATGATAAAAATGATTGAAAATATCACACTCTACAAAATATATATATAAAAATAATATGACCTTATGAAAAATAATTTAGCATACTGAATTCTATCAATATCGGAAAAAACACTCCAAAAAAAGCCACCTTGTAATTCAACCTTTCTAAAGAATAAAATAAACCAATTGCTGTTGAGGGTCATTTTAAAAATAATGGCGTATGAAACAATTTAAGGCATTCAGCATGGAGCATTGATCTAAAATACATGGAACGCTACCTGTAATACAAAACCCTAATAATTTTTTAAAGCCGTGATTTTACCCCAGACACGCAAGACTTTACCCCAGACACGAGTGTGTAGTCAATCAATTTTTACTCCGCGAGAGGAACTCGAAACACTAAACGCGCGTGTCTTGGGTAAAATCTCGCGTGTAGCGTAAAATATGGTTCAATTATATGCTTGGTGTAGCGTTCCATGTATTTTAGTTCAATGGCATGGAGACTGAAAAATTTTACAAACAAGTTGAAAAGTGTAAAAAATCAATTAATAAAAATTTCACGGCGCACGGTCTGTTACGATGGAAAAGGAGAGTTATGGTTTGTTTACGCAATTGAAATATTTGAAATATTTTAAGATTGTTTGCTGAACCTGATTTTTCATCTGTATAAACTCCCATGACTTTCGTTTTTGATGAAAAGGAAGTTTATCTAAACACTTATACAAATTTGTGCCCAGAAAAAGTTGATGATTTAGGTTAGTATTATTCAAACTTGAAGACAAGGAATATATAATTCAATGTAAAACTGAATTGTGAACTCTGTAAGCTGTACACTCTTTTTGGTGGAGTTCATTTAAGTTGTGCTGTGAAATAGTGCTCTTGATAATAAGAATACCAGAGTTGCACAATTTAAAATTCCAAACAATTTAAATAAATATCATGCCAGGGCTTATACAAAATCGTGAGGCTTTTTTACGGGTTTATAAAGGTTTATACATGCAGAGGAGAGATGCATACAAATATGTACAGGGATATTATACAGAGGGTTAATATACAACGAAATTTATTTCTACTGAAGTGATATAAGAACATTCTCCCGTTAAAATATTTAACAATTTTGGATTAAGTTGAGCATGATATAAAAGAATATTCAGACCGAGGTCAATTGGATATCTACCGAAGCAAATCTGAGGGGATAGCGCTGACTGCAGTCTGATTGAAAAATTTTGCGGTTCGCTTTCGTCTATTTCCTGTAAATACGCGATGAAAACTCTCTGGACAAACAGTTTAACACTTTCGGTGTTTTTCGTCTATATTCCCGATAATTTGAGCAGAGTAAAACACTTGAAAGTCTCGATGAAGATTCTACCAAAATATTTCTTGTATATACAGTTGTCTCATAAAGAAAATTCGTCACCTACAGGTAATTTTCAATGTTTTTCTAGGTGATAGTGTATTGACAATTATTTGAAGGCTTTTAGACAATCACAATCGAGATTGCATCACCGTTGTATTATAATAATAAAGCTTAACTAGCACAGATCAATATATGAACATCTTAACCCTAACCCTCACACCCATTAACAAACAACCAAAATCTTCCAACGTGATCGTTAATGAATAAAATCAATAAACCCGAAAATAACCAAGACACGCTCTTGAATTGAGCTTTTACTCTTTTACAGGTTTACATTATAATATATGTATGACGAATTAAACATACTTGGCTGTTTCGGGGTGTATTCTATTAGCTTTGCAACTGCAAAGAAATTCACTTAAGAGTATACGTACATGATGAATTGAATATAGGTCAAAGTGCCGTATGGATTTGAGCGAAGTTGAATATGAAGCATTATAATCACATTGGTGTACTATAAATTAAACTGACACAGGAGAAACTAAAATGAACTGCCTTGCATTTACCTTGTTTTAGGTTCACGTTGAAGAGAACATAACAAGTGTGATTTTTTCCACCGTATAAAACATACTTGTAAAGGATTTTGTGTTGTTTCATTCCAAAGCTAGTATATCGCATAAGATATGACTTTTCTATTCTTTCATTTATGTACTTATGTGAACACGTTAAGTTTTCTGGTTCTTTCCATTTTCGTAATGATTTTGTAAAAGAGGCCATTGTGACAAAACAGTAAAGTTCAAAATAATCGGGCTGCATCCACATGTCCCTAACAAAAATTAAGTTATCTTTAACTGGTTGTCCAGAGAAAAGAACAAGTAGAAAGTGACACTCATTTGGCCACAAAATGTTACATACTATTCACATTGAATCGAAAGTCCTCCTTAAACCCAAATAGACAATAACTATACAGACTTTATCATATAACTGCATATATTATATTTTTGACTCTACTGTCATATTACTTTGCTTTTGTAACTAGACAGAGGAACAATGAACGAGATATTATTCTGCGTCAATGCTGTGAAGCTAGTGTATCCAAATCAGTTGAGTACTTTAACATGTACCTTACGGGTTCAAACCATTTACTTTAGGTACCTTACTTTATTGCACTTTCTAAGAACACGGTTTCAATTACATATTTAAATTAAACAGTACCTCAGTAATATAAGTGTTGTGATTGTTTGCCTTGATGGCCAGTTGATGCTCTGTACTTACTGTAAACTGAACTGTTGTTTACTTTACCTTCAAGAGGACATATTTCACTAAACATTTTAAATCGCTCCAAAAGATATTTCTTCTCCTCAACACAACAACGTGTACGAGTATTGTTGCATTTCGAATCGATTTCAATTTTGTCCGCCACAAATTTCTTCCATTCTTCCTCACAAAACTCAAGTTCTTCATTCCAACCCATTTTCATTGTGAATCCTTGACCAAATAACAGCCACAATAACCACCATATCATTAAACTCATCATTGCATAGATCCAAGGATATACAGTAAAGCTCTAAATTATAATTGATTGTTGGATGTATGTACGTTATCACAGAAGACTTTAAATTTATATTTAGATCGACAATGACTACGTCACAATTACATCTGTGATGCAAGCAGATCACGATCAAAACGTATTTTGAGCAATATATGAGCATTATCTAAAAAGTCATTTCAGCAAAATTGTGTAGCGAGAAAAACTGTTCAGAAATAGATCGAGTTAGTCTCATATGGCTGCATGATGGCTCTCTTATTGGTAGCCACTGTAGCTATTATATAGGTACGTGGTTATAATTTTCTTAAAATAATGAAACTTGGTTAACTTTAAATTTATGCTTTATTCTTCTTACTCGGTTCAGTCTAAATTTCAACTTCTTGTGTTTCAAGAGATTTATTGAACGATGAAAAATGCTTTTAGTGGATAGCGCTAAGGAAGTGAAGAAAGCGAGATCAAATTAAAATCAAAGCAAATCATTTATTTTAGATACAATAGATTAAAAACCCAAGACGATGTTAAAATTCTTTATCTGAATATGAAAATAACAATTGTGCATGCAGAGCTTCCCATTAGCTATTTTATTTCAATTTCCTGTTATGTCATGATACATGTAAAAAACCTATGAAATCATAAAGTACTTTACAATTTCTTGTAACGCAGCCTCTATAGCTGTATAGTTATACCCGTATTGTCTCTAATGCTATACCCGTATTGGATTTTCATTCGAATTTTTAATTCATCGAATTCAACACATTAGCAGCTCTAAAACAGCTAAACTGCTCAGTTGACAAATTCAAAAAATTACAGTTGAAAAATTAACTAAATAAATTAAAAATTTCAAAAGATAATGACCAGAAAATAATTTTAAAAGGGTGTTAGATATTTACATTACATGCACCGCTGAGCTTTTTTTCTATTAAGGGAAGAGCTTACGAAATAAACGAACGTCGATATTAAGGGCAGCTAAGTAGTTTTGGGTTTCAGCGTTATCTTGAGATTTCTCAAATTCTTTTATAAAAACTTACAGAAATATCACAGAAAATCGTAGAAATGTTGTGCAACTTTTTACATTTTTTCAAGCTTATTCCTTTGCTTGCAGTTATTTGTGGAGTACTTGATGACAATGAATACTCCATAAGAATTGAAAATCTTAAGGATTTCTTTTAATTTTGTTCCGCTAAAGAACAAAATTTTTACAAAACAGTGGAATAGGATTTGCTTTTGAGGTAGTTGAGAGATTTGAGCAAAAATATGATAGTATATAAATATATGAATCAAAACATTAATGTGATAACCTGCCCAAATCCTACATCTAGTGGAGGTATTGTGGTAAATGAAAAAATCTCTCATTTCTATAAGAATCAAATCATTTGGGGGCGTAAGTTTGTGGTGTTTGTATTAACACTTATTTGTCCTCAGTGGTGAAAAAATTTGCAGTATTAAAGAATCTAAAAAGATAAGGAGTCTTGCGTTTGTACTTTCAAAAGAAACATGGTTGCCTTTGTTGTTGTTAATTGTAAACAGAACCTAAGGCGTCTGCAGAATACATTAAACAAAGAGAAAATTGAGCGTCAAGTCAGAGAACAACAAGTTCTGGATTTGCAAGTTTTATTGCAACTGCTGGCCAAGGCTGTTTCTCAAGTGTGAAGTGCCATATTGAAGTATATTCATCAGTTGCCATTTGCCCCAGTCAAGAATATTTTTAGAATTTGTTTTGCGTCAAAGTCCTATCCTTTCGAATCAACAATAATACTTTAAATGTTTGGAAATTTTGTTGTTATTATTGACAAAGCAATGTTATAGAACATAAAGTTTTGTGATTTTTAGATTACACTGTTTATAGCTATGAAGAACGAACACAAATAATGTACTAAATTTGAGTAAACACGTAAAGCAAGTTAAGTGATTTAAGTGCGCGTTGAGTAAAATTATATTGTTACAATATAAAACGTAATTTAAGTTTTTGACTATGTAATCCTACAATAGTATATAAATATATGAGTCATTACAATAATTTGTCCCAAATCCTACATCTAGCGTGGAGGTATTGTGGTAAATGAAAAATCTCTCCATTTACTATAAGAATCAAATCATTTGGGGGCGTAAGTTGTGTGGTGTTTGTATTAACACTTATTTGCCAAACTCAGTCGAAGAAAAAATTTGCAGTATTAAATAATATAAATAAGATAAGGAAACTTCCGTTTTACTATAAACTACATCACATCTTACCTTTGTTTTTTTATTAATTGAAAAACGGACACAATAAGGCGACTGCAGATATACACCTTAAACAAACAGAGAAAACTTAAGATACATACAAGTCAGACGAACAACAGAGTTGTGGCTTTCGCAACGTTTTACTTGAAACTGCTGGCCAAGGCTGTTTCTTCAAGCGTGCAGTGCCGTATTGAGTATATACAAACACTCATGCCATCTGCCCCAGTTATTCAACATTTTATAGAATTTGTTTTGCGTCAAATCCTATCCTTTACGAATCAACAATAATACTTTAAATTTTTGGAAATTTGGATGTTGTTGTTGGTTGACAAAGCAATGTTATAGAACATAGAGTTTTTGACATTTTAGAGAATTACCTCTGTTTATAGTTACGAAGCAACGAAGCACAAATAATGCATCTAATGTGGGCAAACACAGCAAAGCAGGTTAATGACTTCAAGTGCTCAATGACGAAAAATTATATTGTTACAATATAAAACGTATTTTAAGTTTTTGACTATCAACTTTACCAACCGTAAATTCATATTTGCTGAGAGTCATTAGCAAAATTTTAGGCCCTAAATACAACAAATTGTGTCGGACCGAACTATACAGTAAAATTTACATCGTAATACCAGCTGTAACTTTATTGCCTACAGGTGTTTGTTTAAACAATAGACACAATACGACTGCAGCGAGAATACAGTGAGAAATGACAAGAAAAACATCGCTTCAAGAATAACGACTTATGAATGAAAAATGGTTTAAGTGATTGGGTTCAGCGGTAAAGAATTAAGAACAACAATTTAACATTTCAATATTAATTTTAATTTGGTAAAAAACAAACTTCTAGTTGATGCATTGGACAGCCCCTCTGTTGGATATTATCACAGTCTACTACAACAAGCAAGGATCATTTCAATTTAGGCAATTTTCACAATTTTTTTCGTAACTTAGCTATGTTAATTAGCTGTAAAGTGTTGTTCTTAACTGTTGTTCCTCGAATCAACAATAATAGTTTAAATGTGTTAGAAAATTTGGAAACAAAGAAAAATTAAGATACATACATTGGTTGACGAAGCAATGTTATAGAAGATAAGTTTTTGATATTTTACCTCTGATTAGACAAAGCGCCGAAGCAAAATTAATGCAAAGTGCTAAATGACAAAAAATGATATTGTTCTCATAGGGTATTTTAAGTTCCCAAATATTAACTTTGTTAACACTAAATTTAATTTTTGCTAACATTCATTGGTAAAAAATTGTAACCTCAAATACACCAAGTTATGTCGAACCGAACTATACAGTAAAATTTACAACATGAAATCAGCTTTTTTTATTTCTTACAACTTTTTGTTCACAAGACGACAGCAGCACAAATACAATGAGAAATGGCAAAAAAATAATGCATCAAAGAATAATGACTTATGAATGAAAAATGGTTTAAGTAATTGGGTTCAGTGGTAAAGAATTAAGAACAACAATTTAACATTTCAATATTTTCTTCGTAACTTAGCTATGTTAATTAGCTGTAAAGTGTTGTTGTTAAGCCTACGTTTTGATGTGAACAGGTGGAAGGAAAAGCATGTAGAAACACATAAATTTTAAAATACCAAATTAAAATTAGTTGTATTATAAGGCCTTTACTAATTGGGAATTCTTTAAAGAGAAATATCGGATCATTTAATTCTTTATGTGCAGACCTCGCAGGCTTGAAGAGCGAATAAACAAGTTAATAAAAGGTTTATTATAAAGTATTATTTAAACTGAAACGATGCCTTTCTTTACTTTTTTGTCCTCGCTGTTTTGTAAAAGTTGGCATTCTCTCCTGTTTTCTTTTTGTTTTCAAATTTTTTGCTGTTTGTTTTTCGAAATTTTTTTAGATGTGTTTGTAAAATTACCTGTTATGAGCCGCTGGTTTGAATTGTTATAGATCGAGAGACTGTATATGGTCATTGTCAACATTAAGTCATTAACAACATTTAACTATGTAATAACATGGTGGCCTCTTGCTATCACAGGGACGTTTACTGACATATTTTCTCATCAAAGTATTCATTAGGGACGTTTAGACTAAATATTCCTCGTCAGTACAATCAATAGGGACGTTTAGACTAAATATCCTCATCAACAATGAAACAATACGCCTATTCCTGTATTGCATACAATTTCCACGGAATTATGAAAAAAATTGACTCAATTCTGATCTATGAAAACGCTTAATAGTTGATGTCTTTAGCCTTTAAAAACCACAATATTTCGAGGGAAGGCCGATATCATGTAAGCTGCTAAACTCTGTCAAAGGAAAAAATTGCTCTATATTAAATGCTAAGAAAGCAACGAGGCAAACAAACATTCGTTTTACCATCAACTGCAGCCAACGTAATTTATTACATCTTACCTTTTGTTCTTTTATTGTCTTTACGTCTTTGTTTGAAAAACGCACACAAAAAGGCAACTGCAGAAATACGCCTTAAACAAACAGAGAAAGTGAATATTCGTACAAGTATGGTAAACAACAGAATTGTGGTTTTCGCAAAGTTTTACTTGTAACTGCTGGCCGAAGCTGTTTCCTCCAGTGTGGAGTAGCGTGTATTGAGAATATATAAACATGCACTTATGCCGACTATACACACGGAGTAAATAAACACGCAGCCTCTATAGCTGTATAGTTATACCCGTATTGTCTCTAATGCTATACCCGTATTGGATTTTCATTCGAATTTTTAATTCATTGAAGTCAACACATTAGCAGGTATAAAACAGATAAATTGCTCAGTTGACAAATTCAAAAAGTAACAGTTGAAAAATTAACTAAATAAAGTAAAAATTTTAAAAGATAATGACCAAAAAATAATGTTGAAAGGGTGTTAGATATTTACATTACATGCATCGCGGAGCTTTTTTTCTATTGAGGAGGGAAGAGCTTACGAAATAAACGAACAATTTAGGGCATATAAATAAACGATATTAAGGGCAGCTAAGTAGTTTTGGGTTTCAGCGTTATCTTGAGATTGCTCAAATTCTTTTATAAAAATTTACAGAAATATCACAGAAAATCGTAGAAAGGTTGTGCAACTTTTTACATTTTTTCAAGCTTATTCCTTTGCTTGCAGTTATTTGTGGAGTACTTGATGACAATGAATACTCCATAAGAATTGAAAATCTTAAGGGGATTTCTTTTTAATTTTTCGCTGGTTCCGCTAAAGAACAAAATTTTTTACAAAACAGTGGAATAGGATTTGCTTTTGAGGTAGTTGAGAGATTTGAGCAAAAAATATGATAGTATATAAATATATGAATCAAAACATTAATGTGATAACCTGTCCCAAATCCTACATCTAGCGTGGAGGTATTGTGGTAAATGAAAAATCTCTCCATTTACTATAAGAATCAAATCATTTGGGGGCGTAAGTTGTGTGGTGTTTGTATTAACACTTATTTGCCAAACTCAGTCGAAGAAAAAATTTGCAGTATTAAATAATATAAATAAGATAAGGAAACTTCCGTTTTACTATCAACTACATCACATCTTACCTTTGTTTTTTTATTAATTGATAAACGGACACAATAAGGCGACTGCAGATATACACCTTAAACAAACAGAGAAAAATTAAGATACATACAAGTCAGACGAACAACAGAGTTGTGGCTTTCGCAACGTTTTACTTGCAACTGCTGGCCAAGGCTGTTTCCTCGAGTGTGCAGTGACGTATTGAGTATATACAAACACTCATGCCATCTGCCCCAGTTATTCAACATTTTATAGAATTTGTTTTGCGTCAAATCCTATCCTTTACGAATCAACAATAATACTTTAAATTTTTGGAAATTTGGATGTTGTTGTTGGTTAAAAAAGCAATGTTATAGAACATAGAGTTTTTGACATTTTAGAGAATTACCTCTGTTTATAGCTACGAAGCAACGAAGCACAAATAATGCATCTAATGTGGGCAAACACGGCAAAGCAGGTTAATGACTTCAAGTGCTCAATGACGAAAAATTATATTGTTACAATATAAAACGAATTTTAAGTTTTTGACTATCAACTTTACCAATAGTAAATTCAATTTTGCTGACAGTCATTAGCAAAATTTTAGGCCCTAAATACAACAAATTGTGTCGGACTGAACTATACAGTAAAATTTACAACATGAAACCAACTTTTTTTATTTCTTACAACTCTTTGTTCACAAGACGACAGCAGCACAAATACAATGAGAAATGGCAAAAAAATAATGCATCAAAGAATAATGACTTATGAATGAAAAATGGTTTAAGTGATTATGTTCAGCGGTAAAGAATTAAGAACAACAATTTAACATTTCCATATTAATTTTAATTTGGTAAAAAACAAACTTCTAGTTGATGCATTGGACAGCCACTCTGTTGGATATTATCAAAGTCTACTACAACAAGCAAGGATCATTTCAATTTAGGCAATTTTCACAATTTTCTTCGTAAATTAGCTATGTTAATTAGCTGTAAAGTGTTGTTGTTAAGCCTACGTTTTGATGTGAACAGGTGGAAGGAAAAGCATGTAGAAACACATAAATTTTGAAATACCAAATTAAAATTAGTTGTATTATAAGGCCTTTACTAATTGGGAACTCTTTGAAGAGAAATATCGGATCATTTAATTCTTTATGTGCAGACCTCGCAGGCTCGAAGAGCGAATAAACAAGTTAATAAAAGGTTTATTATAAACTATTATTTAAACTGAAACGAAGCCTTTTTTACTTTTTTGTCCTCGCTGTTTTGTAAAAGTTGGCATTCTCTCCTGTTTTCTTTTTGTTTTCAAAATTTTTTGCTGTTTGTTTTTCGAAATTTGTTAAGATTTGTTTGTAAAATTACCTGTTATGAACCGCTGGTTTGAATTGTTATAGATCTGAGAGACTGTATATGGTCATTGTCAACATTAAGTCATTAACAACATTTAACTATGTAATAACATGGTGGCCTCTTGCTATCACAGGGACGTTTACTGACATATTTCCTCATCAAAGTATTCATTAGGGACGTTTAGACTAAATTTTCCTCGTCAGTACAATCAATAGGGACATTTAGACTAAATATCCCCATCAACAATGAATAATACGCCTATTCCTGGATTGCATACAATTTCCACGGAATTATGAAAAAAATTGACTCAATTCTGATCTATGAAAACGTTTAATAGTTGATGTCTTTAGCCTTTGAAAACCACAATACTTCGAGGGAAGGCCGGCATTATGAAAACTGCTAAACTCTGTCAAAGGAAAAAACTGCTCTATATTAAATGCTAACAAAGCAACAAGATTAAATGAAGATATGATCTTCGCACTTTGCTGGACAATTTAAGCAATCGTCTCAGGACCTGAAAAAATCAGGTGACTCAACGGGATTCGAACCCATGACCTCTGCGGTGCCGGTGCAGTGCCTGAGCTATGAAGTCACACAGTGGTGAGCAGGTCAATATTGTTGGGCTCATGTTTTCTCGGAAATGAATGATGCAGTGCGAAATTAAATGAAGATATGATCTTTCGCTGGACAATTTCGGACCTGGGTGACTCAGGTTCGAACCCATGCGGTGCCGGTGCAGTGCTCTGACCAACTGACCTGCTCACCACCTGCTCACCACTGTGTGACCTTCATCTCGTGACTAGCTCAGGGTCGAATCAGGCGCCATCATTTCGTCAATGTTTGGTAAACATTGTCCTTCATATCAAATTTACATTTACATTTTCTTTTGTTTATTACATCTTACCTTTGTTCTTTACGTCTTTGTTTGAAAAACGCACACAATAAGGCAACTGCAGAAATAAGTCTTAAACAAACAGAGAAAATGAAGATTCGCACAAGTATGGTAAACAATAGAGTTGTGGTTTTTGCAAAGTTTTACTTGTAAGTGCTGGCCAAAGCTGTTTCCTCCAGTGTGGAGTAGCGTGTATTGAGAATATATAAACATGTACTTATGCCGACTGCCACAATTATTTAACATTTTATTGAATTTTGTTTTGCCTCAAATCCTACCCTTTACGAATCAACAATAATACTTTAAATGTGTTAGAAAATTTGGAAGCAGAGAAAAATTAAGATACATACATTGGTTGACGAAGCAATGTTATAGAAGATAAGTTTATGATATTTTACCTCTGTTTAGACAAAGCGTCGAAGCAAAATTAATGCATCTAAACTGGGTGAACACGGCAAAACAGGTTAATGACTTCAAGTGCTAATGACATAAAATGATATTGTTTCCATAGTGTATTTTAAGTTTTTAAATATCAACTTTGGCAACAGTAAATTTAATTTTTGCTAACATTCATTGGTAAAAAATTGTAACCCCAAATACACCAATTTCTGTCGAACCAAACTATACAGTTAAATTTACAACATCAAACCAGCTTTTTTTTATTGCTTACAAGTGTCTGTTCAAACCAGTGACACAATAAGACAGCTGCACAAATAGAAAGAAAAAATAGCAAAAAAATATTGCATGCAAGAATAATGACCTATGAATGAAGAATGTTTAAGTGATTGGGTTCAGCGGTAAAGAATTAAGAACAATAATTTAACATTTCAATATTTATTTTAATTTGGTATATGACAAACTTCTAGTCTATGCATTGGACAGCTACTTTGTTGGATATTATCAAAATATACTACAACGAGCAAGAATCATTTTAATTTAGTCATTTTTACAGTTTTCTTCGTAACTTAGCTATGTTAATTAGCTGTAAAGTGTTGTTCTTAAGTCTACGTTCTGATGTGAACAGGTGGAAGGAAAAGCATGTAGAAACACATAAATTTTGAAAAACCATATTAAAGTTAGTTGTATAATAAGTCCCTTACTAAGCAATCGCGAATTCTTTAAAGAGAAATATCGGATTAGATATTTCTTTATGTACAGACCGCGCAAGCTGGAGATCGAGTAAGCAAAGTTAAGAAAAGGTTTATTATAAAGGATTATTTAAACTGAGACAAAACTTTCTTTACTTTTTTGTCTTCGCTGTTTTAGAAAAGTTGGCATTCACTTCTGTTTTCTTTTTGTTTTCAAAACTCTTGTTATTTGCTTTAAAGTGTTTATATTACGAATTTTAGCCCCCTTTTTTAATTAGCTAAATTGAAAGACCTTGTTTCAGTGATTTTAAATCTGCAATTAAAATTGAAATTGGATAGGTGAAAGTGATTTTACGGACGTTCAAAGTCACGATTTTCAGCATTTTTTTACGTAGAAAGTTGAACACATATATCAACATGGCGTATTCTACTAGTAATCTTAATTAAAAACGCGGAGGAAAACGCTGTGTTGCTGGCGGACCTAATCAAATTAGTTGCGCCAATGATTCAAAAACCGAAGAAATGTCGATGCATCTGTTTCCTAAAAAAGAAAAAGAGCCGCAAAGACATAGAAAATGGGTAAATTTTGTGCGTAAACATAGACCGGGTTTTGAGGCTTCCTCTACCTCGTGTTTGTGTTCTGCGCATTTTGAAGATTCTTGTTTTGACCTTAATTTGAGCGTGCAAGTCAACCTCAAAAGAAGGTTGAAGAAAGATGCTATCCCAACCATTGACGTGGCTGGGATTCCTGAACCATTACAGGACGAAATAACCGATCGAAAGCGAAGACAAGTAAGTTTACGCTTGTTTATGTAAATTTTTCTTCTGTCATATGTAAATTCGATATAAGTTTTGTAGATTATTTGACATACTCTCCATAAGCCATCGCTGAAGGAAACATGCTCTTTCAATGAGGAAGTACCATCTACTAGTGATGGAGCTGAGCATGTTGAAGTATGCACTGGGGAAGCAAACGATTCGCCATTTGAACGGCTTGCTATTTTCCATTTTTACATTTATGCTATGATTCAATTCCATATATTTTTTCTTTTGTCTTTTTTCCCAGACTGACATTGAAGAAAAGATTTTCTTTCATTTAATTCTTTCAGCTTAACCTCTCAGTAGTTGCACCAATTTGTTTTTATTGTTTACTCTTGTTTCAAACCATTAAACTGCATGTCAAATTATATAGTGCATCCATGTATCTCCTATTTGGTTTTCATCTAGGCATATTTCCTGACCATTCCAAACTCAGCAAAGAAGGTCAACAGTCTCTACAGTGCACAAGTTAAAAGACTATTCCATCATCGCCCCTCTGATGGTATGTAACCTGTTGTGTTACCACTTGGATATGCTTTCCGAATAAAGTGGTAAACACAAGCAGGTAAAGGCAGAGTATTCTTCCATTCCATAGACCCACAAAACCATCGCATCAACCATCTGTTTGCCACAGCTCTCAAGTACCTGAAGTAAATAAAAAGGTTGGACTAATTATTGTTGATGAAACAATGTTGATGATAATATTGTTTCTCATACAATTTACAATCTTACATATTTAATGATTGTGATGCTTGGCGGCGATAAGCACGTCCATTCCTATCTCTCAATAGTGGCCTGACGTTTTCAAGGACAGCCTCATGAACTAAAGGCCCAAATTTGGCATGCTGTGTTATGCATGATATTTTCTCAATGCTGCCATCGAATGTCATTTTCTGCTAAGCTGGTCCTATTTCCTTACAGCATCTGTACTCTAATGCGCCTTCTAACAAATCGGTATGACAGCATTGACAATTACACCTGAAACGTGGGAGCATTCTGGTTTATAAAGTAACTTTATGTATATTACAAACAGGAGAAAACAACAACTTACCATTCACCAAGTGGAATTACGCCATCACTTCGTTGTTCTAATGTCGCAGGGAGAATTCCATCGGGATCATCTGGAGTATGCACTTCATCACCATCTCCTGCTAGCGGTTCATGGTCATATGCGAAGTCGTTTAAATGCTCGACATAACCCACGGATTCCGAGCTCGAATCAGATACGCATTCAGACATCGAATTCGAATTATCTGAGCACTGATTTGAGGCCATACTTTCCGGAAAACTTGTTTTTTAATATTTTATTGAAAATATTGTCATTATTTGTTTTTAAGACAAGAAAAACTACAACAAAATCACCTCCTATAATATAATATTATATTGACGGAAACAGACGTGTTCAACTATCTACGTCACAAGTATCAATATGGCGTCGTAAAAAATTCGCAAATAGTACCCGAATTTGGAGGAAAAATTAAGGAACTTATATTTATCTGTTTAAGTCCAGCGACATGTCATAGTTCTTCAAATAATCCAAATTTTCAATTAAGCTCATAAAAAAGGGCGGCTAAAATTCGTAATATAAGCACTTTAAGAAATTTGTTTCCATTTATTTGTAAAACTACATGTTATGAACCGCTGGTTTGAATTGTTATAGATCTGAGAGACCGTATATGGTCATTGTCAACATTAAGTCATTAACAGCATTTAACTATGTAATAACATGGTGGCCTCTTGCTATCACAGGGACGTTTACTGACGTATTTACTCATCAAAATATTCATTAGGAACGTTTAGAGTAAATATTCCTCATCAATACATTCAGTAGGGACGTTTAGACTAAATATTCCTCATCAGTACATTCATTAGGGACGTTTAGAGTAAATATTCCTCATCAGTACATTCAATAGGGACGTTTAGACTAAATATTCCACATCAGTTCATTCAATAGGGACGTTTAGACTAAATACCCTCATCAAAAATAAAACAATACGCCTATTCCTGTATTGTAAACAATTTCCACGGAATTATGAAAAAAATTGACCCGCTCTTATCGGCCTGTGCAAACAATGGCTTTGATAAAACATTTTTTTGTATTTGACCACCAACATGGCGGCCGTGACGTAAACATGCAGCCCATGCACCTTTTATTGTTTTCAAATTTTGATTTCGTCATGTAAAATTTGCTTAAGCTTCATCTTCATTTTATCCACGGCTTAATCATTGCGAATTCTTCTCTATGAAAACGTTAAATAGTTGATGTCTTTAGCCTTTGAAACCTCAATACTTCGAGGGCAAGCCGGCATCATGTAAACTGCAAAACTCGGTCAAAGAAAAAATTTGCTGTATATTAAATGCTAACAAAGCAACGAGGATAAACAAACATTCGTTTTACCATCAACTGTAGCCAACGAAATTTATTACATCTTACCTTTTGTTCTTTTATTGTCTTTACGTCTTTGTTTGAAAAACGCACACAATAAGGCAACTGCAGAAATACGTCTTAAACAAACAGAGAAAATGAAGATTCGTACAAGTATGGTAAACAATAGAGTTGTGGTTTTTGCAAAGTTTTACTTGTAAGTGCTGGCCAAAACTGTTTCCTCAAGTGTGGAGTAGCGTGTATTGAGAATATATAAGCATGCACTTATGCCGATTGCCACAATTATTTAACATTTTATTGAATTTTGTTTTGCCTCAAATCCCACTCTTTACGAATCAACAATAATACTTTAAATGTGTTAGAAAATTTGGAAACAAAGAAAAATTAAGATACATACATTGGTTGACGAATCAATGTTATAGAAGGTAAGTTTTTGATATTTTACCTCTGTTTAGACAAAGCGCCGAAGCAAAATTAATGCATCTAAACTGTGTGAACACGGCAAAACAGGTTAATGACTTCAAGTGCTAATGACATAAAATGATATTGTTTTCATAGCGTATTTTAAGTGCTTAAATATCAACTTTGGCAACAGTAAATTTAATTTTTGCTAACATTCATTGGTAAAAAATTGTAACCCCAAATACACCAATTTCTGTCGAACCAAACTATACAGTAAAATTTACAACATCAAACCAGCTTTTTTTTATTGCTTACAAGTGTCTGTTCAAACCAGTGACTTAATAAGACAGCTGCACAAATACAAAGAAAAATAGCAAAAAAATAGTGCATCAAAGAATAATGACATATGAATGAAGAATGTTTAAGTGATTGGGTTCAGCGGTAAAGAATTAAGAACAACAATTTAACATTTCAATAATTTTTAATTTGGTATATGACAAACTTCTAGTTGATGCATTGGACAGCTACTTTGTTGGATATTGTCAAAATATACTACAACGAGCAAGAATCATTTTAATTTAGTCATTTTTACAGTTTTCTTCGTAACTTAGCTATGTTAATTAGCTGTAAAGTGTTGTTCTTAAGTCTACGTTCTGATGTGAACAGGTGGAAGGAAAAGCATATAGAAACACATAAATTTCAAAAAACCATATTAAAGTTAGTTGTATAATAAGTCCCTTACTAAGAAATCGCGAATTCTTTAAAGAGAAATATCGGATTAGATATTTCTTTATGTACAGACCGCGCAGGCTGGAGAGCGAGTAAGCAAAGTTAAGAAAAGGTTTATTATAAAGCATTATTTAAACTGAGACAAAGCTTTCTTATTTAAACTTTATTGTCCTCGCTGTTTTGGAAAAGTTGGCATTCACTTCTGTTTTCTTTTTGTTTTTAAAACTCTTGTTATTTGCTTTAAAGAAATTTGTTTCCATTTGTTTGTAAAGTTACCTGTAATGAACCGCTGGTTTGAATTGTTATAGATCTGAGAGACTGTATATGGTAATTGTCAACATTAAGTCATTAACAGCATTTAACTATGTAATAACATGGTGGCCTCTTGCTATCACAGGGACGTTTACTGACGTATTTCCTCATCACAATATTCATTAGGAACGTTTAGACTAAATATTCCTCATCAGTACATTCATTAGGAACGTTTAGACTAAATATTCCTCATCAGTACATTCAATAGGGACGTTTAGACTAAATATTCCTCATCAGTACATTCAATAGGGACGTTTAGACTAAATATTCCTCATCAGTACATTCATTAGGGACGTTTAGACTAAATATTCCTCATCAGTACGTTCAATAGGGCGTTTAGACTAAATATTCCTCATCAGTACATTTAATAGGGACGTTTAGACTAAATACCCTCATCAACAATAAAACAATACGCCTAATCCTGTATTGTAAACAATTTCCACGGAATTATGAAAAAAATTGACCCGCCCTTATCGGCCTGTGCAAACAATGGCTTTGATAAAACATTTTTTTGTATTTGACCATCAACATGGCGGCCGTGACGTAAACATGCAGCCCATGCACCTTTTATTGTTTTCAAATTTTGATTTCGTCATGTAAAATTTGCTTAAGCTTCATCTTCATTTTATCCACGGCTTAATCATTGCGAATTCTTCTCTATGAAAACGTTTAATAGTTGATGTCTTTAGCCTTTGAAACCTCAATACTTCGAGGACAAGCCGGCATCATGTAAACTGCAAAACTCGGTCAAAGAAAAAATTTGCTGTATATTAAATGCTAACAAAGCAACGAGGATAAACAAACATTCGTTTTACCATCAACTGTAGCCAACAAAATTTATTACATCTTACCTTTTGTTCTTTTATTGTCTTTACGTCTTTGTTTGAAAAACGCACACAATAAGGCAACTGCAGAAATACGTCTTAAACAAACAGAGAAAATGAAGATTCGTACAAGTATGGTAAACAATAGAGTTGTGGTTTTTGCAAAGTTTTACTTGTAAGTGCTGGCCAAAGCTGTTTCCTCAAGTGTGGAGTAGCGTGTATTGAGAATATATAAGCATGCACTTATGCCGACTGCCATAACATGGTGGCCTCTTTCTATCACAGGGACGTTTACTGACGTATTTTCTCATCAAAATATTCATTAGGGACGTTTAGAGTAAATATTCCTCATCAATAATAAAACAATTCTGAAGTAAACAGGTGCACAGAAACACGTAGAAAAACATAAAATAAAACTCAACATCCGCTGCATTATAGGGCTTTATTTAACAAATCGGAAGGTTTGGTAGCATTGCATTCTTAATAGAATGTTATGAGAAATAATCATATTTACATAGGGTGTTAGAATACAAAATGAGACAGTGTCAAATAGATTATATAAATTACGAAGTTAGGAAGCAAAATATAGTGAAATTAAAAGTGTTGAATAGAACTGCCTTGGACAGATGTTAAGCCATAATAAAGGAAACATAACAAAGGTCCACTTTGCTGAGAAACTTTCTGCTGTACATATAATTAGGTAACAGACTGCCGTTAGCCAGCTCAGCACTCCTATTACTCAAAAAAAGTCAATTTACTAGCTTCCAATATAGTAATCATACGCGCAATGAGATATACGTAGCACAAAAAAATCAATGGACTTGCTCTACTGTATTTTTACTATACTGTCGATAAGTGAAGACTTGTAGCTATTGATAATGAGGCTCTCATTAAGGGAGAGTTTGTATGAATCGTGAGAAGAGGAAATTCTTTCTAAGTCGTCCATGTTGGGGGTATCTCCAGATATGTTTATGTTAGCAAAAATGCTCGATAACGCAAGGCGTGACGTCTGGTTACCTTCAAATGGAGATATTCTCATGTGCTACAAAAATCCGATGTGTAAATGACGCTTTATTTGACCCACATACAATACGTACAGCTACAACACTTTAATGAACACACAACATCCAATCTCTGAGGTTTGAGATTTTTTCCTAAAAGGGGAAGAAAGAAAATAGACGTTAAGAAAGGTGGAAAAAAGTTTGGTACCAACTACCTAGTTCAATCTTTCGGTGGGTGTTCCTGCCAGTGTTGAAAAACAAGGAGAGGGTCTGACAAAAAACTATAAGAGAGGATATGTTTTTCGATCACATGAATTTTTCTTGTTTTGTAAAATCTTGTGTCCTTGCTTCCAACCCATTTCTTCTTTTTCGTTGATCTCTAGTCTACAGCAAAACACAATGCTCCTAGCACTCTTGCAATCAAATCATCAGAAAATTCAATTCGATAATTTTGGATGATTTTATAATGAATATTATAATGGGATAATAAGCGAAAATAGGAAAGGACAAGAACAGCAACATTTTACTACCACTAACATAGTTGGTAAGAAAGTAAACTCCATCCACTAAAACTTCTTGTTTCTTACGTCAGGTAAATTAACGAGATGACAGTGTGTACATATTCATACATATTCCACTGACTCCAAAATTATGAATGTATGAAAATTCCATCCCCCAAAGAAAATTAAATTACTGAGCATGCTACGCCACTGTTTGTTTGTAATTTAACTTTATTTCTTATTTCATGTATTTAGATAAAAAGTATTACAGCCGTTATCCTATTTCAAATATTGACTTCATCCTTATTCTAAAAATTTGATGTTATGTTCCAAATTGTTTTCAAATACTGTTTAGAATCATTCACTCTCGTTCACTCTTATAGTTAAAAAGGTAATAAATTTTATGTTTAATAATATTCTTTTTTAGTACGCTAAATTTCAGAAAACGCCTAATAATTTCTCGAAAAAAATTCAACTTCCTATATTTTTGAGAAATTTTAGTAGCCGTCAAATGATCATAGTGAAGCCTACAGATAAGATTGTCAATACTTTGGTTATACGGTTCATAAACTATGGTGACTATATGATTGGTTGATACACTATAGAGACTATACGATTGGTTGACACACTATGGTGACTATATGATTGGTTGACACACTATGGTGACTATATGATTGGTTGATACACTATGGTGACTATATGACTAATTGATACACTATGGTGAATATATGATTGGATGACACACTATGGTGACTATATGATAGGTTGATACACTATAGTGACTATATGATTGGTTGATACACTATGGTGACTATATGATTCGTTGATACACTATAGTGACTATATGATTGGTTGATACACTATGGTGACTATATGATTGGTTGATACACTATGGTGACTATATGATTGGTTGACACACTATGGTGACTATATGATTGGTTGATACACTATGGTGACTATATGATTGGTTGATACACTATGGTGACTATATGATTGGTTGACACACAATGGTGACTATATGATAGGTTGATACACTATGGTGACTATATGATTGGTTGATACACTATGGTGACTATATGATTGGTTGACACATTATGGTGATTATATGATTGGTTGATACACTATGGTGACTATATGATTAATTGATACACTATGGTGACTATATGATTGGTTGATACACTATGGTGACTATATGATTGGTTGATACACTATGGTGACTATATGATTGGTTGATACACTATGGTGACTATATGACTAATTGATACACTATGGTGAATATATGATTGGTTGATACACTATGGTGACTATATGATTGGTTGATACACTATGGTGACTATATGATTGGTTGATACACTATGGTGACTATATGATTGGTTGATACACTATGGTGACTATATGATTGGTTGACACACTATGGTGACTATATGATTGGTTGATACACTATGGTGACTATATGATTGGTTGATACACTATGGTGAATATATGATTGGTTGACACACTATGGTGACTATATGATTGGTTGATACACTATGGTGACTATATGATTGGTTGATACACTATGGTGAATATATGATTGGTTGATACACTATGGTGACTATATGATTCATTGATACACTATGGTGACTATATGATTGGTTGATACACTATGGTGAATATATGATTGGTTGATACACTATGGTGACTATATGACTAATTGATACACTATGGTGAATATATGATTGGTTGACACACTATGGTGACTATATGATTCGTTGATACACTAGGGTGATTTTATGATTGGTTGATACACTATGGTGACTATATGACTAATTGATACACTATGGTGAATATATGATTGGTTGATACACTTTGGTGACTATATGATTGGTTGAGACACTATGGTGACTATATGACTAATTGATACACTATGGTGAATATATGATTGGTTGATACACTACGGTGACTATATGATTGGTTGATACACTATGGTGACTAGATGATTGGTTGATACACTATGGTGACTATATGACTAATTGATACACTATGGTGAATATATGATTGGTTGACACACTATGGTGACTATATGATTCGTTGATACACTAGGGTGATTTTATGATTGGTTGATACACTATGGTAACTATATGATAGGTTGATACACTATAGTGACTATATGTTTGGTTGATACACTATGGTGACTATATGATTGGTTGATACACTATGGTGATTATATGATAGGTTGATACACTATGGTGACTATATGATTCGTTGATACACTATGGTGACTATATGATTCGTTGATACACTATGGTGAATATATGATTGGTTGACACACTATGGTGACTATATGATTCATTGATACACTATGGTGACTATATGATTGGTTGATACACTATGGTGACTATATGATTGGTTGATACACTATGGTGACTATATGACTAATTGATACACTATGGTGAATATATGCTTGGTTGACACACTATGGTGACTATATGATTCGTTGATACACTAGGGTGATTTTATGATTGGTTGATACACTATGGTGACTATATGATAGGTTGATACACTATAGTGACTATATGATTGGTTGATACAGTATGGTGACTATATGATTGGTTGATACACTATGATGACTATATGATTGGTTGATACACTATGGTGACTATATGATTGGTTGACACACTATGGTTACTATATGATTGGTTGATACACTATGGTGACTATATGATTGGTTGATACACTAGGGTGACTATATGATTTTTTGATACCCTATGGTGACTATACCTGGAGAGTATAGTCACCATAGTGTATCAACCAATCATATAGTCACCCTAGTGTATTTTCATACATTCATGTATTTTGGAGTTAGTGGAATATATATGAATATGTACACACTGTCATCTCATTAACTTACCTGACGTAGGAAACAGGAAGTTTTAGTGGATGGAGTTTAATTTGTTACCAACTTTGTTAGTTTAAAAAAAATGGTACTTTAAAGCATGTTCTTGTCCTTTCTTGTTTTCTCTTCTTATCGTCATGATGATATTTATAGAAAATATCCAAAACTTTCGAGTTAATTGAATTTCCTGATTATTTGATTGCGAGAGTGCTAGGAACGTTGTACTTCGCCTGTAGATTAGTGATTAACGAAGAAGAAGAAATGGGTTGGAAGCAACGACTTGACATTTTAAAAAACATAAAAAATGTATGTGTCAGAAAGCTCTATATGTTTGTAAATGATGATCGTCCAGGTTAATAAAGTCCTGAGAAGGACTGTTTTTGTTGTTGTTGACTGACGTTTCGACAACCTTAGCGGTAGTCATCTTCAGAGTCATTTGACTAGTCAAAAACAGTCCTTCTCAGGACTATACTAACCTGGACGATCTACATTTACAAACATGTAACTACAGAAATATGTTATATCAACCGTACTGAAACAACAATTTTCCTCATTTGACTCTGAAGATGACTACCGCTAAGGTTGTCGAAACGTCAGTCAACAACAACAAAAACAGTCCTTCTCAGGACTTTATTAACCTGGACGATCATCATTTACAAACATATAGAGCTTTCTGACACTTACATTTTTTATGTTTTTTAAAATGTCAAGTCGTTGCTTCCAACCCATTTCTTCTTCTTCGTTAATCACTAATCTACAGCCGAAGTACAACGTTCCTAGCACTCTCGCAATCAAATAATCAGGAAATTCAGTTAACTCGAAAATTTTGGATATTTTCAATGAATATCATCATGACGATAAGAAGAGAAAACAAGAAAGGACAAGAACATGCTTTAAAGTACCTTTTTTTTTAAACTAACAAAGTTGGTAACAAAGTAAACGCCATCCACTAAAACTTCCAGTTTCCTACGTCAGGTAAATTAATGAGATGACAGTGCGCACATATTCATATATATTCCACAAACTCCAAAATACAGGAATATATCAAAATCCCCTCTCATTAAAATAAAATACTGAGCATGCTACGCCACTGTTTATTTGTAATTTAACTTTATTTCTTATTTAATGTGTTTAAATAAAAATTATTACAGCCGTTATCCTATTTCAAATATTGACTACATCCTTAGTCTAAAAATTTGATGTTATGTTCCAAATTGTTTTCAAATACTCTTCAGAATCATTCACTCTCGTTCACTCTTATAGTTAAAAAGGAAATAAAATTCTATGCTTAATCATATTCTTCTATAGTACGTTAAATTTCAGAAAACCTCTAATAATTTCGCGAGAAAAATTCAACTTCCCCCATTTTTGAGAACTTTTAGTAGCCGTCAAATAACTACAATACGCAGTTCACTGCACTGTAGCAGAATTTAAATTAATCCTAATAAAAAGAATGACCAATATGACAAGAATAATGAGCAAAATTGCAGCTACAACTACACCAGCAATAGCACCAGTATTTCCACCGTCTACAAGATAAAAATGAATGACAAATCATAACATTACCAACCAATGCTGTCACCAAAGATTGCGATAACGTTAACTGCATAAAGACTTGGGAAATTCAGTTCAAAATAATAATTGCCATCTGCAGCAGGAGCACACCATGAACTACCACTGGATATTCTTGCTTTAGAAGCACTACGACTCTTTGGGAAGGCAGTAAACCAAGAATCTGGGAATTTTTCTGGGTTTTTTAATAGAGGATTATCACAAACATGACCTTAAATAGAAAATGGATTTTGTTGAAATTCATTACAACATTAGAACTGGTTTGATTTGATAGAGAGCAATGATGCAATCCCATATTGTTCTCCATTCACAAAAAGTCGCAAAAATTAAAAATTGTTGTCTGAAGAAAGAGAAAGAGAGAGAGAGCACAAGAAGTATTTGAGGAATACGCCTGATTTTGCAATGGTTTTATTAAATAAGGTTAAATTCCAGTTGGAATCAAGCCAGCTATGACAAGAAAACGTAAGTATCTTGTCTAATAACAGCAATACGGTAGCGATATAAATTCCATTAAAGAGTGAACGTTAATCATCGTGCAGAGCAATGACAATTGGACATTTTTTGAAGCACGAAATGAACTAGCAAGAATATAATTAATTTAATCCCCAGTATTCGCAGCAACCCTGTTTGAATTATTCAATATCCAAGAGTAGCAATAGTTTATATTTTGATATATTTGTAAATGAATAATTGTGAAATTCTCCAAGTTAGCGTAAAATACAGTGACACCACGATGACAGATGTAAGTCTTGATGATTGAGGTAAGTCATGATGCTTAACAAAAGACAGATGTAAGTTGAGAACACAAAAGTAACACATTTATTCCTTAAATTCTTCGCTCAAAACTTTTTCTAACGTCATACAAATGTGTCCTACAATACGTTGAATAGAAGAGGTACACAAAATTCAGTACTTGACATTGGCAAGTACTCATGTGTATAATGTAACCTCAAGTACTCATGTGTATAGTGTACGGTGAAGTACTCATGTGTATAGTGTATAGTCAAGTACTCACGTGTATAGTGTACGGTCAAGTACTCATGTGTATAGTGTACGGTGAAGTACTCATGTGTATAGTGTATAGTCAAGTACTCACGTGTATAGTGTACGGTCAAGTACTCACGTGTATAGTTTACGGTCAAGTACTCATGTGTATAGTGTACCCTCAAGTATACATGTCAATCAACAGAACGTCTCATCGTTATTTTCTAAATCAATGTTGTCCTACAACAATATGTTTACAAAATCTTTGTGTTTGAGAGTAACAACCAATGAAAACTTTAAACATACAACATAAGTATTTGTAAACTCTAAATGATAAAAAAAAATTGCTTACCTGTTTTTTAAAGACAAGAAAAGCAAAACTAAAAGCAAAACTTTGTCGTTCGCCATTTAAAAAAAAGGTTACAATTTGCATGCCTTCATCGAAATGAATTTGTAAAAAATCGAAAAACGCAATTTCTCCATGTACAAATAATCAAATCTTTAAAATACAAATCTTTTTTTGACAATTGTCAATTGACCAGCGTATAAACTTAACTGTCTCGATGACACTGAAGAAAATACTGCAGTGTTGATTTGAAACAAATTACTCAACAGGAGATTTTAAGATGATATCAACCCATAGACATATCGGCACAATACCGCATTCTTTAAAGGTACAAAATCCACTTCTTCTTAAGATCACGTGATCACGAAGATTCTTTAATGATTTCTAGTCTTCTCGGCCCGTATAGCAACACATATGCACAATGCCAGTCACCTAAAGGAGAAACAGCCTTAACCAAGGATCATTAAAATAAAGCAGACATTCAAATAAAATCAAAGCTATTTTCTATGACATAGAAGTGGGGTGTTGCAATTGTAGAAGACTATCTGCGATAGACTATTTCTGTTGGGAAAGACGTCTTTCGTGCAAAGTATATACATGTTTATTTGATTTTATGGAATGCACGTTAATGCTACTTTAATCTTCCCTATTGTTATGCTATGCGGCATAAATAAACATTGATTTTCGACTAATATTCTTGATTATTCCTTCGCGCTAATGAATTTTCTAAACGACTATTGATAAGTCAAAGCGTAAATGGATAGTTCAATGTGCTCCAATGATGAGCAAATGATGTATTAAAATAGACTAGATTAAAATTATTTAAGAAATAAAAGATTTTTACTGTGTTTGCACAGGCTTATGAAAACCGAGGAGACCTTTGGGAGAACTCGAGAGAAGATCAGTGCAAGCCCGAGACCGAAGGTCGAGGGTTGCACATGCTCGAGATTTTGTTTCGCTTTCGTTTCAACGTCTCAATTGACGATGAAACCCACGCAAAATAAGTCTTTTCCTAGCTGAAAAGTTTTAGCCGGCATGAAGAAAGGTAACATTATATTTGAAAGAATGTCTAGACATTGTGATACGATATTGATTGCAATATATATAAAGATTGCAATATCATTGAGAGGCTCTAACTCAAACACAAAAAGAAGCAAAAACATGATCATAAAGCATTGACAAAATTTTCAAAGAACCCTTACTCTAAATTCAACTAAAACTTCAGCAGCAGATACCTAACACAATGATAATCACCATTAAAACTTAAGCAGAGGATGATCTTACCTCCCCCGGATAATTTCAAAACATCTTCTTCAGTAATGTGCGTTATTTTATCGTCGTCGCACTTAATCCAAGAGTCTAAAATATACAGTAAATGGTTTGAATCCGGGGGGAGTATAGCTACATGTTTGTGGATGTAGATAGAGCCCTGAGAAAGACTCTTGTTGTTGAATGATGACTAAAGTTTCGACAACCTTAGCGGGAGTCATCTTCATCTGAGGTAGTCGAAACGTCAGTCAACACCAAAAACAACAGTCACTCTCAAGAGTCTAAAATATATAAACAGAACATAAAAATGCATTGCGTTCCCTGCAAAATTAGTTACAGACATTGATTACACAACTTAAGCGCATGTTTTCATACTCAAAAGTCGGACTAAATTACGATTGAAAAAAAAACAGAAACTAAAGGTGGAAGTAGAAGCGTTCGCCCCACCTACCACGTGTAAACTAACACCTGTCATTTCAAGACATGATTAATGATATTAAACGGACGTTTTCTGCCCACACAGATTTATTTAATATAAGACCAATGCAAGGATTCCCACTTCATTCCACGTCCATCGTTTCTACGTTTTTACTTCATCATTCTCTTCGTTTCAAAAGTTTTTCACAAAAATGGCTTTGAGTTGGAGGTTTTCTGTCATGTTCTGCTTCAGTGTATTAGATCTGGGTAAGTTGTTGGAATTTAAATCATCACGAACAAGTGAACACTTTTTGGTAGAAATTCACTCAACTTGTCGTGAAGTTCTTTTGTCTTGAAGTTACTGTGATTTGAAATGATGACGCCACAGTTGATGCAAAAACAGCAAACGGACATTTTAGATTCTTTATTCAATGATTTTTTAATACGTAACTCGTGTTTGCATGAGACTTGTCTCTACGCAAACAAATACTTGGTTTCAACTTAAATCATATCAACTTTCACAAAACGGCGCTCAATGCTTCAAACGTGACTAACTTCAACATATTTCATTACACTCAGTAATAAAACAATTACTTCGTAGCTAAAATACATCAATCCTAACTAAGCAGTTTCTTTTGCCTTGACCACAACGTAATCATCCCAGTGAATTAAAACTGGCGCTCATTCTCGAAAGTAACCGCCCCCTTGAGCCCCCCCCCCACGCACACATAGTAACCGCCCCGTAAAAGAATTCCCCCTTAATGGAACCACCCCCCTAAAAGGAACCACCTTACAAAACAAAGTTTTTTCGAATAAGTAAAAATAGACTGTCAAATTTCATTTAGCAATTTCCTAAAGAGTTCTTACAAGAACAAATGATGAGATAGAGCGTTTATAATCGAATTTCCTTCTTTAGCTTGTCAAAGTGTAGTTTCAAAATCGTTGTTCGTCAGTCAAAATGGCGCAGATTTTCCATCGTGTGGTTTTAGAAATCGTCCTTGTCGAACGATCAGACAAGCCATAACGATTGCAAGGCCTGGTGAGAAGATTCTCATTGAATATGCGCACAAGCCATATGACGAATGCCAAGATTCAAGAACAGTTACATATCTTAACAAGTCCCTAACGTTCATCGGTCACAAAGGCAAACCGACAGTTGAATGCAAAAGAGGAGCTCAATTATTCAAAATACCATCACTGAATGAAAAGATCACCATAAACACGACGAATTTGATTCTGATATCTTCAAACTCGGTCATTCGCTGCGATAAACGATCAAGATTCGCACTTTACATCAGGAACTGCGTTTTCCGAGTTTCCAATACAGCAATCGCAGCAAAATCAGCTCACGATTGTTCCATCACGATCCTCAAGAGTACTTTTATGGTCGTACGTACCCATCGGCGTCAATGAGTTGTCTAAATCTAACAGCACATCTTGTCGACAGTACGTTTCGCGCCAGTCCTGTCTCTCTTCGAACAATTATGGAAAAAGACACTCTACGTTCAACATACGACCGTTTTCGTGTCAAACTGTCATTTTCATGGCGAGCAAAGAAAATGTGCGGATCGCTTCTACAAATATTGCCAATGGCAGTCTATAGTAATGTCACAATTGTAAGCAGCAAATTCACAGATCATTTTGGAATATGCACTGGAACTAAAACAGGAAATACGCTTTATATCAAGGGGAACAAGTTCGCAAAGAAACGAAAACAAACGCTTATTCATCTAAATAACCTAACACTAAAGACAACCGTTGCACAGGAACAATACTTCGACTTGAGCCGCTGCAAAAAGTAGATATCTTTGATGTTGTTGTTTCTAATTCGTTATTTGAAAACACATCATCCGTTTTGTACGTATATTTTTATCGTTCGCGTGGTGGCCTTCGAGGCAAAGCTGTACGTTTCGTCAACAACACTTTCATAAACACGCATAAATATCGCTCAAGTCGTTTTAACAATCTCCATTTAAATCCTGGAAAATTTCTGTTCACAAAATGCACGTTTATCGATAACTATGGCGGAAATGAGCCCAACGATGCTGTCATTGTCGTCTCTTCATACAGTGTTGCCGTTATATTTAGAGACTGTTATTTCGAGAACTCGAATCCTGCATCGTCCTCGACGCTAATCTTCTCACAAAAAAAGAACTTCGTGCTGTTTCAAAAAAACAACACGTTTAATATCACCGCGACGCAACGTGAACTAAACGTCATCGCGTACATTTTCACGAAGCCCGATAAAGTACGTCGTTTCCGTCTTCAGGACAACTTCAAGATCCTTTGTCCCTACGGATATGTGATGTCCAAAAAGATGTTTTGCCACGAGGTCAAAAATAAGGCATACGTTGAATGCAACGAGTTCGTGGTAAAATGTAAACCATGTCAGCGGAATACTTATTCGGTAAGTCGTGCGATACTTCATAACAATATCACCAACAGTATCAATTGTCAGGACTGCGCGAATGGCGGTCAATGTTACAATGGTCACCTGACAGCAAAGCCAAACTACTGGGGATATAAAGTCAACCAATCAGTCCGTTTCATACAATGCCCACACGGTTACTGTTGCCAAGGCAATGACTGCGTCACATACAGTAGTTGCCATGGAAAGAGACACGGTAAAATTTGCGGGGAATGCCCGCATGGCATGTCGGTATCGTTGTTTTCTGCAGCATGCATTCCAAACGCTAACTGCGGTCATTATGATGCTATTCTCTTTGGCCTCGGCTACATTATTGTTTATTTAGTGTTTTTTCTCTACCATAAAGAAATAATTCGATTTGTCAAGCGAATTTTTTTCACTTCTTCGAAAGAAACCAACAGCGGAATGCTGAAGATCGTATTCTACTATTACCAGATCAGCCGTTTCTTGGCGAGTCCAACTAATTTTGAATCCGGGCAAACAGCGATGACGGAAGTACGTAATAAGATCGGAGAAATTTTCAACTTCATCATCATGAGTATTCAATTCCTGGAATGTCCAATTCGTGACCTTAATGACGTCACAAAACAAACAATCCTTCACTCGCTGGGCTACGTCCTTCTCACATTTCTTGCCGTGCTGTTCACGGCAACAATTTTAAAGAATTTCGTCTGTAAACGCTTTAAATCTTACACGTCACGAGACATCCCGTTTTCCATCGAGACTGATGCAAGAGACGACGGAAAAGACCAAAGTTTCGAGGCGCGCATTGCTTCAGCATATACGCTCATCTCCCTCCTTATGTACGCATCATCCACTCAACTCTGTTTATCCTTGCTGCATTGTGTTCCATTGGATGATGAGCAAGTTCTCCACATTAACGGCAACGTTAAATGTTATCAGCTATATCAATATATTTTCCTGGCATATTTCATAACATCCATACTGCCGTTTTGTCTTGTTCCTGTTCTCGGATCGCATCTTCTACGACTCGAAGAGATCACCGTCAAGCACTTCTGTATCGCTGGCCTCTTCCCTCTACCCTTCTGCTGCTATTGGCTGTATCTATTCACAAGGATACGCGGTTTCACGAGAATGGGATACGACCATACGATGCAGGATATATGTGAGATAAACACGAACAATGAAGAAACAAACATCGAATGTCATACCGCAAAGAGTACGAACAGTATTTCTAGGATACTTCATGTCTTACAGGGTCCATTCAGACTTTATAAAGCCGATGAATGTTCCACAACTTCGCGCATACCGTGGGAAGGATTTCTCATCTTTCGTAGACTGGTTTTAATTGTCGTGCTGACTTTTCTCTACGATGTTAAATTACGAATGCTGGTCGCTTTAACGATCTGCGTGGCGATTTTGATATGTCACATGCTGTTGTTCCCCTTTCAGACCAAACGCGATAGTATCGTGGAGTCTATCTTTTTAGCTATACACGTTATTTTATGCGGGATCACTTTGGTCAAGACTCTTTATCATGAAGAAGGTAACGGTTCTTATAATGCGGAGAAACTCCTCGCGTTGGATGCAATACGAGATATAATAATACTTTCACCGATATTTATTATATTAATGGCTGTTGTTCTTTCACTTGTTATAAAGATCTCGAATGGATTAAAATGTTTTGCAACGGGCTTGTTTAGAAAAATAAAACGCACAGGAAATTGATGTAACGTTAGACTTGACCTTTACGAAAAAAGCTCGCAGAAACGAGACATATGTTGACAATATAAAAACAAAAGCGAAGCTCGCGAATCTTTTGTGTTTAAACGTTTGAATCGAGATGTTTATCAACCCGATGCAATATGTTTAGTACCTAAGGTCAGATGGGGTTGAAGAAAGAAACTATAGTCCAATGATATAAGACTTTACTCCCTATTACACCCTTTGATCTATGCAATATAATAACCTTTACTCACTGTTACTCCCTTTGATCCATGCCACATAATGACCAGATGACGATGATCGTCCTTGATGAGTCAGAACAGCTTGCAACTGGTAAAAACCACTGTTATTAGAGCCAGTGTCTGAAAATCAAACAAAGATTAGAAAGGTTCATGCATGGATAACGAGGGATCCGTTACTTCATACATGAATAGCATGGGTAATGTAATTCATGCATGGACGAGGAGGATAATCTACTACATGCATGGATGAAATGGGTAATGTAATTCATGCATGGATAAGAAGGGGTAATGCACTTCATGCATAGACAAAGAGGGTAATCTACTACAAGCATGGATAAAAGAGGTAATGGACTTTATGCAAGGATAGGGAGGGTAATCTACTAAATGCAAGGATAAGAAGGGGTAATGTACTTGATGTACGGTGACAGAATTCAAATTGAACACTGCTTATAATTTTTGTAATTCGAAAGAAATTTATGCATTTAAGGAACAATACTATTATTTTAAATATATCAGAAAAAGATTACATCAAGATAATATACAAAATTAAGTATGAACGATTTTAACGTATGAATCTACTGGTCATTAAACCAAAAGTAAAAAACTAAAAGTGACATTTTGTCGTTTCATCAAAGGCATCAGTTTTTACGACACAACGTTTTTCAAGAGCTATTTGTAAATGTTTCGGCTTAAGAATAGAAGCTGTATTCGTCATGTCAGCTTCCACTCTCTGATACTTCATGTTTACCAATGCCATTCCGTAACTATATAACATCCGGGAAATGACATCGAACACAACCATCTTCGCGAGAGTCTCTCCGACACAAACGCGACTGCCTGCCGAGAATGGAAGCGTCGAGAAAGGCGGCGGTGTCGAATAATTTCCACAGCTATTCAAAAATCGGGCTGGCCTAAAGACATGCGGGTCATGCCAAGTTCTTGCGTCATTATGAATAGCAGAGGCATTTACGATTACAGTCGTGTCTTTAGGAATGTGAAAACCGTTAATTTTTGCATCGGATGTTGCCCTATGTGGTAGAAGTAAAGGTACAATAGACCCATATCTTAACGTTTCTGTGATGCTTGCCCAGAGCAAAGGTAGTCGATGACGGTCGGAAAATGTCGGGGGAGAATCGGGGCCTTGAACTTGCATCATCTCTTCGTAAATCTGATCTTGTATATCTGAATGAAAAGCCAAGAGATACAGCCCCCACGTGATCACTGACGTCGAGGTTTCAATTCCCGCTAGAAAAATATCTTTTATCATACAAGTTATTTCTTCCTTCGTTAAAATGACGTCATTACTCTTACTATCCATGATGTCATCTGATTGCTTCTGAAACGCATGCGTCAAATCGTTGTCTTCCACTGGATTTGCGGTTTCGTGCTCCCCGTATATTCGCAAAACAATCGTGTCCAAAAGATTAGTGGCCGACTTAAGTTTAATCACGCTCTTCAAAGGCAATCTCCTAAGCAACGGGATGGCATCAATGAGGTTGCCAGGGGCAACATACTGCTGCACAACATCAAAGTTGTTCATGAGAGCATGGAATTCTGGGTCATCTTTGTCATATTTGAACCCAAATGTTATGGCACAAATGATGTTAGCAACACAATGGAATATATCTTGCGGGATGTTTCTTGGAGTGACCGTTTTTTCTCCCAGGTCAGCCAAAAGATCCTTTATGACGTCACAAGCCTTATTTTCAAGACTATTACCAAACGTCCTGTAAGCAGCATAAAATATTTTACGTTGTTTCTCCCAACGCTGAGAAATTTCTTTCGAAAAAGCGATATTCTTACCATCGTGACTAAACAAAATGGCCGCGTAAGGTAGATTCAACGGTCGTCCACCAAAAACAAATGATTGATTCACGAGTACCTCCCGAGCCATTTTCGAGCTGCTCACGACAAGCGCACGCTCGCTTCCGAAGTAGATTGTGATTAGATCGCCATATTTCTTAGCAAGCTTTGCCAAATCAATGTGAACGGTCGTACCAATCAGATTTAAGTTTCCCAGAAAGGGAAGAGGAAATGGACCAGGTGGCAAATCACGTGACGTGAAATGTGACCAATAGAAAAAGAGAATTCTTCAGAAAAAATATATCAAAATAATACCAACTAATACTTCGATCATGGCGCAAAACGATATCAGAAATGCTGTTAAGCGTTTTCTGAGAGTCTACGCGTGCCAACGCAAGATAATTGCAATGTGATCCGATTGAAGTTTCACTTTTTGGAGTGCAAAAAAACTCACGTTTCAAAAATCAATAACGTACAAATAATTCTTTGTCCAGGAGAGCACTTCATTCAGAAAACAAACGATGTAGTGAATAATCTTCTCCCCAACGATTTCAACTCGTATATTTTAAAGGCCTTTATATGGAACATTCGTCAAAACGCTATCAGTGAGTGTTGAAAAGGAAATAACGATTGTCCTCACTTTATCCAAAACACTTCTCCAAAATGAAGTCAACAGTGTCCAAATTGTTGCGATAATCGATTTATTGCGCGTACCACGAAATAACAACAATACACGGTTAGATTATTTACCTCGAAAAGAGGGCAACGCTCCACGTTAATGCTTTTCTTCGCCACGAATTAAGGTTTTACACAAAATGTGTACTTAAGTAGAATTTGTCAACCTTGATGCCAGTCCAAGAAGATTGTAAATATAAAATACGTTCGCTTGTTAACCAGACACGCTTCGTTACATACTTAATCTTTGGCAAAGTGGCAAAGCCATTATCGTAGCAGAAGTGATGACGCCAGACCGACACAATGTTGCATCATGGGCAATCAAAAGGACATAATTTTACTAACAGATTTGAGCCCCGTTTACACGACAACTGTCTTGGGCACGGCACGACTAAATTTTGGCACGCGGGCCACAAATACTGGCACGGCACTCTTAAATTTTGACGTGTAAACGGCTAAGTAGACGGCCCGCGTGCCAAAACATTTTGGCGGGCCGAGACCTTCTCCAGAGGTAGTCTCGGCACGCCAAAAACATGGCACGCGGGCCCAAATTTTTTACGCACGCGCATTATGAAGAAAGATGGCGGCTAAAACAAGAGGAAAGCAATGGTCGGACGAAGCAACACATTGTTTAATATCATTGTGGGCAGAGGAAACTATTCAAGTATCATTGGATGCATGCAAAAGTGCGCGGGCAACGTCTAACGTGTATAAAATATTGCTGGTGAGTCATTAAAGTAACTGTTCATTTATAATGTTTTTAATAAATATTAAAATATAAAGTGTGTGAATATGGAGACAAATACATAAATGCACAAACCATGCTGCAGTCTTAATGAAATATTAACATAGCATTTTCTGCCAGACGTTTTGAAACTGGATATACATGCATTCAGCTTATTAATTGGATATCATGATTCAATTCATTCAGCTTTATCATTAAATTTATATATGCCAAAGGATGCAATGATCGAATGAATTTTCAATCTTGCAGAAGTTATAATTGCCTATCCACTGCCTTCACTTGAACTAAAGTTTGAACGCAGTTGTTATTATTTATATGCCAATAATATAAAGCAATATATTATTCTGTGTTATTTTACAGTCTCAGTTGGAAGAAAATGGATATAAAGGGTTTACCTTAAAGGAATTGATAAATAAAATAAAGAAATTACGCCAGAGATATAGGAAAAAAAGAAAAAGCAATGTAGAGAAAAGCTTAGAGGCTATATTTGCAAAATTTGAACAGTCGTCAGCAGCTGAATTTGAAAGGTATTGAGCAAATCATGTACGAGTCTCAATATGAAACGCATATGTGCTGAGTAGGGATTTATTTACAGATTAATGCAAGGAATGAGGTACTGTATATTTCGATCGTGCATGAATATGTGTGTTGACATGTTGGCACCTCTCTGTGACTTGAGTTGACAAATGCAAAATTGTTAGAAAATGGTCTTGCTAAATTTAATATTTTAGGGAAAAAACCGAAAAATTACAAAATGATGATCGCATATGAAATTTTCTCGCGCATTTAAATATTACGACATTTTTGTTACTGGCATTGTAAATTGTCTTTAGGTATCAGAAGTTTGAACAGGATCGCATTGATAGAAAATGAATTTCGATTAAAACAAATTCAGCTTGAAAATGAGAGAAGAAGAGAGGAACGGGCACATGAGCTAAATATGATGCGTATGATGTTATCATCACCAGCTCAACAGCCTTCTGCTCCGATAAATGGTTACCAACAACATAATTATCATATTAGGTACAGTGTTGATCAATTTGGTTCTAAGTATATCCACGTGACAGCAGCGTTCAAAGTGATTCAAACACAGAAAAACCTTTTGCAATTGTAATACTTTGTTATCATTTAAACTGCTGATATTTCTTCATTATATTCGTTTTTTACCTGCTTTTCACTGAACAGGTGGACATGTTTTAAATATTTCAGTAACTGCTTTTAACAGGTTATGTCAGTCGTTTAACGGCACGATAACAAAATGCAGGGTCTTTACAACTTACAAGTGTCTTTCAAATTTAATTTTATTTGTTATTTCAATATTAACCTCATTCAAATGATTTTGGTAACAACATTTTGTGGAATTGTTGAATTCATGTAACGTTAAGTTTCAAACGAATATTAAAGAACTGTTTAAGAAAAATAGTTTGATAAAGCAGCACGAATATCGTGAGCATCTTCTGGTTCTATTTCATCAATTGGCACCACAACAAAAGCATCATCAACAATTTCTACCGAATCCCAGTCGGGCATGAATTCGTTCTTCTGAAGTTCACATATGTTATGTAAAATGCATGATGCATGAATAATATCGACTGAAGAAGCTACTTCCATATCTAGCCTTTTACTAAATCTTGAATAGCGTCCTTTCCATCTCCCAAATGTGTTTTCCACGGTCATTCTTGCACGACTAAGATGGTAGTTAAACTTCTTCTGTTCCTCAGTAGCCCCATTTTTAGGATACCCTTTTATCAACCACGACAAGAGAGGGTAAGCTGGGTCACCTAGGAGAAACGGTGCTATTTCCACTCCGCTAATTTCCTTCACAATGTCGGGAGGGAAAAGACGTTTCTTATTTCCATTTGAGAAAAGTGTAGAGTTAGAAAGAATTCGCGCATCATGGACGCTACCAGGCCATCCTATAACCACATCCAGGAACATGTAATTACAGTCAGCGACCGCTTGCATCACGATACTGTGAAAACCTCTACGATTCACGTACTCTATGTTGCTATTAGCTGGTGCTAATATTGGTATGTGCGTGCCATCTATTGCACCAGCACACATAGGAAAACCCCATTGCTCTTCGTAACCTTGCAAAACTTGAAAGAGGTCGTCTCCCTTAGGAAAAGTTGCTTTGGGAAAGTGCTTTATTATTGCACAGCTTACTTTTTAATGCACTGACACACTAATGAACGCGAGACGCCAAAAAGATTAGCAACAGTTCGATACTCTGCTGTACACGATAAATAATACAACGTTATGGCCAGGCGTCGTTTTGCAGAAACTGGATTACGCATGGGAGTAATTTTACGATCTATTTCTTGACGAACCCTGTTTGATATAAATTCAAACGTGCTTTTTGTCACGCGAAAATTTGCGTACCACAGTTCATCGTTGTAGAGTTCATCGACCATATCAAACCAAACTAGTGAACGTGGATGCATCCACAACAACCTTTCTCGTGGTTTATGCAAATAGGCCAGTACTGCTTTGATTAAGGCAAATCGACGCTTATTTCTCTTAAGACATGATACTCCTGAAGAAACGCAGCTTCTAAACCTCGTTTGAACGGTTTGCTGTTGTTTTCGGAAGTGCATATACCAAGCTAAAGCTATCTTTACCTTATCATTATGTAAGTTCGCCATGTTTGAAGTTTCGAATAATCCGCCAAATTTAATTTTTTTTGTCATCCGCCGACACTTATTTTTTGGGGCTCATACTTTATGCAGGCCGTTTTTATAAATCAGGCGTGCCTATTAAAAAAATGGCCCGCTTAAAAAACTGACGTGTAAACAAAGCGGACCTAATAAAAGACAGTGGCCCGCGTGCCAAAATTTAGTCGTGCCGTGCCCAAAACAGTTGTCGTGTAAACGGGGCTCAAAGCCTTTAGACGAGCCCAATAAGACTGGAAATACAAACGTGTTTGCTTGTTAAAAGATGCGCGCTTCATTTCATCTTTAATCTTTTGGCAAACCTTGCGACCATTATATGTTAAATGTTTTTTTGAAAGGAGGAAACGACAGAAAATATTCTTGAATCACAAAAATTCGGCCGTTCTGCCGACAATTTAAAAGTCAAATTTTTCTTTGATGTTTGTTTTAAAAGATATTTCAAAAATTTCAAGCAGTTTGCGTCATGAATTTATGAACTACGAATTACTGGCTGTGTTCCAAAACCATTTAAATAAAACCTAATAAATCGAATCTATTTCATGCAATCGATAGTTTCTTAATCTTAACTATCAAATCCAATTCTATAGTAACTTACCATCAGAAAACGAGTATGGTTGGTATTCCTTTATCTCAGAATCGACATCCATTTTATCAACACTAAATTTATTTCCCTCAAGCTTAGCTTTCTAAATACGTAAAAGCACAAACAATATATGTTAAAAAAAATTCGATCAAACAAAAATATTTTCTAAAGCGTATACGTAGATACACCATAATCAAAATCTTCAAGTACACTCGAGTACCCTCAGGTACCTTCAAGTACCCACTTCAACAGCTCCACACCTATTTTACCCCACCTCACCCTTTTAATGATCACACATTTGAAAGATAGCAAAAAACAAACCCTTGACATACATTCACATCCAAGTCTCTGAACAACAAGATTATGTGCATTAAGCATGGACTTTGTCAGGTTCTCAGACGACATTGCATAAGGAATGGGGATTGAGTATTTCAAAAAAAGTAATATTGAAGCATGTGAATTACATATAAAATGCGAAAACAATTTGTGTAAAAATTTACTTAGTCCCCAGCCTATTTTTATTTAGCCTCCCGCCTTTACTAATCCCCACTTGAAAGATAACAATAAATCCCACAGGGAGAGGGGGGTAAAGAAAAAAAATAAAACATTATTGGTATCCTCAAGTACTCAAGTTTATAGTGTATCCTCAAGTACTCATGTGTATAGTGTATCCTCAAGTACTCATGCGTATAGTGTATCCTCAAGTACTCATGTGTATAGTGTATCCTCAAGTACTCATGCGTATAGTGTATCCTCAAGTACTCATGTGTATAGTGTATCCTCAAGTACTCATGTGTATAGTGTATCCTTAAGTACTCATGTGTATAGTGTATCCTCAAGTACTCATGTGTAGTGTATCCTCAAGTACTCATGTGTATAGTGTATCCTCAAGTACTCATGTGTATAGTGTATTCTCAAGTGCTCATGTTTATAGTGTATCCTCAAGTACTCATGTGTATAGTGCATCCTCAAGTATTTATGTTGTAAGTTTGTCCTCGGTACTCATTGTATAGTGTATCCTCAAAGTACTCATGATGAGTGTATCGTAGATCAAGTAAAACAAAATTTTATAGTGTACCGTCATGTAAAACATTTTAAAGAGTTTCATTAGTAGTTATGTATGAGTATTTTCAAAACACATGTGTATAGTGTATCCTTAAGTACTCATGTGTATAGTGTATCCTCAAGTACTCATGTGTATAGTGTATCCTTACAGACAAGATTTTCGAAGCATTTGGGAATATTTTCCCTTGCAGGTAACCAAATGTCAAGCCTGCAACGAAAACAACCGTGCATCAATTAACATAGAAAGCCTGCAAATTTGTCTTGCTATGTAAATAATCTTTACTAACTGTATTAAAACAACAGATTTCTAAAGAAACAATGCAGATGATTTACAAAGCACAACCAAATATGAGGGTATTATACGTTACTGAGAGCAAAGTTCGAATACAAGGACGATATTTAAAGTCGAAATTCGGTAACTTCCATACAACATACGATGATCATGAATAGCGTTGGACGATTATCAAAATAAACAGCGCATGATTAATTTTTAGGAAATTATTACGATATTCGATAATATCGCGATAAATACGATAACAAAATGCACCACATTGTTTTTAAATTTTGATCAATAAAATGAACTAAACATAATCAACAAAGTAACTAAAGTTTTATGATAGTTACTCAATATTCAATAACAGTTACCGGATGACACAAATGCAGCGGGCACACAGCGCAAGCAAAGCATGCAATTTCATTGTTTAGCGCATCAATACATAAATATCAGTGACTTAGTCTAGCTTTTGTACTTTATATCGTATTAATTTGGTAAATTTATGTTTGAGCTACGTTTTCCGGAAATAAAAGAATCATTTGGGTTCTATAAAGCTAAATGTACATACAGGCAAAGCAATATCATGATAGTCATCAAGCATGACAATAACTTCGATAAATCGATTTATCGAAATATCACAACCCTAATCATAAATGTGTCAAAGTGTTGGTAAACATCAAAATCCCTTTCAAACATGAATTCAATAATAAAAATTTTTATGGTCTATTTTGTAGTGGCTGCATAGTCCATTAATGAAAATAGCGCTGGGTGTTGATGCAATTGGGGCTTCAAGAGAATAATAAAGACAAGCTTACCGCTGTTTCAACGAACTGTGGCGTCTATTCTGGATCAGCTTGATGCATTGGAACGCATTAATCGCTTGGACAGTTTTGACTCGGTCGACAAGATTTGAGATAGCAATATAGGTACCACAGTGACCTGCTCCGTCACTGGATTAAGAAAATAAATATTTTTGTGTTTGTTGCAAAATTCTTGTAGAGATCTTCACTTAGACCTTAAACCGCCAAATTATAACCACGAGAGCGACGAGGTTAATCACTTGCTAATATTTGAGTCACACGTGTTTTACCTGCATATAACAATGACAGGTCTATTTACATCAGCAGCTCTTTGTGAATGTTCAACTTTAGATAAAATTTCCACCATACTGTGAACATCTTTAGAAACATCATGAACCGGCCACGATATGTCATGAATCACGGACCATACGACCTTTTTTAATATCCTAAGAAACAAAAAATAAATAAATGTAACAAATCATTTACTCATAAAGACATTCTTTAGAAATCTATTGTTCTTACGGTCAGTAAACACAAAAATATTTGCTGCAACTGCGTAAAAACACTATTGATATTGCGCATTTAATAAATACGACGGGGTTTTTTAAAAGAAGCATTTCACAATAACAAAACTAATCGTAATCTCAACGTTCACGTTTTCGTTTTAACACTATATTCCGCCTGTAATTACACTCATAAATTAGTTCCAACCAGTATTTCATTTTAATATTTATAATCTACTGATAATTGTATCACTGCATCATATTACTCTTATATAAAATTATCATGCATATACATAATATTCTTATTATACTGAAGATGCAATCATAAGATGTTGAAACACATTTATTTTAAAACAACTCGTCGTATTTATTAAATGCAAAAAATATTTGCATAGCGAGAGTAAAGTCAGACTGACTACGCTACTGCATAAACATATACATATGAACTTTGTATGAAAGAGAAGTGTATTGATTTATTTGCAACCAATTATTTAAAGCAGAGATTTAAATATGTTTATAGAAATTTCTTTTATCCGAATGATTCTGACTTTTCTCTTATAGAAACGTATTGATTGTAGGCACGTTTCTGATTTTTCCTTTAAGATAATGAATATTTTATTGTTTTATTGCAGGTATGTCGAAGCCTGTAATTGAATGTTGAATCTTCTTTAATGATGAACAAATGGTGTAAAAGCACAACAAAGAAGTATCAAAAGACCAGTTGCTAAAAATACTATCTTCACACAATTATAAAAGTAACTAGTATGGAATGAAGATACTGGACTGGATTACTTTGACTTTAATTTTTATATACAGCTATACAACCATTGTAATTATACAAAAAATCACTCCACACAAAGACTGGAACACATAATGACTTAAGTTTCAACATCAGATCACTTTTTAAAGGACACTAATCACCAGACAAAAATATATTAAAACTTTTTACATTGATCATATCAGATAAGGCGACTCACAATTTTGATATCTGGAATTCAACTCTAAGATTCACTTCTTGAAGACATCAAATATAAAACCACAGATCATACCAAAAACTTTTTGATCTACATATCAAATTGCCTGTGATTCTTGGTTTTCTAATTTATTCGTATAAATGTAATTTAGAGAAACTACAACGTATAATTCTAATTTAATTCGATGCCGCATCAGCAAAAATAAAAGGAAAAATACGAATAGCACACAAATACAGGCATGGAGAATATTTTGTCGTCTGCTGAGTCTTTGTTATTCGGCTTTGTCTCAAAACATGGTGACTAATGATTGTCAATTTCAAAAGGTCAACTTAACGCCAACGAAGTACAAAGTGAAAAAAAATGTAATGAAATATTTAAGAACTGACAATTAATATTGAAAAGGAATTCAATACCTTTTTGATGACAAAATTTCGTCCGTAACCACAAGACTATCCAAATTCTTACTATCCGCCATATTGCATGACATCATTTAAACCAGTGAACTCAATATTTAAATAACTGGAATGAAAGCATAAGCCAAAATTGAAACCAGTTAGGCAATTGCGCTTCATGATTTGTACATCTTGTAAAATTTTGTGTCATTGCTTCAAAGCCATGTCTTCTTTTCTGTTAATCACCAATCTAAGCCGAAGCACAACGTTAACTAGCATTTGCAGTCAAATCATTAAGGAAATTTAATTTACCCGATCATTTTGAATGTTTAAAATGAATATTATCATGACGATATAAAGCAAAACAGGAAAGGACAAGAACAGCACCATCTTATTAACACTAACAAAATCAACTCCATCCACTAAAACTCCTTGTTTCTCACGTTAGGTAAATTCATGTGATGAACGACTATATCACGAGGAAGATTATCGAAAGATTTGTGGGGTAGAAAATTTGAGTTATTATATCAGCGACTTTAACTAGCTAAATAGACACTTCGTAAGAACTACCGTAGTAATTGAGTTTTCTCATAGTGGGTTAGAACATTCTGATGATTCCAAAATACAATCCACTTTCACAATGCCAAATCGTACATCCAGTGCCTACGTATACTGAGTTGTGATTTACCTTTCTAAAAGGTAAGTTCTTTATTACTTCTATACAAATTATAATCATTGTTAAATAATTTTAATGAACAAGCAAGCGGTTATAAACTAACCTATAGATTAAGACATTAAAGTGAGCAGTCGCCGCAGAGTGTTTGATTTGAGCATTTGATAATTTAAACTTCAATTCAGAACTATTCTTGACTTGAAACCATTCTCTTGAGATTTACCAAACAATGTTGCTCGCCTACGTCGGCTAGTGCGAACAATAACACTATTAAAATATTCATCTCTATCAAGCCGCCAACATGGCTGAATTGCAAGTCAAGAATTCACTCTCATCAAATGTTGTCAGTAGATGTTAAATAACTTCAACACGCATTTTACTGCACGTTCGAGTACAAGAGTTTAGATTGATCCTAACGAACAGCCAATACGACAAGAATAAAAACCAACCCGGAGCAGCAACTGCACCAGTAAAAGCACCATCATTTCTACCGTTTATAGGATATAAATGAATGCCAAAGATGAATTTAATAAACATTAAGTGAGCAGGAGGCGGACAAAAAAAGCAACTGAACTATAAATAACACGTGATTATTTGAAGATATCAATAGACTACTTGATATTACATGACGAGAAGAAACTGTTTTACTTGGGTTCGTCTGCTCATATTCTTAGGAAGTGAAAGCTCATACATCATAATCGTTGGTGTGTGTTCCAACTAATAAAACTAATGAATCGGAGAAACTCGTGATAGGGTTGGCTATATTTTTCATATCTAGAGTCGAGAATCTCTGAATGATATTCTGTACTTCTGTATTTGTAACAATTTGATATTTTACTCATAATTCAAACATAATTCGAACGCAAATATAAATTTTAAACGGGTTTAATGTTGCGGAAGTTTAGTACCGACTACCTAGATCAGTCTTTTGTGGGTGTTCCGGCCAGTGTTGAAAAACAAGGAGAGGGTTGACAAAAAACTATAGGAGAGAAGGACGTGTTGGGAGATCATATGCATTTTTCTTGTTTTGTAAAATCTTGTCTGGTAGCTTCAAACCCATTTCTTTTTTTTCGTTGATCTCTAGTCTACAGCCAAACATAATGCTCCTAGCACTCTAGCAATCAAATTATCAGAAAATTCAATTAACTCGATAACTTTGGATGAGTTTAAAATGAACATTATAATGGGGATAATAAGCAAAAACAGGAAAGAACAAGAACAGCAACATTTTACTAACACTAAATAGTTGGTAACAAAGTAAACTCCATCCACTAAAACTCCTGTTTCTTACGTCAGGTAAATTAATGAGATGACAGTGTGTACATATTCATATATATTCCATTGACTCCAAAATTATGAATGAATGAAAATCCCGTTCCCCAACTTATTTAAATAAATTACTGAGCATGCTACGCCACTGTTTGTTTGTAATTTAACTTTATTTCTTATTTAATGTACTTAGATAAAAGTATTACAACTATTATCCTATTTCAAATATTGACTACATCCTTAGCCTAAAAATTTGATGTTATGTTCCAAATTGTTTTCAAATACTCTTCAGAATCATTCACTCTCGTTCACTCTTATAGTTAAAAGGAAATAAAATTCTATGCTTAATCATATTCTTCTATAGTACGTTAAATTTCAGAAAACGTCTAATAATTTCGAAAAAATTCAACTTCCCCCATTTTTGAGAACTTTTAGTAGCCGTCAAATAACTACAATACGCAGTTCACTGCACTGTAGCAGAGTTTGAATTGATCCTAACAAAAAGAATGACCAATATGACAAAAATAATGAGCAAAATTGCAGCTACAACTGCACCAGCAATGGCTCCAATTTTCCACCGTCTACAAGATAAAATTGAATGACAAATCATAACATTACCAACAAATATTGTCTTTCAGCGATCATTTTGTAAAGCTGAGGGTGTAACCGCTCTCACACCTCATGTATTCATCCCTGTTAACTATTCATGATTTATTTATGGTATAAATTAGGTTTGGAACGCAATGAAATTAGAGAAGAGGTACACAAAATCACTAAGGCAGTTATTTGGGAATTAAATCGGTTGTATCATCAAACAAAATCTATATTCATCGTTAAAATTTTCAGGCATTTTACTATACTGAAATTTGCAAAGATCTTGAATCATTGCACTTTAGACATCGATAAACTTCCTTATGCTATTGAAAGCAAACACAAACCTGAAGACTTGTGCTTTTGGGCAGTTGCTGCCACTGGACTCCAGTCAGTGGAATAATAATCACCCTGAAACGAAGTGAACATTTATATTTGAATAAAATTGCAGCAATCAATGCTGATGAAAACGTAAATAAATGGTCGCACCTGATCATTTATGAAAACGCGCTGAAATATTTTGTAGTTAGTGCCAGGCTTTAGCGGGCCATTATAATAATTTTCACCATTGGAACGCCGTGTTGTGTTTTCACCGTCACCAAGTGTAAAATCAGGCTTAAAGTCTCTGCGAGAGACTACAGCAGCAATATACGGCATTGGTTGTGTGGAAGATATGGCCTTAGAATAAGTCACTAAGTCTGTGTTTTTAAAGTTAGAAGGCAATCGACTCTCTTCTGTGACATTTTTCATCGCGACTACATAGAAATATCTGCAAATTTAAGGCAAAACATTTTTTAAAATACATGCATAACCTCTGCTTTTGTTAATGGTTAAAATATATGTTATGCATGCATCCGCAATGCCAAAGAAAAGCGACGAGTCATCAAAGCTTTCCCCAGAGAGATATTTAGACTACCTCGATCCCACATGAAACCAACTGTCCTATACTTAGCCATGAATCCGAAAACTCAAAAAATACTTTTAAGTTCCTTTAAGTTTTTTACAATAATTTGCTCTAGTAAAATACATAGTTACCGATATTCCACATTTGGATTTTGCAACAAATAAGTCAACGTATTTCCAATCTGCTTGGTGGACAGTTCAGGTGCCACTAAATAAATAAACTTGAATAAATTTATCATCTTAAACAAACCTGTGCATAAACCATAGACAACTTACATCCATTTGTAAATACCCATGTAACATTGCTGTAACATCCAGATCCCACTATTGTAGAAGCTAAAACACGAACATAATATTTTGTCCCTGGTTTCACATTATTTATGTCCAAACGCTGTTCCTCGATCATATACTTCATTGAACAGGTTTCATTCTCCAAATGTGTAATACAAACAGTGTAATTGACTATCTTTCCATTTGTTTTCTTCTTGTCTGGTGGCTCCCACGTAACTGATAACGATGAACTGCTTAAGGCGACAATTTGAACATTTAAAGGTGGACCTTCGGGAACTAAACAAAAATAAAACATTTGTTTTAAAGATTTATATAAAATATTAAATACACTTTAGAAAGAAGTCCTAACAAGTGTACACTGTCATTGTTAACTTAAATATAATACAGTATAAAAAATGATTGAAATAAATATCGACCAGAAAAGATTTGAGCTTTCAAAAGTCGTCTATGGCAATAACACCATCAATGCAACAACAGCCGATATGTATACACAAAACTGATATGAACTCACCATCTTCAGCAGTTCTAAAAGTAGCTATAGTTGATCTACCAAAGCCTTCAGAATTGCCAGCGGTTACATTAACTTTATACGTTGCGTAAGGAACAAGATTCGTAATGTTGTACGGTTTTTTGTCAGTTACCTCCAGAGTTTTATCAAAACAATCATAGTATCCTTCAGCAAAATCAATAGATATCTTGTAAGAGGATTCGAGATATTTGTACCAAGTTTTACACCAGTTTTTTTGGGATGTTTCCATGATATCTCGAGGTACGTCGATGCAGATTTGGTTGCAATGAGATCTGTTGGCTTGTCTGGGAGTAAGTCTGCACGATAAAAGAAAAATCTATAAATTGAACCATTTCTAGCTCCTAAGTGAAATAAGTGTTCTGCTTTTTCTCCAATAACACGTGTTAAACTTAACTGTATGTTGAAAAGTGGGTTTCAATAAGTTTATTTCAACAGAGAAAGAAACTAACACTTCAGCCTTCATGGAAAATTGTTCTGTTTTGTCAACTAACTCATGTTTAATTAATACTCAGAGAAAAAAACTTTATATATTGAAAAATTAAGTGCTTACAGTGCAAACTAAACCTGGTATATTTTTTCTACCTCTTACCTCCACCGCAAATTTCAATTCGTAAACACGGTGCACCAACAAAGTTCAATGGAAAGATTCGCAAAGCTTTTGATTTCAGGCCACCAGAAAACTTTTCTATAGCCGCATCATTGTAACCATTTTTGTTTCCTAGATAAATCTGGAATAAAACAAAAAAATTTTTTGTATTTGCAGAGCAAGGTTAGAGAAAAGAAAGGTTTGTTTAACGCTGTCCAGAGGAGAGTAGTTTATGCATTGTCTATGTATCTCTTCAAATCATGCACATAGCTACAATTTAAACTTTATAATCAAATGCAAGAGTCCTTCGTAGTGCAGGAGTAACCAAGACAATCAACACAGTGACGTAGCTAGCCCACAAATTTGGTCGTGCTATATGTAAATTTCTCAGAGCTCACTAACTGTAAAACAATAGATCTCTAAAGAAATGAATAATGATAATGATCTGAAATTTACATAGAACCAGCAATTTTGCGTGCCGGCTACACCACTGAATCAACATCTGCACACAAGTTTGTATATAAATAGCAATTTAAAAGTTTACTTAGTTTATAACTTCATTCCTTTTTAAATTTCCTTTAAATTTATAATATACAAATTCGATAAGTCTACTGTTACCTTCTGGGATTTTTCAGATTTCCAGTTCACACCATCAATGTTTGTCTGCAAGTGATATTTAGTTACAAAGCTTGAACTTGAACTGTCTCCAAAGATAGTGATAACGTTAACTGTATAAAGACTCGGAAAATTCAGTTGAAGATAATGACTGCCATTAGCAGCAGGAGCACACCATGAACTACCACTGGATATTCTTGCTTTAGCAGCACTACGACTCTTTGGGAAGGCAGTAAACCAAGAATCTGGGAATTTTTCTGCGTTTTTTAATAGAGGATTATCACAAACATGACCTTAAATAGAAAAGGATTTGGTTGAAATGCATTATAACATTAGAACTGGTTTGATTTGATAGAGAGCAATGGTGCACTCTCATATTGTTCTCCATTCACGTAAAATTGGAAAAATTAAAACTGTTTTCTTAAGAAAGAAAAGAGCACAAGATATATTGGAGGAATACGACTGATTTTGCATGCTTTTATTAAATAAGGTTAAATTCCAGTTGGAATCAAGCCAGCTATGACAAGAAACCGTAAGTATCTTGTCAAATAACAACAATACCGTAGCGATTTAAATTCCATTAAAGAGTGAACGTCAATCGTATTGCAGAGGAATGACAATTGGACATTTTTTGAAGCACGAAATGAAGTAGCAAGAGTAAAATTAATTTAATCCTCAGTATTCGCAGCAATCCTGTTTTAATTATTTATTATTTAAGAGTAGCAATCGTTTATATTTTGTGATGCTATATTTCTTTTGTTATGTAAAGAAGAATTGTGAAATTCTCCAAGTCAGCGTAAAATACAGTGACACTACGATGTCAGATGTAAGTCTTGATGATAGAGGTAAGTCATGATGCTTAACAATAGACAGATGTAAGTTGAGAACACAAAAGTAACACATTCATTCCTTAAATTCTTCGCTAAAATCTTTTTCTAACGTCATACAAATGTGTCCTGCAATACGTTAATACATTCAAAAAATTGAATGAGAATGCTTACATGTAACGTACGAGTATTGAGAGCAATCATTATTTTGAGTGATAGCACATTGAGATAAATCGTTCACTCGAGCATCACATTTGACAATTCCAGGTATAAACGATTGATGCATCAAAGATGATAGTGACATTGAGCCTTCCGCAGATACTGCGGTAGGATAACCAAGTTGTTTACAAATAATCGTCTTTATTTTGTGCAAAAGACCTTTGTTGCAAATGGTGAAGTTTCTAAACTTGGTAATAACATTCACGACACCTTCGTTCGGAAGATTCGACTTAGACAGGCGTACATCCATAACTACACAAATCAAAATTATTTTTCCTTTAATTGTGATTATGGCGCATATCTTAAAGTGAAATCTGTGTTTTTAGAAGTGGTTTTATGAACATAAATATGACAAATCTCGTCCATGAATAAAATATATACACGGAGTTTGAATATCAGAAGAACACAGAAGGTGACATTAACTTAAAAATAATTTTAGTTTGAAAGCACTTAACCAGAAATGTTTTCCACATTCTGATGGACACAGTATCTTATAGATTTACACTTAAAGTTGGTAAGCACTGTTTTGATTTTAATCTTTAAGTTGACAATGAACTACAGGCAAATAAGTTGAACTGAGAACTTTTCTCTTGTGTTGTAAACACGAATCACAACAAAATGTGTCTAAGTGATTATGTGAATCATTAATGAAACCAGAACAAATACCGTTTTTTATAGGTGAGCGCTGCGTTTAGCTTCCCAATTCATAGGAATTGTAATGAATCTATCTTTGTATATATATACAGTATATGTAAAAATTCTGTAGTGTGAAGTCATGAAAATATGAATACAAATGCAATTGTAAATGTCACTTTTGGCCTACATAGAATGGCCAAAAGATTTTAAAAGAAATAGATTTGATAAATCAAATTGACTGGAAGAAGATATGTTTCCATGAACAAAGTTTGCATTAACAAACTAAAACACAAAATTCACCAAACCATTAAACTTATGAAAATATTTAGGACACAAGTTTAAATGTCACATTATAAAAAGACACTAAATTATGCAATACGAGATAAAACTGCATAAACAAACCACCACTGGTGAAGACACCCGACGAAAATTCAAATTTGTGTCAACTTTTCTAAATTGATAACGTACATAGTATAAAAATGAGCACAATACAATTGCGCATTAAGGTCAAAATTTGTCCCGAAGCTCTTTAATAATAAGCAAAATATAATCTGCCCATATAATACTTACGATTGCAAATTTTTCTGTATGGCATACTTGTGTAGTTACATTGATATTCAAAGTAAAGATATTTCTTCAAACCAGGACAAATATTTGAAGGGAAATGATAATCATCAACAGTTACATTACATTTTCTTTCACCATCACAGTAATTTTTAAGGTCACATGTCACATCGACACTACAACTGTAATCAAAACTGTAGCCACAAATGCTTCCTTTTCTCAATCCATGATATTCTGTAACTTTTATCACCATATATTGATTATTAGAACAACTAACGTCCGATATATTTTTTCCATCACATGTTACTGAGCCTATTGAAGACACACAAAAAATAAGTAAATTCATATCTATACAAGCTTATTTGTGAATTCCTGTAAAATAAAAGTTGATTTGATAAAAATAAAGTGTGTGATGGCAGTGACTTCACTGGCGCCATTCCTATATCTGTGGCCTTGCAGTGGCTTTTAATTAGAGTTTAAGTATATATACGCTAACTGGATGAATATTCTCACTTGCCAAAATTGAATCGCTGATCTTCTTCATTTTTACAATTGGCCAGTCCCACGATTAACAAAATTCCTCTTGTAGATACTATGCATTTATTATAGCGTGAAAAGAATAGACCACCCCAATTTGTTTGGGTTATGGCATTGATGGCTCCGCATTCTCCATTAAAATTTCCATCAGATAACTCCACATAAATTCCGTATCTCACAAGACACCTTGTTGTATTCGACCTATTGATGGAGCCAGATTGTAAAAATTTAAAATAAGCTGACTCCTCAAAACAATTCATTGTATACAGGAGGGAAAGGGTAAATCATCCCAACACACTTTCCTGACTGAACATGTTTGATGAAAAATCCATTCGTATCTGAAAAAGGACAATGATACATGATAAAATTGATTGAAAATACCACACTCTACAAAATATATATATAAAAAAATATAATATGATACTTTCTATCAATATAGGAAAAACACTCCAAAAAGTCATCTTGAAATTCAACCTTTCTAAAGAATTAAATAAACCAATTGCTGTTGAGGTCATTTTAAAAATAATAGCGTATGAAACAATTTAAGGCATCCAGCATGGAGCATTGATCTAAAATACATGGAACGCTACCTGTAATACAAAACCCTAATAATTTTTTAAAGCCGTGATTTTACCCCAGACACGAGTGTGTAGTCCGCGAGAGGAACTCGAAATTTGTACTCCGCGAGAGGAACTCGAAACACTAAACGCGCGTGTCTTGGGTAAAATCTCGCGTGTTTAGCGTAAAATATGGTTCAATTATATGCTTGATGTAGTGTTCCATGTATTTTAGTTCAATGGCATGGAGACTGAAAAATTTTACAAATAAGTTGAAAAGTGTAAAAAATCAATTAATAAAAATTTCACGGCGCACGGTCTGTTACGATGGAAAAGGGAGAGTTATGGTTTGTTTACGCAATTGAAATATTTGAAATATTTTAAGATTGTTTGCTGAACCTGATTTTTCATCTGTATAAACTCCCATGACTTTCGTTTTGATGAAAAGGAAGTTTATCTAAGCACTTATACAAATTTGTGCCCAGAAAAAGTTGATGATTTAGGTTAGTATTATTCAAACTTGAAGACAAGGAATATATAATTCAATGTAAAACTGAATTGTGAACTCTGTAAGCTGTACACTCTTTTGGTGGAGTTCATTTAAGTTGTGCTGTGAAATAGTGCTCTTGATAATAAGAATACCAGAGTTGCACAATTTAAAATTCCAAACAATTTAAATAAATATCATGCCAGGGCTTATACAAAATCGTGAGGCTTTTTTACGGGTTTATAAAGGTTTATACATGCAGAGGAGAGATGCATACAAATATGTACAGGGATATTATACAGAGGGTTAATATACAACGAAATTTATTTCTACTGAAGTGATATAAGAACATTCTCCCGTTAAAAATATTTAACAATTTTTGGATTAAGTTGAGCATGATATAAAAGAATATTCAGACCGAGGTCAATTGGATATCTACCGAAGCAAATCTGAGGGGATAGCGCTGACTGCAGTCTGATTGAAAAATTTTGCGGTTCGCTTTCGTCTATTTCCTGTAAATACGCGATGAAAACTCTCTGGACAAACAGTTTAACACTTTCGGTGTTTTTCGTCTATATTCCCGATAATTTGAGCAGAGTAAAACACTTGAAAGTCTCGATGAAGATTCTACCAAAATATTTCTTGTATATACAGTTGTCTCATAAAGAAAATTCGTCACCTACAGGCAATTTTCAATGTTTTTCTAGGTGATAGTGTATTGACAAATATTTGAAGGCTTTTAGACAATCACAATCGAGATTGCATCACCGTTGTATTTTAATAATAAAGCTTAACTAGCACAGATCAATATATGAACATGTTAACCCTAACCCTCACACCCATTAACAAACAACCAAAATCTTCCAACGTGATCGTTAATGAATAAAATCAAATAAACCCGAAAATAACCAAGACACGCTCTTGAATTGAGCTTTTACTCTTTTACAGGTTTACATTATAATATATGTATGACGAATTAAACATGTTTGGCTGTTCCGGGGTGTATTCTATTATTTTTGCAACTGCAAAGAAATTGACTTCAGAGTATACGTACATGATGAATTGAATATAGGTCAAAGTGTCGTATGGATTTGGGCAAAGTTGAATATGAAGCATTATAATCACATTGGTGTACTATAAATTAAACTGACACAGGAGAAACTAAAATGAACTGCCCTTGCATGTACCTTGTCGTTTTAGGTTCACGTTGATGACAACATAACAGGTGTGACTTTTTCCACCGTATAAAACATACTTGTAAGGGATTTTGTATTGTCGGATTCCAAAGCTAGTATAACGTATAGCATATAACTCTTCTACTTTTTCATTTATGTACTTATGTGAACACGTGAAGTTTTCTGGTTCTTTCCTTTTTCGTATAATGCTTTTTGTAAAAGAGGATAATAATCATAATCGACGTGTGACAAAACAGTAAAGTTTAAAATAATCGGGCTGCATCCACATGTCCCTAACAAAAAATTAAGTTATCTTTAACTGGTTGTCCAGAGAAAAAGAACAAGTAGAAAGTGACACTCATTTGGCCACAAAATGTTACATACTATTCACATTGAATCAAAAGTCCTCCTTAAACCCAAATAGACAACTATACAGACTTTATCATATAACAAGCATATATTACTATTTTTGAATCTACTGTCATATTACTTTGCTTTTGTAACTAGACAGAGGAACAATGAACGAGATATTATTCTGCGTTAATGCTGTGAAGCTAGTGTATCCAAATCAGTTGAGTACTTTAACATGTACCTTACGGGTTCAAACCATTTACTTTAGGTACCTTACTTTATTGCGCTTTCTAAGAACACGGTTTCAATTACATATTTCAATTAAACAGTACCTCAGTAATATAAGTGTTCTGATTGTTTGCCAAGTACATGGCCAGTTGATGTTCTGTACTTACTGTAAACTAAACTGTTGTTTACTTTACCTTCGAGTGGACATATTTCACTAAACATTTTAAATCGCTCTAAGAGATATTTCTTCTCCTCAACACAGCAACGTGTAAGAGTATTGTTGCATTTCGAATCGATTTCAATTTTGTCCGCCACAAATTTCTTCCATTCTTCCTCACAAAACTCAAGTTCTTCATTCCAACCCATTTTCATTGTGAATCCTTGACCAAATAACAGCCACAATAACCACCATATCATTAAACTCATCATTGCATAGATCCAAGGATATACAGTAAAGCTCTAAATTATAATTGATTGTTGGATGTATGTACGTTATCACAGAAGACTTTAAATTTATATTTAGATCGACAATGACTACGTCACAATTACATCTGTGATGCAAGCAGATCACGATCAAAACGTATTTTTGAGCAATATATGAGCATTATCTAAAAAGTCATTTCAGCAAAATTGTGTAGCGAGAAAAACTGTTCAGAAATAGATCGAGTTAGTCTCATATGGCTGCATGATGGCTCTCTTATTGGTAGCCACTGTAGCTATTATATAGGTACGTGGTTATAATTTTCTTAAAATAATGAAACTTGGTTAACTTTAAATTTATGCTTTATTCTTCTTACTCGGTTCAATCTAAATTTCAACTTCTTGTGTTTCAAGAGATTTATTGAACGATGAAAAATGCTTTTAGTGGATAGCGCTAAGGAAGTGAAGAAAGCGAGATCAAATTAAAATCAAAGCAAATCATTTATTTTAGATACAATAGATTAAAAACCCAAGACGATGTTAAAATTCTTTATCTGAATATGAAAATAACAATTGTGCATGCAGAGCTTCCCATTAGCTATTTCATTTCAATTTCCTGTTATGTCATGATACATGTAAAAAACCTATGAAATCATAAAGTACTTTACAATTTCTTGTAACGCAGCCTCTATAGCTGTATAGTTATACCCGTATTGTCTCTAATGCTATACCCGTATTGGATTTTCATTCGAATTTTAATTCATCGAATTCAACACATTAGCAGGTATAAAACAGCTAAATTGCTCAGTTGACAAATTCAAAAGTTACAGTTGAAAAATTAACTAAATAAATTAAAAATTTCAAAGATAATGACCAAAAATAATGTTGAAAGGGTGTTAGATATTTACATTACATGCACCGCGGAGCTTTTTCTATTGAGGAGGAAGAGCTTACGAAATAAACGAACGTCGATATTAAGGGCAGCTAAGTAGTTTTGGGTTTCAGCGTTATCTTGAGATTGCTCAAATTCTTTTATAAAATTTACAGAAATATCACAGAAAATCGTAGAAATGTTGTGCAACTTTTACATTTTTCAAGCTTATTCCTTTGCTTGCAGTTATTTGTGGAGTACTTGATGACAATGAATACTCCATAAGAATTGAAAATCTTAAGGGATTTCTTTTAATTTTTCAGGTTCCGCTAAAGAACAAAATTTTTACAAAACAGTGGAATAGGATTTGCTTTTGAGGTAGTTGAGAGATTTGAGCAAAAATATGATAGTATATAAATATATGAATCAAAACATTAATGTGATAACCTGTCCCAAATCCTACATCTAGCGTGGAGGTATTGTGGTAAATGAAAAATCTCTCCATTTACTATAAGAATCAAATCATTTGGGGGCGTAAGTTGTGTGGTGTTTGTATTAACACTTATTTGCCAAACTCAGTCGAAGAAAAAATTTGCAGTATTAAATAATATAAATAAGATAAGGAAACTTCCGTTTTACTATCAACTACATCACATCTTACCTTTGTTTTTTTATTAATTGAAAAACGGACACAATAAGGCGACTGCAGATATACACCTTAAACAAACAGAGAAAAATTAAGATACATACAAGTCAGACGAACAACAGAGTTGTGGCTTTCGCAACGTTTTACTTGCAACTGCTGGCCAAGGCTGTCGGCTTCCTCAAATGTACAGTGCCATATTGAGTATATACAAACACTCATGCCATCTGCCCCAGTTATTCAACATTTTATAGAATTTGTTTTGCGTCAAATCCTATCCTTTACGAATCAACAATAATACTTTAAATGTTTGGAAATTTGGATGTTGTTGTTGGTTGACAAAGCAATGTTATAGAACATAGAGTTTTGACATTTTAGAGAATTACCTCTGTTTATAGCTACGAAGCAACGAAGCACAAATAATGCATCTAATGTGGGCAAACACGGCAAAGCAGGTTAATGACTTCAAGTGCTCAATGACGAAAAATTATATTGTTACAATATAAAACGTATTTTAAGTTTTGACTATCAACTTTACCAACAGTAAATTCAATTTTGCTGACAGTCATTAGCAAAATTTTAGGCCCTAAATACAACAAATTGTGTCGGACCGAACTATACAGTAAAATTTACATCGTAATACCAGCTGTAACTTTATTGCCTACAGGTGTTTGTTTAAACAATAGACACAATACGACAGCAGCGAAAATACAGTGAGAAATGACAAGAAAAACATCGCTTCAAGAATAATGACTTATGAATGAAAAATGGTTTAAGTGATTGGGTTCAGCGGTAAAGAATTAAGAACAACAATTTAACATTTCAATATTAATTTTAATTTGGTAAAAAACAAACTTCTAGTTGATGCATTGGACAGCCACTCTGTTGGATATTATCAAAGTCTACTACAACAAGCAAGGATCATTTCAATTTAGGCAATTTTCACAATTTTCTTCGTAACTTAGCTATGTTAATTAGCTGTAAAGTGTTGTTGTTAAGCCTACGTTTTGATGTGAACAGGTGGAAGGAAAAGCATGTAGAAACACATAAATTTCGAAAAACCGTATTAAAGTTAGTTGTATAATAAGTCCATTACTAAGCAATCGCGAATTCTTTAAAGAGAAATTCGGATCATTTAATTCTTTATGTGCAGACCTCGCAGGCTCGAAGAGCGAATAAACAAGTTAATAAAAGGTTTATTATAAAGTATTATTTAAACTGAAACGAAGCCTTTTTTACTTTTTTGTCCTCGCTGTTTGTAAAAGTTGGCATTCTCTCCTGTTTTCTTTTTGTTATGAAATTTTTTTGCTGTTTGTTTTTCGAAATTTGTTTAGATTTGTTTGTAAAATTACCTGTTATGAACCGCTGGTTTGAATTGTTATAGATCTGAGAGACTGTATATGGTCATTGTCAACATTAAGTCATTAACAACATTTAACTATGTAATAACATGGTGGCCTCTTGCTATCACAGGGACGTTTACTGACATATTTCCTCATCAAAGTATTCATTAGGGACGTTTAGACTAAATATTCCTCGTCAGTACAATCAATAGGGACGTTTAGACTAAATATCCTCATCAACAATAAAACAATACGCCTATTCCTGGATTGCATACAATTTCCACGGAATTATGAAAAAAATTGACTCAATTCTGATCTATGAAAACGTTTAATAGTTGATGTCTTTAGCCTTTGAAAACCACAATACTTCAAGGGAAGGCCGGCATCATGTAAGCTGCTAAACTCTGTCAAAGAAAATAATTGCTCTATATTAAATGCTAACAAAGCAACGAGGATAAACAAACATTCGTTTTACCATCAACTGTAGCCAACGAAATTTATTACATCTTACCTTTTGTTCTTTTATTGTCTTTACGTCTTTATTTGAAAAACGCACACAAAAAGGCAACTGCAGAAATACGCCTTAAACAAACAGAGAAAATGAATATTCGTAAAAGTATGGTAAACAATAGAGTTGTGGTTTTCGCAAAGTTTTACTTGTAAGTGCTGGCCAAAGCTGTTTCCTCCAGTGTGGAGTAGCGTGTATTGAGAATATATAAGCATGCACTTATGCCGACTGCCACAATTATTTAACATTTTATTGAATTTTGTTTTGCCTCAAATCCTACCCTTTACGAATCGACAATAATACTTTAAATGTATTAGAAAATTTGGAAACAAAGAAAAATTAAGATACATACATTGGTTGACGAAGCAATGTTATAGAAGATAAGTTTTTGATATTTTACCTCTGTTTAGACAAAGCGCCGAAGCAAAATTAATGCATCTAAACTGGGTGAACACGGCAAAACAGGTTAATGACTTCAAGTGCTAAATGACAAAAAATGATATTGTTCCCATTGCGTATATTCAAGTTCTTAAATATCAACTTTGTTAACACTAAATTTAATTTTTGCTAACATTCATTGGTAAGAAATTGTAACCGCAAATACACCAAGTTATGTCGAACCGAACTATACAGTAAAATTTACAACATGAAACCAGCTTTTTATTTCTTATAACTCTTTGTTCACAAGACGACAGCAGCACAAATACAATGAGAAATGGCAAAAAAATAATGCATCAAAGAATAATGACTTATGAATGAAAAATGGTTTAAGTGATTGGGTTCAGCGGTAAAGAATTAAGAACAACAATTTAACATTTCAATATTAATTTTAATTTGGTAAAAAACAAACTTCTAGTTGATGCATTGGACAGCCACTCTGTTGGATATTATCAAAGTCTACTACAACAAGCAAGGATCATTTCAATTTAGGCAATTTTCACAATTTTCTTCGTAACTTAGCTATGTTAATTAGCTGTAAAGTGTTGTTGTTAAGCCTACGTTTTGATGTGAACAGGTGGAAGGAAAAGCATGTAGAAACACATAAATTTCGAAAAACCGTATTAAAGTTAGTTGTATAATAAGTCCATTACTAAGCAATCGCGAATTCTTTAAAGAGAAATTCGGATCATTTAATTCTTTATGTGCAGACCTCGCAGGCTCGAAGAGCGAATAAACAAGTTAATAAAAGGTTTATTATAAAGTATTATTTAAACTGAAACGAAGCCTTTATTTACTTTTTTGTCCTCGCTGTTTTGTAAAGTTGGCATTCTCTCCTGTTTTCTTTTGTTTTCAAATTTTTGCTGTTTGTTTTTCGAAATTTGTTTAGATTTGTTTGTAAAATTACCTCTTATGAACCGCTGGTTTGAATTGTTATAGATCTGAGAGACTGTATATGGTCATTGTCAACATAAAGTCATTAACAGCATTTAACTATGTAATAACATGGTGGCCTCTTGTTATCCCAGGGACGTTTACTGACGTATTTTCTCATCAAAATATTCATTAGGGACGTTTAGAGTAAATATTCCTCATCAATAATAAAACAATTCTGAAGTGAACAGGTGCACAGAAACACGTAGAAAAACATAAAATAAAACTCAACATCCGCTGCATTATAGGGCCGTATTTAACAAATCGGAAGGTTGGGTAGCATTGCATGCTTAATAGGATGTTATGAGAAATAATCATATTTACATAAGGTGTTAGAATACAAAATGAGACGGTGTCAAATAGATTATATAAATTACGAAGTTAGGAAGCAAAATATAGTGAAATTAAAAGAGTTGAATAGAACTGCCTTGGACAGATGTTAAGTCATAGTAAAGGAAACATACCAAAGGTCGACTTTGCTGAGAAACTTTCTGCTGTACAATTAGATAACAGGCTGCCGTTAGCCAGCTCAGCACTCCTATTACTCAAAAAAAATCAATTTACTAGCTTCCAATATAGTAATCATATGCACAATGAGATATACGTAGCACAAAAACTTCAATGGACTTGCTCTACTGTATTTTTACTATACTGTCGATAAGTGAAAACTTGTAGCTATTGACTATGAGGTTCTCATTAAGGGAGAGTTTGTATGAATCGTGAGAAGAGGAAATTCTTTCAAAGTCGTCCATGTTGGGGGTATCTCCAGATATGTTTATGTTAGCAAAATGCTCGATAACGCAAGGCGTGACGTTTGGTTACCTTCAAATGGATATATTCTCATATGCTACGAAAATCCGATGTGTAAATGACGTTTATTTGACCCACATACAATACGTACAGCTATAACACTTTAATGAACACACAACATCCAATCTCTGAGGTTTGAGATTTTTTCCTAAAAGGGGAAGAAAGAAAATAGACGTTAAGAAAGGTGGAAAAAAGTTTGGTACCGACTACCTAGATCAATCTTTCGGTGGGTGTTCCTGCCAGTGTTGAAAAACAAGGAGAGGGGCTGACAAAAAACTATAAGAGAGGATATGTTTTTCGATCACATGAATTTTCTTGTTTTGTAAAATCTTGTGTCGTTGCTTCCAACCCATTTCTTCTTTTTTGTTGATCTCTAGTCTACAGCAAAACACAATGCTCCTAGCACTCTTGCAATCAAATCATCAGAAAATTCAATTAATTCGATAATTTTGGATGATTTTATAATGAATATTATAATGGGGATAATAAGCGAAAATAGGAAAGGACAAGAACAGCAACATTTTACTACCACTAACATAGTTGGTAAGAAAGTAAACTCCATCCACTAAAACTTCTTGTTTCTTACGTCAGGTAAATTAATGAGATGACAGTGTGTACATATTCATACATATTCCACTGACTCCAAAATTATGAATGTATGAAAATTCCCTCCCCCCAAGAAAAATAAATTACTGAGCATGCTACGCCACTGTTTGTTTGTAATTTAACTTTATTTCTTATTTAATGTATTTAGATAAAAAGTATTACAGCCGTTATCCTATTTCAAATATTGACTTCATCCTTATTCTAAAAATTTGATGTTATGTTCCAAATTGTTTTCAAATACTGTTCAGAATCATTCACTCTCGTTCACTCTTATAGTTAAAAAGGTAATAAATTTTATGTTTAATTATATTCTTTTATAGTACGCTAAATTTCAGAAAACGCCTAATAATTTCTCGAAAAAAATTCAACTTCCTATATTTTTGAGAAATTTTAGTAGCCGTCAAATGATCATAGTGAAGCCTACAGCGAAGATTGTCAATACTCTGGTTATACGGTTGATAAACTATGGTGACTATATGATTGGTTGATACACTATGGTGACTATATGATTGGTTGATACACTATGGTGACTATATGATTGGTTGATACACTATGGTGACTATATGATTGGTTGATACACTATGGTGACTATATGATTGGTTGATACACTATGGTGACTATATGATTGGTTGATACACTATGGTGACTATATGATTGGTTGATACACTATGGTGACTATATGATTGGTTGATACACTATGGTGACTATATGATTGGTTGATACACTATGGTGACTATATGATTGGTTGATACACTATGGTGACTATATGATTGGTTGATACACTATGGTGACTATATGATTGGTTGATACACTATGGTGACTATATGATTGGTTGATACACTAGGGTGACTATATGATTGGTTGATACACTATGGTGACTATATGATTAATTGATACACTATGGTGAATTTATGATTGGTTGACAATCTATGGTGACTATATGATTGGTTGATACACTATGGTGACTATATGATTGGTTGATACACTATGGTGACTATATGATTGGTTGATACACTATGGTGACTATATGATTGGTTGATACACTATAGTGACTATATGATTGGTTGATACACTATGGTGACTATATGATTCATTGATACACTATGGTGACTATATGATTGGTTGATACACTATGGTGACTATATGATTGGTTGATACACTATGGTGACTATATGATTAATTGATACACTATGGTGACTTTATGATTGGTTGATACACTATGGTGACTATATGATTGGTTGATACACTATGGTGACTATATGATTGGTTGATACACTATGGTGATTATATGATTGGTTGATACACTATGGTGACTATATGATTGGTTGATACACTATGGTGACTATATGATTGGTTGATACACTATGGTGACTATATGATTCATTGATACACTATGGTGACTATATGATTGGTTGATACACTATGGTGACTATATGATTGGTTGATACACTATGGTGACTATATGATTGGTTGATACACTATGGTGACTATATGATTGGTTGATACACTATGGTGACTATATGATTGGTTGATACACTATGGTGACTATATGATTGGTTGATACACTATGGTGACTATATGATTCGTTGATACACTATGGTGACTATATGATTCGTTGATACACTATGGTGACTATACCTGGAGAGTTATGTTTCCCCGTGGTAAGATTCTCACACGAATCGCATCCAGCCTTCCGGACACGTGATCCTGTAAACGAGTTTTAAAGCTGTAGAAATCAGTCAGTCGACAAAAAATCTCAAAATGCATCTTTTTTTACGAGCCTCGACTACACTGAACTCCACTTCACCGGAAAAATTGATTTCTTGTTCCTATGGAAAATAAAACAGCAACTGCATCACGACAAGCAATAATTTTGAGACGTACATGCACTTACTGATAAGGCTTTAAATTAAATGATTTGAACGCGGGAGTACCTTTGCATGTGTGTAGATGTAGATCGTCCACGTTATGGAAATCTTGAGAAGGATTGTTGTTGTTGATGTTGACTGACGTTTCGACGACCTAAGCGGTAGTAATCTTCAGAGTGAAGCCTACAGCAAAGGTTGTCAATACTCTGGTTATACGGCTGACAGTCAACAACAACACCAACAGTCCTTCTCAGAACTTCACCAAGCCTGGACGATCTTCATCTACAAACATTTAACGATACCTTAAACTAACATCAGCAAAGCTACTTTCTCCATCCATTTATCTTGACATACTTTCACTGGCACATATCGAGCTTTATGTAGCAAACGATGTTCTAACGTGGTTAGAAGAGGTTGATTTGAAAGGTTTTTTGCTTACGATTGCCATAATAACAAAACTCACCGCATCAATCAACTCGCTGAAATGAAAGAATAATCTTGTATCCCTATCGCAACATTGAATAAAGCTATAGCCGTCTTTCAAAGCCGAAACAAATCCTAACAAGGAACAAAATCATGCATTTAATGTATCTCTATCACAACACTGAATGAAGCCATAGCCGTCTTTCAAAGCCGAAACAAACCCTAACAAGGAACAAAAATCATGCATTTAATGTATCCCTATCACAACACTGAATGAAGCCATAGCCGTCCTTCAAAGCCGAAACAAATCCTAACAAGGAACAAAAATTATGCATTTAATGTATCCCTATCACAACACTGAATGAAGCCATAGCCGTCTTTCAAAGCCGAAACAAATCCCTAACAAGGAACAAAAATTATGCATTTAATGTATCCCTATCACAACACTGAATGAAGCCATAGCCGTCTTTCAAAGCCGAAACAAACCCTAACAAGGAAAAAAATTATGCATTTAATGTATCCCTATCACAACACTGAATGAAGCCATAGCCGTCTTTCAAAGCCGAAACAAACCCCTAACAAGGAACAAAAATTATGCATTTAATGTATCCCTATCACAACACTGAATGAAGCCATAGCCGTCTTTCAAAGCCGAAACAAATCCTAACAAGGAACAAAAATCATGCATTTAATGTATCCCTATCACAACACTGAATGAAGCCATAGCCGTCTTTCAAAGCCGAAACAAACCCTAACAAGGAACAAAAATTATGCATTTAATGTATCCCTATCACAACACTGAATGAAGCCATAGCCGTCTTTCAAAGCCGAAACAAATCCTAACAAGAAACAAAAATTATGCATTTAATGTATCCCTATCACAACACTGAATGAAGCCATAGCCGTCTTTCAAAGCCGAAACAAACCCCTAACAAGGAACAAAAAATTATGCATTTAATGTATCCCTATCACAACACTGAATGAAGCCATAGCCGTCTTTCAAAGCCGAAACAAATCCCTAACAAGGAAAAAAAATTATGCATTTAATGTATCCCTATCACAACACTGAATGAAGCCATAGCCGTCTTTCAAAGCCGAAACAAACCCCTAACAAGGAACAAAAAATCATGCATTTAATCACATTACACCAACAATAATTTTTAACATAGATCTTTAAGAAAGAAACGAGTTTAAGTCGATTCTGTGCACTATAGTTATACATCGACATTCATAAAATAAAAATGCTCAATGCCAATGCCCATGGAGCACAATGTCAGCGTTGTTGAAAATAAAAGATTTCCCAACAAAATACGAGAGATTGAAGACAGTAAAATACTTTGGACAAACCTTTATTTTCAACGATACATTGTGAAAATTTGAATGCTTCGAGAGCAAGTATACCTTTTTAGGGAGGTACAACTTGAGGGGGAGTAAATTTTTTTGACGGGGGTGGGTGGATAAAATACTCATAGACGAGGACGGGTAAAGGTCAAACCATAACTCAAAGCAATTAACATTTGCCATCACAGTGATAAAGGTAAACAATTTCCCGCTAAATTAGGAGAAATGGCTTTCTTATGACGCAGTCTAAACACTAGCAAATGTAAAGGAGAATTAAAACTTACTCTTTCTCTGACATTGCATCCATTGCTGCTTTCCACTTCCTTGATGAGATGAATTTCCGTTGCTCTTCTTAAAGAATCACGCCGATCTGCACGAAAAGAGAGATGTATCGCTTGACTGAGTGGCTAAAAGATGGAAGCGTGCTTTATAATCCCGATATCACGGGGAAAATTTGTTAATTTCTTTCATTGTATGGACATGTTGCCATATCCAACTGGAAACACTCAAAGGAAAACTATAGTTTGAAAGCTTGGTTATTCTGTAAGGTACATACACGTTTGGTATTTTCTTCAAATGTTCAGACATGCACGTTAAACAAGACACCAAAACATTCAATCAACAATAAGGAGGACAACGAACTAGTTTAAAACAAAATGTTACGTCTAAACATGGTAATGTCTAAGCAAAGGAAGACTAGTTGAAGTTTTAAAGAATTGTCGATGGAGCACCCATTGATACAGTAACAAAGTTATTTTTAACTAAGATTAGATATGAGGCTGAAGTAGGGAGTAAAGTAAAACTTCGCATATAAGAGCCTAGATTTTAACAACCAATTAGGCTAATATTTCAGAAGGAAACTTAAACTGATCTAACTTTATTTATACTAGATATCTCTATCAGTTCTGAACAGTTCTTACTGTAAAGATCATCTCTTATTGATCCAGTGTTACTACAGAAAGAGACCTAAACTAAACTAACTTTCTTTAGACTAAATATCTCTATCAGTTCTAAACTTTTCTTTCTAATGATCCAGTAAAGATCATATCTTATTGATCCAGTGTTACTACTAAAGGAAACCTAAACTAAATTAACTTTATTTTTACTAAATATCTCTATCAGTCCTAAACATTTCTTTCTTATGATCCTGTTAAGATCATATCTTGTTGATCCAGTGTTACCACAGAAACAAACCTGAACTAAACCAAGTTTATTTATGTTAGATATCTCTACCAGTTCTAAACTCTTCTTCCTAAAGATCCAGTAAAGATAAGCTCTTATTGATCCAGTGTTACTACAGAAGGAAACCTAAACTAAACTAACTTAGTAATTTAATATTTATATTTTGTGTACGATTCCCGCCTGGTTTATCGATCGTAACTTAATCTATATATACTAGATATCTCGATCAGTCTTAAACTGTTCTTTGCCTAGATCAACAAAATCATCTCTCATTGATCTTGCACATGTTGAAATAATACCAACAGTTACAACAAACCATATTTACCTGTAGCAATTTTAAAACCAACAACATCCCAAGTCAAGACGGTGAACTCCCCCAAGACATCTTTCTCCCAATATGGCAGCTGTGAACTACCATTGCTTGTGTTGTACAATATCACACCATTTAACGGTTCCTGTCTTTTGTCCGACAATGTACTTTCTCGATGGTGCCTTGAAATGTGTCTTTGCTCACATCATCAAATTTCACTTTACCTTCTGGTAGACGCTCCACTGAGACTGCAACTTCTTTACCTGACAAAATAATTGGCCAAGTTTTTACAAACAAATTTTACGAATTTCCAAAAATAAACTTGTTGCTGTCGTCAGCTATCACAAAAATACGTCAGTTGAGTCACGTGACTCGTTTGCAAACCGAAAATTTTCAATCCTACGTCAAATGCCCATCAGAAGTCATCGTGTGTAAAATAAATTACAAATGATCAAATCGTATACATAAGTGAAATAACTGATAAAACTCATTTTGTATTAAAGAATAAATTATCAATATTGATCTACAGGGAGCAACTGCAACGGCCCAAACACAAACCTCGTTCACTTTGTCATCTCTGTCGATGAAACCAAAAGATTCCTTGAGCGAGCAGACAATCCTTGAACGAAAACAGGAGGCGAAGCTTCGAGCAGCAACAACTCCACGGCACAGCATTGTCCATTTCTATAGAGGTTTATGAACTGTACCAGTGCATCAAACAAACAACAATTTGGACATGGCTCGTGTAAATAATAAACTAACGTTCATGTTATAGGCCTTAACCAAAGCGTTTTCTTGTGTAAGGTAGCATATCAAAACGTAGAAATAAGGAGAAAGACTTCACCAAAATAGAAAGAACATTCTTAAGACTGTGCATTCATTGCTTAACCACGTAATGTAATGCACGTGATGAAGCACGTGATACAATCTAGAGAAACAGTACAAGCTTTCGACGCTATAGCAAAGAATATAATTTACCTTTGTTTTCCAGGATGTAAAAGACACAGTATCACCTTTGTAGATGTGAGACTTTGATAAAACACCAGCTTGATAATGTGGAAGAAAAAACAATTCCTGAAAGAAAAGGAGCAACGGTTAGAATCATAAAGATCCACCCCCTAACCGTGCAGACCTGTATTATGCAATGATCTTCAACTCCACCCCCTGATCATGCAGAAGTTTACTATGCAATGATTTTAAGCACCACCCCCTGACCGTACAAACCTGTATTATGCAATGATCTTAAACTCCACCCCGACTGTGCAGACCTGTATAATGCAATGATTTTAAACAATCCCCTGACCGTGCAAACCTGTATTATGCAATGAACTTAAACTCCCCCCCCCTGATCATGCAGACGTTTATTATGCTATGATTTTTAACACCACCCCCTGACCGTGCAAACCTGTATTATGCAATGATTTTAAACACCACCCCACTGACCGTGCAGACCTGTACTATGCAATGATTTTAAACACCAACCGCTGACCGTGCAAACCTGTATTATACATCCATTTTAAAGTCCACCCCTGACAGTGCAGACCTGCATTATGCAATGAACTTAAACTCCACTCCCTGATCATGAAGACGTTTATCATGCAATGATTTTAAACACCACCCCTGACAGAGCAAACCTGTATTATGCAATGAACTTAAACTCCACTCCTGATCATGAAGACGTTTATTATGCAATGATTTTAAACACCACCCCTGACCGTGCAAACCTGTATTATGCAATGAACTTAAACTCTACCCCCATGACAGTGCATACCTGTATCATGCAATGATCTTAAACTCCACCCCTGACCGTGTAGACCTGTATATTGAAATTATCTTAAACTCCACCCCTGACAGTGCATACCTGTATCATGCAATTATCTTAAACTCCACCCCCCTGACAGTGCATACCTGTATCATGCAATGATCTTAAACTCATCTCATCTGATCTAATCCTAATCCCATATTGCAGTATAATTTTAACTCATCAAGGGCGAGAATACAGTGGCGCTATAATAGCCTCGATAATTGTGGGGTGGGAGGGTAGTCAATGTTTATGTAGGTATGCATGTCAAAAGCCTAAAAATTAATTTAATACGGCAAAATATGCATAGCAAGCTTTCTATGGTGTGGAGGAACGATCAAAATCCAAAAGGAAATAACGGCGAAAACCTGTTTCAAAAGATGAAGGAAATGTCAATAATTTGCAGGCAGTAATCTACACTTTCCCTTATCGTCACGTCACTAACTTTCTTGCCTGTTTCAATTTTGGGATTTTTGCCCAAAGCAAATATTTTGCCCACTGGTGTGTTCTGTATTTATTGCCCAATCGATAAATGTTCGATAAAAGATGTTGAGTAAAAAGTCTGATACTTTTTATATTTTACATTAATTCTTCTCTCTCAAACCCCCCCCACCCGCAAAAAAAATGACTTAAGTATTAAAGTTAGCCACGTAAAGATGCATAAAAAATGGAAGAAGTTCAAACAGTACTTACTCCGTTCACTTCATAACTAACGCGACCACATTCGGACTCGCCATTGCGAAATAACTGCTACAAAAATAATGATGAAACTCTTTGAAAACGACATCACAAACATTCAAAGTACAATAAAACAACAGGAATACGCAACTCAAAAAATTCATACACGACCATTAACAACGAGTAATTTTAAAGCAATATGCATAATGAACAGTGGTGTAGCAAGCACGATAACTGGGGGGAGGGAGTAGCACATATCTATATATTCCACATATGCATGTCCTGCCGTATTGAGTTCCATTGTGTTCCATGCATAAAGACGTGCATAGATGAATTTGTTATCTACCCACCCTCCCCATCCCTTAATTAACGCGTTTGCTTCGCCACTGACTATTACATTTTCCTAGCTAATTGATCACGATGAAAATCACCTGTTTGGGGTAGCTGTGTCTCGACAACCTCGCCTCAACTTCCACTTTACCAACAACTCTTTCCTCGCTTTTTTCCTACAAAGGAAACATAAATGGATGATTCACCAAAAGACGATTTCTCAATTTCTCGTAAAACTTTGTAAACCAAACCAGGATGAACGTGCATACACGGCAAGCGTCAAAAAGTACACAAGGTGTCAAGGTCACTTACTTCAAATGTAACAGAGCCTTGTTCCAATTTCACCACTCGACATGCAATTGGTTTACGAGAATCTGATGTCACTTCAAACTCCACACAGTCTAAACAAAAAAAGATTTAATCGACTATCAATATCAATCGAAATGTTCTTTACACTTCAGATAATAGACCAGAGCAGTGGCCTTTGCAGTAGCAGTAGAAACAAGGGGATAGGCGGGGTGGGGCGGATGGTGAAGGATTACAGTGTGAAACTCCCCAACAAGTCAATGATCAGTGGTTTGTTCTGACTAGGTAAATAAACAAAAGTTCTGTTTCGTTTTACCCCACAATAAAACAAAGACTATACATGAGTTTGAAAAGTTGTTTTAACTAACACTAACATTTGGACACACATTTTTTGCAGACAGAGTCCTTCAGAATACCCATCACATTCACATTAAAAGACAGAGCAGTGCAAGTTAGAATAGCAAAGAACACCCTCATACAACATCGTGAAGGCACGTGAATGCCACGTGTTGATAACATGAACTGTGGTGGGATTCAGATGGTGGAGATCAAATTTTAAAAGTATACCAACAAAGGCATGCCCTGGAATCTCCATAGAAATCTCATGCCTTGAGGATGAGCTTCCCTCTCCCAATATGTCATAAAGTGTCACCACTGATTATGGTAGGGAGTGAAAAGTCATATGAGGAAACCCAATGAATTACTTGACAAAGAATGCTTTTCAAATAATGACTGATGAAACAAATGCTCTGAATAACTGGATAAGCTCACAAAAACAGCTTGTTCCCCTTATTAAATAGCAGAAAGGCAACAAGCCTCATACTTGAATGAAATTATATCAACGTTTCAGAAAAACAATATAATACTAATGGTGTAGTTGCACACATAACAAGTAATATAAGAGTCGTTGAAGGGTGAAAATAAGCAAAATTTACAAACCACCAAGTTCCAGTTCACTTGAATGTCCTTTGTACTGACTGTAATGAAAGAACACTTGAAGATCCTGTTCAGCACACTCAATAAAGCCAGAACTTTGCTGCAAAAAAACATGCATAAATGTTATAGTAGAAAGACTGAATGTGCTTTTAGAGGGGATGAAATTAGGGAATATATATCAATAACATTATGGAAGATGTCATTAATACACATGTTGAGGTCAAAGCACTCATTGCCGGTCAAATATAGTTCAATGCAGTCAAATGTAGATGAATGTATTCAAATGTGTTTAAATGTACACAAAAGTAGATGAATGTATTCAAATGTAGATGAATGTATTCAAATGTGGTTGAATGTACACAAAAGTAGATGAATGTATTCAAATGTACATGAATGTATTCAAATGTGGTTTAATGTACACAAAAGTAAATGAATGTATTCAAATGTAGATGAATGTATTCAAATGTAGATGAATGTACACAAAAATAGATGAATGTATTCAAAAGTAGATGAATGTTTCCAAATGTGGTTGAATGTACACAAAAATAGATGAATGTATTCAAATGTACATGAATGTATTCAAATGTGGTTGAATGTACACAAAAATAGATGAATGTATTCAAATGTGGTTTAATGTCCTCAAACAGGGTGCAAATTAATATTACACAAATGGGCATGTGAATTTCAGTTGAAGGTATTTTCACAATCTTAGGTTAAAAATTGATACAATATCTGTCATGTTGGATTAAAGTGCCTATGTGCGATAATGGGACTTGATATCATTATAATTATCTTAAAACATAGATTACTGAGGCAAACAGTCCAAATGCAAGTTTCAAAAGAAAGCTTTTCAAATTGACCAGAACAAAAAATAAGACACCAAACAGTGCAAAACGGTTACAGCTTCCTCTACAAAGGCTATTGAAATCAAAAACATTTTTGGCAAACTTTTAGATATCATGCAAACGCACTTTTAGATGAACAAAGTGACATATTTTTTGTGTATTAAGAAACAAGTTTTTTGGTCATAGATAAATTTTTTACTTCTTCATGGTACATCTTATTTTTATCTTGCAGGAACTTACTGTACAAAAGCAACACCTTTGTAAAAACAGCAGAATCTGCAGCAAACTTTTGCATTTCTCAATGTCACATAATGATTCATGAAAAAATTTAAAATAGTTGAGAAGCATTTTTTTTGCATTAATTTGGGTCCTTGACCAGTGCATAAAAACTTCATACTAAACTGACTTTGAATTATTAAAATAACTTACACAAAGTTTTTCAATGACACCTGTTTCCCTGCGTAATACATGAACACAATTTGAAAGGTAATGGTCACTGGTACCATAGTCCTGAGACCCCTTTGTTCACATAGAATGTTTCTAAGTAATAAAAAAACATTATAGAATGTTTCTAATTAATAAGAAACATCATAGAATGTTTCTAATTAGAAGGAAAACATTATAGAATCTTTCTAATTAGAAGGAAAACATTATAGAATGTTTCTAATTAGTAAGAAACATCATAGAATGTTTCTAATTAGTAGGAAAACATTATAGAATGTTTCTAAATGGTAAGAAAACATTATGGAATGTTTCTAATTAGTAGGAAAACATTATAGAATGTTTCTAAGTAGTAAGAAAACATTATAGAATGTTTCTAATTAGTAGGAAAACATTATAGAATGTTTCTAATTAGTAGGAAACATTATAGAATGTTTCTAATTGGAAGGAAAACATTATAGAATGTTTCTAATTAGTAAGAAAACATTATAGAATGTTTCTAATTAGTAGGAAAACATTATAGAATGTTTCTAATTAGTAGGAAAACATTATAGAATGTTTCTAATTAGAAGGAAAACATTATAGAATGTTTCTAATTAGTAAGAAACATCATAGAATGTTTCTAATTAGTAGGAAAACATTATAGAATGTTTCTAATTAGTATGAAAACATTATAGAATGTTTCTAATTAGTAGGAAAACATTATAGAATGTTTCTAATTCGTAAGAAAAGGTTATAAAATGTTTCTAATTAGTAAGAAAACATTAACAGCAAAATGAAATGAAAATAAAATTTTTCATAAACAAAATGCAGTAGAAAGTACCTTCCATGAGTCTGTTGCCATATTTGATTCACCAAAAAGAGAATTCTATTTGTTACAAAGGATGCCAGCAATTTGAATTATAACTTTTTGCAAAATAATATATATGGTATATGTATAAAAATTCTCCTCTCAATTTTCCTAAATCACCGAATAATATAATCCATTTGCCGAACAAAAACAGGAGGCACAAATCTGCTGTGAATATTTAAGATTGTTCCATGTAAGCTATGACTTGCCAATATGAAAGTTTCCTTAACATGGGCTGTGCAAGATGATATGGATTTGGCTTTCTCTATAGAATTTGAATTGGCGTTTCCTCATCTTTTTCTGCTTTGCAGACATTTATTCCTAGCAAATAACCAGAAAAAGTAATTTAACACATTTTTTAAATATATCATTTGCTCATCATCTAATAACATGGGACATTCAATTACATGTTTTGACTTATCAATAGTGCTGTAGAATATTTATCATCAAGAGCAGCAGTTAACAATCAATAGCACAACATGTATATACATACTTTGTAAGAAAAGAGAAGTGCAGTGTCGTGATTGCAACAGACAAATGTGCAACAGTTTATACCTGTTACAACAGACTATCTGTTGCACAACACATACATTTGTTTATTTAAATGTCTTCTTATCCAAATGATTCAAACTTTTCTTGAATTGAATGCGCATTAATGCGACTTGAATATTAACAATTTCTAAGCAGTATAAATAAATGCTATTGTCTACTGGAGCTCTTGATTCTTCCTTCAAGTTAATGAACATTCTACTGTTCTACTGTTAAGTAAAATAGCATAATTGAATGTTCAATCTTCTTTAATAATGAGCGAATGGTGTAGCAGGAGTAACAAGTGACAAATCCCACAAAATACTTTACAATACTGAATAGTACGGAATGAAGACACTGCACTGGATTTCTTGTGATAAAGACTTTAATTTTTATATACAGCAACATAGCTATTGTAATTATACAAAAGATCAATCTACACTAAAACTGGAACAGATAAGGACATAAGTTTCGACATCAAATCAATTTCCACAAGACACTAAACACCAGACAAAAAATATGTTAAAACTTTCAACATGAATCACATCAGATAAAAGCGACTCATAATTTTGAAGTCAAACATACAAATATCATGTCCATATAAATCAGACAAAAGACACGCTTTTATTTGTATCTTTAAAAGAGTCGAGGCACATCTAAAGTTCTTTTTCAATTTGGAAATTCAATGCTGAAATTCACTTCTTGAAGACATCAAATATCAAACGAAAAACTTTTTCATCAGAATATCAAATTGCTTGTCAGTCTTTGTTTCTTAATTTATTTCAATAATGGTCATTTGAAGAAACTGTAGCGTATAGTTTTAATTAAATTGGTTGCCACAAAAGCAAAAAACAAAAGGAAGACATACAAATACAGGCAAGGAGAATATTTTGCCGTCTGCTGAGTCTTTGTTAATCGGCTTTGTCTCGAAACATGGTGACTAATGATTGTCAATTTAAAAGGTCAAATTAACGCCAACGGAGTACAAGGTGAACAAAATGTAATGAAATATTTAAGAACTGACAATTGATATTGAAAAAAATCAATACCTTTTGAGGACAAAATTTCGTCCGTAACCACAACACTATTCAAATTCTTACAATCCGCCATATTACATGATATCAGTGAACTCTTGAAAGTTGAAACACCGGGCACTTCCGGTCATCTGTATATGTGACGTTTTAACCGGAGATACTCGTGAGAGGGTCGGCTATGTTTTCCGTGACTATAGCCTGATTCGCTGTTTCGCACAAGTCTTCAATACCCTCATAAAGATACCTTCATGTTTCATTGTAATTGCCCCGTATTTCTGTATTTGTAACAAGTTGATATTTTCCGTAAATAAAGCATAATTCGAAAGCAAATGTAAATATGGCCGCGTTTAAACAAGATCAATCTTTCGGTGGTGTTCAGGCCGGTGTAGAAAAACGAGGAGAGGGTTAACAACAGACTATTCATTAACGATTTGATTGTCACCAATTAACTTGAAACCACTCGGCTCCTTCCTTAGTATTCAACCAAAGGATGTGTTTTGCAATAGAGCTTTCTGACACATACATTTTTCATGTTTTTTAAAATGTCAAGTCGTTGCTTCCAACCCATTTCTTCTTCTTCGTTAATCACTAATCTACAGCCGAAGTACAACGTTCCTAGCACTCTCGCAATCAAATAATCAGGAAATTCAATTAACTCGAAAATTTTGGATATTTTCTATGAATATCATCATGACGATAAGAAGAGAAAACAAGAAAGGACAAGAACATGCTTTAAAGTACCATTTTTTTAAACTAACAAAGTTGGTAACAAAGTAAACTCCATCCACTAAAACTTCCAGTTTCCTACGTCAGGTAAATTAATGAGATGACAGTGCGCACATATTCATACATATTCCACAAACTCCAAAATACATGAATGTATCAAAATCCCCTCCCCGTCTCATTAAAATAAAATACTGAGCATGCTACGCCACTGTTTATTTGTAATTTAACTTTATTTCTTATTTAATGTATTTAGATAAAAATTATTACAGCCGTTATCCTATTTCAAATATTGACTACATCCTTAGTCTAAAAATTTGATGTTATGTTCCAAATTGTTTTCAAATACTGTTCAGAATCATTCACTCTCGTTCACTCTTATAGTTAAAAGGAAATAAAATTCTATGCTTAATCATATTCTTCTATAGTACGTTAAATTTCAGAAAACGTCTAATAATTTCATGAAAAAATTCAACTTCCCCATTTTTGAGAACTTTTAGTAGCCGTCAAATAACTACAATACGCAGTTCACTGCACTGTAGCAGAATTTAAATTATTCTAATAAAAGAATGACCAATATGACAAGAATAATGAGCAAAATTGCAGCTACAACTACACCAGCAATAGCACCAGTATTTCCACCGTCTACAAGATAAAATGAATGACAAATCATAACATTACCAACCAATGTTGTCTTTCAGCGATCATTTTATCATTTTTCTAAGCTGAGGGTGTAACCGCTCTCACACCTCATGTATTCATCCCTGTCAACTATTCATGATTTATTTATGCTATAAGTTAGGTTTGGAACGCAATGAAGTTAGAGACGAAGTACACATAATCACTAATCTCTATTTGAAGCATTACACTTTAGACATCGATAAACTTCCTTATGCTATTGAAAGCAAACACAAACCTGAAGACTTGTGCTTTTGGGCAGTTGCTGCCACTGGACTCCAGTCAGTGGAATAATAATCACCCTGAAACGAAGTGAACATTTATATTTGAATAAAAATTGCAGCAATCAATGCAGATGAAAATGTATAAAAAATATCGCACCTGATCATTAATGAAAATGCGCTGAAATATTTTGTAGTTAGTGCCAATCTTCAACGGGCCATTATAATAATTTTCACCAATGGAACGCCGTGTTGTGTTTTCACCGTCACCAAGTGTAAAATCAGGCTTAAAGTCTCTGCGAGAGACTACAGCGGCAATATACGGCATTAGTTGTGCGGAAGATATGGCCTGAGAATAAGTCCCTAAGTCTATGTTTTTAAATTAGAAGGCAAATGACTCCCTTCCGTGCAATTTTTCATTGCGACTACATAGAAATATCTGCAAGTTGAAGGCAAAACATTTTTTAAAAATACATACATAACCTCTGCTTTCGTTATTCGTTAAAATATATGTTATGCATGTATCTGCACTGCCAGAGAAAAGCGACGAGTCATCAAAACTTTTCCAGAGAGATATTTAGCTTTTCCAGAGAGATATATATGAACTCACCATCTTCAGCAGTTCTAAAAGTAGCTGTAGTTGATCTACCAAAGCCTTCAGAATTGCCAGCGGTTACATTAACTTTATACGTTGCGTAAGGAACAAGATTCGTAATGTTGTACGGTTTTTTGTCAGTTACCTCTAAAGTTTTATTAAAAACAATCATAGTATCCTTCAGCAAAATCAATAGATATCTTGTAAGAGGATTCGAGATATTTGTACCAAGTTTTACACCAGTTTTTTTGGGATGTTTCCATGATATCTCGAGGTACGTCGATGCAGATTTGGTTGCAATGAGATCTGTTGGTTTGTCTGGGAGTAAGTCTGCACGATAAAAGAAAAATCTACAAATTGAACCATGTGTAGCCCCTAAGTGAAATCAGTCTTTCTGCTTTTTCTTCAATAACACGTGTTAAACTTAACTGCATGTTGAAAAGGCTTCTTTCAATAAGTTTATTTCATTAGAGAAAAAGACTAACACTTCAGCCTTCATGGAAAACTGTTCACTTTTGTCAACTAACACTTATTTAATTAATTCTCAGAGAAAAAAAATTTATATACTGATTAAATAAGTGCTTACAGTGCAAAGTAAATCTGGTAAATTTGTTCTACCTCTTACCTCCACCACAAATTTCAATTCGTAAACACGGTGCACCAACAAATTTCAATGGAAAGATTCGCAAAGCTTTGGATTTAAGGCCACCAGAAAACTTTTCTATAGCCGCATCGTTGTAACCATTTTTGTTTCCTAGATAAATCTGGAATAAAACAAAAAAATTGATTTTCGTGTATTTGCAGAGCAAGGTTAGAGAAAAGAAAGGTTTGTTTAACGCTGTCCAGAGGAGAGTAGTTTATGCATTGTCTATGTATCTCTTCAAATCATGCACATAGCTACAATTTAAACTTTATAATCAAATTCAAGAGTCCTTCGTAGTGCTGGAGTAACCAAGACAATCAACACAGTGACGTAGCTAGCCCACAAATTTGGTCGTGCTATATGTAAATTTCTCAGTGCTCACTTACTGTAAAAACAATAGATCTCTAAAGAAATGAATAATGATAATGATCTGAAATTTACATAGAACCAGCAATTTTGCGCGCCGGCTACACCACTGAATCAACATCTGCACACAAGCTTGTATATAAATAGCAATTTAAAAGTTTACTTTGTTTATAACTTCATTCCTTTTTTAAATTTCCCATTAAATTTATAATATACAAATTCGAAAATTCTACCCTTACCATCTGGGATTTTTCAGATTTCCAGCTCACACCATCAATGTTTGTCTGCAAGTGATATTTAGTTACAAAGCTTGAACTTGAACTGTCACCAAAGATTGCGATGACGTTAACTGCATAAAGACTTGAAAATTTAGTTGAAAATAATAATTGCCGTCTGCAGCAGGAGCACACCATGAACTACCACTGGATATTCTTGCTTTAGAAGCACTACGACTCTTTGGGAAGGCAGTAAACCAAGAATCTGGGAATTTTTCTGCGTTTTTTAATAGAGGATTATCACAAACATGACCTTAAATAGAAAAGGGATTTTCTTGAAATTCATTACAACATTAGAACTGGTTTGATTTGATAGAGAGCAATGATGCAATCCCATATTGTTCTCCATTCACAAAAAGTAGCAAAAATTAAAAATTGTTGTCTGAAGAAAGAGAAAGAGAGAGCACAAGAAGTATTTGAGGAATACGCCTGATTTTGCAATGGTTTTATTAAATAAGGTTAAATTCCAATTGGAATCAAGCCAGCTATGACAAGAAAACGTAAGTATCTTGTCTAATAACAGCAATACGGTAACGATATCAATTCCATTCACGTGTATAGTGTACGGTCAAGTACTCATGTGTATAGTGTACGGTCAAGTACTCATGTGTATGGTGTACCCTCAAGTATACATGTCAATCAACAGAACGTCTCATCGTTATTTTCTAAATCAATGTTGTCCTACAACAATATGTTTACAAAATCTTTGTGTTTGAGAGTAACAACGAATGAAAACTTTAAACATACAACATAAGTATTTGTAAACACTAAATGATAAAAAAAAATTCCTTACCTGTTTTTTAAAGACAAGAAAAGTAAAAGCAAAACTTTGTCGTTCGCCATTTAAACAAAAGTTACAATTTGCATGCCTTCATCGAAATGAATTTGTAAAAAATCGAAAAACGCAATTTCTCCATGTACAAATAATCAAATTTTTAAAATAAAAATCTTTTTTTGACAATTGTCAATTGGCTAGCGTATAAACTTAACTGTCTCGATGACACTGAAGAAAATACTGCAGTGTTGATTTGAGACAAATTACTCAACAGGAGATTTTAAGATGATATCAACCCATAGACATATTGGCACAATGCCGCATTCTTTAAAGGTACAAAATCCACTTCTTCTTAAGATCACGTGATCACGAAGATTCTTTAATGATTTCTAGTCTTCTCGGCCCGTATAGCAACACATATGCACAATGCCAGTCACCTAAAGGAGAAACAGCCTTAACCAAGGATCATTAAAATAAACCAGACATTCAAATAAAATCAAAGCTATTTTCTATAACATAGAAGTGGGGTGTTGCAATTGCAAAAGACTATCTGCGATAGACTATTTCTGTTGGGAAAGACGTCTTTCGTGCAAAGTATATACATGTTTATTTGATTTTATGGAATGCACGTTAATGCTACTTTAATATTCCCTATTGTTATGCTATGCGGCATAAATAAACATTGATTTTCGACTAATACTCTTGATTATTCCTTCGCGCTAATGAATTTTCTAAATGACTATTGATAAGTCAAAGCGTGTAATGGAATGTTCAATGTGCTCCAATGATGAGCAAATGATGTATTAAAATAGACTAGATTAAAATTATTTAAGAAATAAAAGATTTTTACTGTGTTTGCACAGGCTTATGAAAACCGAGGAGACCTTTGGGAGAACTCGAGAGAAGATCAGTGCAAGCCCGAGACCGAAGTTCGAGGGTTGCACATGCTCGAGAGTTTGTTTCGCTTTCGTTTCAACGTCTCAATTGACGATGAAACCCACGCAAAATAAGTCTTTTCCAAGCTGAAAAGTTTTAGCCGGCATGAAGAAAGTTAACATTATATTTGAAAGAATGTTTAGACATTGTGATACGATATTGATTGCAATATATATAAAAATTTCAATATCATTGAGAGGCTCTAACCCAAACACAAAAAGGAGCAAAAACATGATCATAAAAAGCATTGATAAAATTTTCAAAGAACCCTTCCTCTAAATTCAACTAAAACTTCAGCAGCAAATACCTAACACAATGATAATCACCATTAAAACTTAGGCAGAGGATGATCTTACCTCCCCCGGATAATTTCAAAACATCTTCTTCAGTAATGTGCGTTATTTTATCGTCGTCGCACTTAATCCAAGAGTCTAAAATATAAAGTAAATGGTTTGAACCCGGGGGGAGTATAGCTACATGTTTGTGGATGTAGAGAACCCTGAGAAAGACTCTTGTTGTTGAATGATGACTTAAGTTTCGACAACCTTAGCGGGAGTCATCTTCATCTAAGGTTGTCGAAACATCAGTCAACACCAAAAACAACAGTCATTCTCAAGAGTCTAAAATATATGAACAGAACATAAAAATGCATTGCGTTGCCTGCAAAATTAGTTACAGACATTGATTACACAACTTAAGCGCATGTTTTCATACTCAAAAGTCGGACAAAATTACGATTGAAAAAAAAAGAGAAACGAAAGGAGGAAGTAGAAGCGTTCGCCCCACCTACCACGTGTAAACTAACACTTGTCATTTCAAGACTTGATTAATGACATTAAACGGACGTTTCCTGCCCACACAGATTTATTTAATATAAGACCAATGCAAGGATTCCCCCTTCATTCCACGTCCATCGTTTCTACGTTTTTACTTCATCACTCTCTTCGTTTGAAAAGTTTTTCGCAAAAATGGCTTTGAGTTGGAGGTTTTCTGTCATGTTCTGCTTCAGTGTATTCGATCTGGGTAAGTTTTTGGAATTTAAATCATCACGAACAAGTGAACACTTTTTGGTAGAAATTCACTCGAATTGTCCCGAAGTTCTTTTGTCTTGAAGTTACTTTTGATTTGAAATGATGGCGATGACGCCACAGTTGATGCAAAAATTGCAAACGGACATTTTAGATTCTTTATTCAATGATTTTTTAATACGTAACTCGTGTTTGAATGAGACTTGTCTCTACGCAAACAAATACTTGGTTTCAACTTAAATCATATCAACTTTCATAAAACGGCGCTCGATGCTTCAACCGTGACTAACTTAAACATATTTCATTACACTCAGTAATAAAACAACTACTTCGTAGCTAAAATACATCAACCCTAACTAAGCAGTTTCTTTTGCGTTGACCACAACGTAATCATCCCAGTGAATTAAAACTGGCGCTCATTCTCGAAAGTAACCGCCCTTAAGCTCCCCCGCACACATAGTAACCACCCCGCAAAAGAATTCCCCCTTAATGGAACCACACCTAAAAGGAACCACCTGCTTACAAAACAAAGTTTTTTCGATTAAGTAAAAATAGACTGTCAAATTGCATTTAGCAATTTCCTAAAGAGTTCTTACAAGAACAAATGATGAGATAGAGCGTTTATAATCGAATTTTCTTATTTAGCTTGTCAAAGTGTACTTTCAAAATCGTTGTTCGTCAGTCAAAATGGCGCAGATTTTCCATCGTGTGGTTATAGAAATCGTTCTTGTCGAACGATCAGACACGCCATTACGATTGCAAGGCCTGGTGAGAAGATTCTCATTGAATATGCGCACAAGCCATATGACGAATGCCAAGATTCAAGAACAGTTACATATCTTAACAAGTCCCTAACGTTCATAGGTCACAAAGGCAAACCGACAATTGAATGCAAAAGAGGAGCTCAATTATTTAAAATACCATCACTGAATGAAAAGATCACCATAAACACGACGAATTTGATTCTGATATCTTCAAACTCGGTCATTAGCTGCGATAAACGATCAAGATTCGCACTTTACATCAGGAACTGCGTTTTCCGAGTTTCCAATACAGCAATCGCAGCAAAATCAGCTCACGATTGTTCCATCACGATCCTCAAAAGTACTTTTTATGGTCGTACGTATCCATCGGCGTCAATGAGTTGTCTAAATCTAACAGCACATCTTGTCGACAGTACGTTTCGCGCCAGCCCTGTTTCCCTTCGAACAATTATGGAAAAAAAGACACTCTACGTTCAACATACGACCGTTTTCGTGTCAAACTGTCATTTTCATGGCGAGCAAAAGAAAATGTGCGGATCGCTTCTACAAATATTGCCAATGGCAGTCTATAGTAATGTCACAATTGTAAGCAGCAAATTCACAGATCATTTTGGAATATGCACAGGAACTAAAAAAGGAAATACGCTTTATATCAAGGGGAACAAGTTCGCAAAGAAACGAAAGCAAACGCTTATTCATCTAAATAACCTAACACTAAAAGACAACCGTTGCACAGGAACAATACTTCGACTTGAGCCGCTGCAAAAAAAAGTAGATATCTTTGATGTTGTTGTTTCTAATTCGTTATTTGAAAACACATCATCCGTTTTGTACGTTTTTTTTTGATCTTTCGCGTGGTGGCCTTCGAGGCAAAGCTGTACGTTTCGTCAACAACACTTTCATAAACACGCATAAATATCGCTCAAGTCGTTTTTACAATCTCCATTTAAATCCTGGAAAATTTCTGTTCACAAAATGCACGTTTATCGATAACTATGGCGGAAATGAGCCCAACGATGCTGTCGTTGGCGTCTCTTCATACAGTGTTGCCGTTATATTCAGAGATTGTTATTTCGAGAACTCGAATCCTGCATCGTCCTCGACGTTAATCTTCTCACAAAAAAAGAACTTCGTGCTGTTTCAAAAAAACAACACGTTTAATATCACCGCGACGCAACGTGAACTAAACGTCGTCGCGTACATTTTCACGAAGCCCGATAATGTACGTCGTTTCCGTCTTCAGGACAACCTCAAGATCCTTTGTCCCTATGGATATGTGATGTCCAAAAAGATGTTTTGCTACGAGGTCAAAAATAAGGCATACGTTGAATGCAACGAGTTCGTGGTAAAATGTAAACCATGTCAGCGGAATACTTATTCGGTAAGTCGTGCGATACTTCATAACAATATCACCAACAGTATCAATTGTCAGGACTGCGCGAATGGCGGTCAATGTTACAATGGTCGCCTGACAGCAAAGCCAAACTACTGGGGATATAAAGTCAACCAATCAGTCCGCTTCATACGATGCCCACACGGTTACTGTTGCCAAGGCAATGACTGCGTCACATACAGTAGTTGCCATGGAAAGAGACAAGGTAAAATTTGCGGGGAATGCCCGCATGGCATGTCGGTATCGTTGTTTTCTGCAGCATGCATTCCAAACGCTAACTGCGGTCATTATGATGCTATTCTCTTTGGCCTCGGCTACTGTATTGTTTATTTAGTGTTTTTTCTCTACCATAAAGAAATAATTCGATTTGTCAGGCGAATTTTTTTCACTTCCTCCAAAGAAACCAACAGCGGATTGTTGAAGATCGTATTCTACTATTACCAAATCAGCCGTTTCTTGGTGAGTCCAACTAATTTTGAATCCCGTCAAACAGCCATGACGGAAGTACGTAATAAGATCGGAGAAATTTTCAACTTCATCATCATGAGTATTCCATTCCTGGAATGTCCAATTCGTGACCTTAATGACGTCACAAAACAAACAATCCTTCACTCGCTGGGCTACGTCCTTCTCACATTTCTTGCCGTGCTGTTCACGGCAACAATTTTAAAGAATTTCGTCTGTAAACGCTTTAAATCTTACACGTCACGAGACATCCCGTTTTCCATCGAGACTGATGCAAGAGACGACGGAAAAGACCAAAGTTTCGAGGCGCGCATTGCTTCAGCATATACGCTCATCTCCCTCCTTATGTACGCATCATCCACTCAACTCTGTTTATCCTTGCTGCATTGTGTTCCATTGGATGATGAACAAGTTCTCCACATTAACGGCAACGTTAAATGTTATCAGCTATATCAATATATTTTCCTGGCATATTTCATAACATCCATACTGCCGTTTTGTCTTGTTCCTGTTCTCGGATCGCATCTTCTACGACTTGAAAAGATCACCGTCAAGCACTTCTGTATTGCTTGCCTCTTCCCTCTACCCTTCTGCTGCTATTGGCTGTATATATTCACAAGGATACGCGGTTTCACGAGAATGGGACAACATAACAACGACCATACGATGCAGGATATATGTGAGATAAACACGAACAATGAAGAAACAAACATCGAATGTCATACCGCAAAGAGTACGAACAGTATTTCTAGGATACTTCATGTCTTACAGGGTCCATTCAGACTTTATAAAGCCGATGAATGTTCCACAACTTCGCGCATACCGTGGGAAGGATTTCTCATCTTTCGTAGACTGGTTTTAATTGTCGTGCTGACTTTTCTCTACGATGTTAAATTACGAATGCTGGTCGCTTTAACGATCTGCGTGGCGATTTTGATATGTCACATGCTGGTGTTTCCCTTTCAGACCAAACGCGATAATATCGTGGAGTCTATCCTTTTAGCTATACACGTTATTTTATGCGGGATTACTTTGGTCAAGACTCTTTATCATGAAGAATGTAACGGTTCTTATAATGCGGAGAAACTCCTCGCGTTGGATGCAATACGAGATATAATAATACTTTCACCGATGTTTATTATATTAATGGCTGTTGTTCTTTCACTTTTTATAAAGATCTCGAATGGATTAAAATGTTTTGCAACGGGCTTGTTTAGAAAAATAAAACGCACAGGAAATTGATGTAACGTTGGACTTTACCTTTACGAAAAAAGCTCGCAGAAACGAGACATATGTTGACAATATAAAAACAAAAGCGAAGCTGGCGAATCTTTTGTGTTTAAACGTTTGAATCGAGGTGTTTATCACCCCGATGCAATATGTTTAGTACCTAAGGTCAGATGGGGTTGAAGAAAGAAACTATAGTCCAATGATATAAGACTTTACTCCCTATTACACCCTTTGATCCATGCAATATAATAACCTTTACTCACTGTTACTCCCTTTGATCCATGCCACATAATGACCAGATGACGATGATCGTCCTTGATGAGTCAGAACAGCTTGCAACTGGTAAAAACCACTGTTATTAGAGCCAGTGTCTGAAAATCAAACAAAGATTAGAAAGGTTCATGCATGGATAACGAGGGATCCGGTACTTCATACATGAATACCATGGGTAATGTAATTCATGCATGGACGAGGAGGATAATCTACTACACGCATGGATGAAATGGGTAATGTAATTCATGCATGGATAAGAAGGGGTAATGCACTTCATGCATGGATAAGGAGGGTAATCTACTACATGCATGGATGAAATGGGTAATGTAATTCATGCATGGATAAGAAGGGGTAATGCACTTCATGCATGGATAAGGAGAGTAATCTACTACATGCATGGATGAAAGAGGTAATGTACTTCATGCATGGATAAAGAGGGTAATCTACTACATGCAAGGATAAGAAGGGGTAATGTACTTGATGCACGGTGACAGAAGACAAATTGAACACTGCTTATAATTTTTGTAATTCGAAAAAAATTTATGCATTTAAAGAACAATACTATTATTTTAAATATATAAGAAAGATTACATCAAGATAATATACAAAATTAAGTATGAAAGATTTTAACGTATGAATCTACTGGTCATTAAACCAAGAGTAAAAAACTAAAAGTGACATTTTATCGTTTCATCAACTGCGTCAGTTTTTACGACACAACGTTTTTCAAGAGCTATTTGCAAATGTTTCGGCTTAAGAATAGAATCTGTATTCGTCATGTCAGCTTCCACTCTCTGATACTTCATGTTTACCAATGTCATACGGTAACTATATAACATCCGGGCAATGACATCGAACACAACCATCTTCGCGAGAGTCTCTCCGACACAAACGCGACTGCCTGCCGAGAATGGAAGCGTCGAGAAAGGCGGCGGTGTCGAATAATTTCCACAGCTATTCAAAAATCGGGCTGGCCTAAAGACATGCGGGTCATGCCAAGTTCTTGCGTCATTATGAATAGCAAAGGCATTTACGATTACGGTCGTGTCTTTAGGAATGTGAAAACCGTTAATTTTGCATCGGATGTTGCTCTATGGGGTAGAAGTAAAGGTACAATAGACCCATATCTTAACGTTTCTGTGATGCTTGCCCAGAGCAAAGGTAGTCGATGACGGTCGGAAAATGTCGGGGGAGAATCGGGGCCTAGAACTTGCATCATCTCTTCGTAAATCTGATCTTGTATATCTGAATGAAAAGCCAAGAGATACAGCCCCCACGTGATCACTGACGTCGAGGTTTCAATTCCCGCTATAAAATATCTTTCATCATACAAGTTATTTCTTCCTTCGTTAAAATGACGTCATTACTCTTACTATCCATGATGTCATCTGATTGCTTCTGAAACGCATGCGTCAAATCGTAGTCTTCCACTGGATTTGCGGTTTCGTGCTCCCCGTATATTCGCAAAACAATCGTGTCCAAAAGATTAGTGGCCGACTTAAGTTTAATCACGCTCTTCAAAGGCAATCTCCTTAGCAACGGGATGGCATCAATTAGGTTGCCAGGGGCAACATACTGCTGCACAACATTAAAAGTGTTCATGAGAGCATGGAATTCTGGGTCATCTTTGTCGTATTTGAACCCAAATGTTATGGCACAAATGATGTTAGCAACACAATGAAATATATCTTGCGGAATGTTCCTTGGAGTGACCGTTTTTTCTCCCAGGTCATCCATAAGATCCTTTATGACGTCACAAGCCTTATTTTCAAGACTATTACCAAACGTCCTGTAAGCAGCATAAAATATTTTACGTTGTTTCTTCCAACGCTGAGAAATTTCTTTCGAAAAAGCGATATTCTTACCATCGTGACTAAACAAAATGGCCGCGTAAGGTAGGTTCAACGGTCGTCCACCAAAAACAAATGATTGCCTCACGAGTACCTCCCGAGCCATTTCCGAGCTGCTCACGACAAGCGCACGCTCGCTTCCGAAGTAGATTGTCATTAGATCGCCATATTTCTTAGCAAGCTTTGCCAAATCAATATGAACGGTCGTACCAATCAAATTTAAGTTTCCCAGAAAGGGAAGTGGAAATGGACCGGGTGGCAGATCACGTGACGTTAAATGTGACCAATAGAAAAAGAGAACTCTCCAGAAAAAATATATCAAAATAATACCAACTAATACTTCGATCATGGCGCAAAACGATATCAGAAATGCTGTTAAGCGTTTTCTGAGAGTCTACGCGTGCCAACACAAAATAATTGCAATGTAATCCGATTGAAGTTTCACTTTTTTGAGTGCAAAAAAACTCACGTTTCAATAATCAATAACGTACAGATAATTCTTTGTCCAGGAGAGCACTTCATTCAGAAAACAAACGATGCAGTAAATAATCTTCTCCCCAACGATTTCAACTCGTATATTTTAAAGGCCTTTATATGGAACATTCGTCAAAACGCTATCAGTGAGTGTTGAAAAGGAAATAACGATTTTACTCACTTTATCCAAAACACTTCTCCAAAATGAAGTCAACAGTGTCCAAATTGTTGCGATAATCGATTTATTGCGCGTACCACGAAATAACAACAATACACGGTTAGATTATTTACCTCGAAAAGATGGCAACGCTCCACGTTAATGCTTTTCTACGCCACGAATCAAGGTTTTACACAAAATGTGTACTTAAGTAGAATTTGTCAACCTTGATGCCAGTGCAAGAAGATTGTAAATATAAAATACGTTCGCCTATTAAATAGACACGCTTCGTTACATACTTAATCTTTGGCAAAGTGGCAAAGCCATTATTGAAACAGAAGTGATGACGCCAGACCGACACAATGTTGCATCATGGGCAAACAAAAGGACATAATTTTACTAACAGATTTGATGTTAACCTTCAGACGAGCCCAATAAGACTGGAAATACAAACGTGTTTGCTTGTTAAAAAGATGAGCGTTTCATTTCATCTTTAATCTTTTGCCAAGTCTTGCGACCATTATATGTAAAATGTATTTTTGAAGGGAGGAAACGACAGAAAATATTCTTGAATCACAAAATTCGGCCGTTCTGCCGACAATTTAACAGACAAATTATTCTTTGATCTTTGTTTTGAAAGATATTTGAAAAATTTCAAGCAGTTTGCGTCATGAATTAATGAACTGCGAATTACTGGCTGTGTTCCAAAACCATTTAAATAAAACCTAATAAATCGAATCTATTTCATGCAATCGATAGTTTCTTAATCTTAACTATCAAATCCAATTCTATAGTAACTTACCATCAGAAAAAGAGTATGGTTGGTATTCCTTTACGTCAGAATCGACATCCATTTTATTAACACCAGATTTCTTTCCCTCAAGCTTAGCTTTCTAAATACGTACAAGCACAAATAACATATGTTAAAAAAATTCGATCAGACAAAAATATTTTCTAAAGCGTATACATCACAACATAGACACACCATAATTAAAATCTTCAAGTACACTCGAGTACCCTCAAGTACCCTCGAGTACCCACTTCAACAGCTCCATACCTATTTTACCCCACCTCACCCTTTTAATGATCCCACATTTGAAAGGTAGCAAAAAACAAACCCCTGACATACATTCACCTCCAAGTCTCTGAACAACGAGATTATGTGCATTGAGCATGGACTTTGTCAGGTTCTCTGCCGACATTGCATAAGGAATGGGGATTGAGTATTTTAATAAAAAGTAATATTGAAGCATGTGAATTACATATAAAATGCGAAAACAATTTGTGTGAAAATTCATTTAGTCCCCAGCCTCTTTTTATTTAGCCTCTCGCCTTTACTAATCCCCACTTGAATGATAACAATAAATCCCACAGGGGGAGGGGAGTAAAGAGAGAAAATAAAACATTATTGGTATCCTCAAGTACTCATGTTTATAGTGTATCCTCAAGTACTCATGTTTATAGTGTATCCTCAAGTACTCATGTGTATAGTGTATCCTTAAGTACTCATGTGTATAGTGTATCCTCAAGTACACATGTGTATAGTGTATCCTCAAGTACTTATGTGTATAGTGTATCCTCAAGTACTCATGTGTATAGTGTATCCTTAAGTACTCATGTGTATAGTGTATCCTCAAGTACACATGTGTATAGTGTATCCTCAAGTACTTATGTGTATAGTGTATCCTCAAGTACTCATGTTTATAGTGTATCCTCAAGTACTCATGTGTATAGTGTATCCTTAAGTACTCATGTGTATAGTGTATCCTCAAGTACACATGTGTATAGTGTATCCTCAAGTACTTATGTGTATAGTGTATCCTCAAGTGCTTTAACTCTACGTGCCTTTTCCTCCTCGAGTTTTTTGTCATCCATCTCCTTGAATTTCTCACGAATTGGTAACAATCTTTTTTGGAGTTCTGGTGTACATAGTTCCAACAAATCCAATGTTAATGGAAATTTCACATCCTTAGAAATTAAATTATGATTTGAAAAACGGTTAGAGCAAAATATTGAAACTACGTCATAGTGAACTGTCAGAGATGGGTTATCGAAACTATGCCATAGGGAACTGCTAGGGATGGGTTATCGAAACTATGCCATAGGAACTGCTAGGGTGGGTTATCGAAACTATGCCATAGGGAACTGCTAGGGGTGGGTTATCGAAACTATGCCATAGAGAACTGCTAGGGATGGGTTATCGAAACTATACCATAGTGAACTGTCAGAGATGGGTTATCGAAACTATGCCATAGGGAACTGCTAGGGATGGGTTATCGAAACTATGCCATAGGAACTGTCAGAGGTGGGTTATCGAAACTATGCCATAGGAACTGCTAGGGATGGGTTATCGAAACTATGCCATAGGGAACTACTAGGGTGGGTTATCGAAACTATGCCGTAGGGAACTGCTAGGGATGGGTTATCGAAACTATGCCGTAGGGAACTGCTAGGGATGGGTTATCGAAACTATGCCGTAGGGAACTGCTAGGGTGGGTTATCGAAACTATGCCGTAGGGAACTGCTAGGGATGGGTTATCGAAACTATGCCGTAGGAACTGCTAGGGATGGGTTATCGAAACTATGCCGTAGGGAACTGCTAGGGTGGGTTATCGAAACTATGCCGTAGGGAACTGCTAGGGATGGGTTATCGAAACTATGCCATAGGGAACTGCTAGGGTGGGTTATCGAAACTATGCCATAGGGAACTACTAGGGGTGGGTTATCGAAACTATGCCATAGTGAACTGCTAGGGTGGGTTATCGAAACTATGCCATAGGGAACTACTAGGGGTGGGTTATCGAAACTATGCCATAGGGAACTGCTAGGGTGGGTTATCGAAACTATGCCATAGGGAACTGCTAGGGATGGGTTATCGAAACTATGCCGTAGGGAACTGCTAGGGATGGGTTATCGAAACTACGCCATAGTGAACTGCTAGGGATGGGTTATTGAAACAACGCCATAGTGAACTGCTAGGGATGGGTTATTGAAACAACGTCATAGTGAACATTCATACCTTTAAAATTTTTGCGTTAACCTTCTCTTTTTCTTTGTAATAAAAACGAACAAATTGTATTGAAAGGTATGCAGGCAGACGCTTTAAAAGAGACTAAAAAGAAAAAGAAATACCTTTAACATGCTGGGGAAGTTTATCTTTCAATTCAAGATCATAAGATGAGTGCACGAAGACCAGAAAATGCCTCATTCATGAAACAGTTATTTTTTTACTGGTTATAAAAGGTGAAAATCTGAATAAGATGGTGACTGTTTTACGGGTTATTTAAAGGTGGGAATCTGTATATGATAGTGATTGTTTTACGGGTTATTTAAAGGTGGGAATCTGTTTATGTTAGTGATTGTTTTACGGGTTATTTAAAAGTGGGAATCTGTTTATGATAGTGATTGTTTTACGGGTTATTTAAAGGTGGGAATCTGTTTATGATAGTGATTGTTTTACGGGTTATTTAAAGGTGGGAATCTGTATATGATAGTGATTGTTTTACGGGTTATTTAAAGGTGGGAATCTGTTTATGTTAGTGATTGTTTTACGGGTTATTTAAAGGTGGGAATCTGTTTATGATAGTGATTGTTTTACGGGTTATTTAAAGGTGGGAATCTGTTTATGATAGTGATTGTTTTACGGGTTATTTAAAGGTGGGAATCTGTATATGATAGTGATTGTTTACGGGTTGTTTAAAGGTGGGAATCTGTATATGATAGTGATTGTTTTACGGGTTATTTAAAGGTGGGAATCTGTTTATGATAGTGATTGTTTTACGGGTTATTTTAAAGGTGGGAATCTGTATATGATAGTGATTGTTTTACGGGTTATTTAAAGGTGGGAATCTGTTTATGATAGTGATTGTTTTACGGGTTATTTAAAGGTGGGAATCTGTATATGATAGTGATTGTTTTACGGGTTATTTAAAGGTGGGAATCTGTTTATGATAGTGATTGTTTTACGGGTTATTTAAAGGTGGGAATCTGTTTATGATAGTGATTGTTTTACGGGTTATTTAAAGGTGGGAATCTGTTTATGATAGTCATTGTTTTACAGGTTATTTAAAGGCGGGAATCTGTATATGATAGTGATTGTTTTACGGGTTATTTTAAAGGTGGGAATCTGTTTATGTTAGTGATTGTTTTACGGGTTATTTAAAGGTGGGAATCTGTTTATGATAGTGATTGTTTTACGGGTTATTTAAAGGTGGGAATCTGTTTATGATAGTGACTGTTTTACAGGTATATTTAAAGGTGGGAATCTGTATATGACAGTATTCTGTGCTGCCAATGAAATGCTCGACTTGTTTAAAGTGGAGCTTTTGGCAAAATATCACTATCCATTAGATAGCGCTACGCATGCTCCATGCAAAGGGATCCAGCTCAACAAAAACAACAAAACTAACCAGACAGCAATGACGTCCGGCACACATACTAATGCATTATTGTTAGTAAAAAACGACGTCAATTTACTTACAGTTTTTAAATACTCCGCATTTCGGCCAAGGCTCGTTGAATTTTTATGAATAGTTTCTGTTAGACGCTGGAAAGACAACAAAAAGAGATCAATAATGAAGGTTTTTTTTAATTATAACGTTTACAGCACATACGTACATTTTTTAATCCTGTATAGAGATACTTTACATCTACAACATGAAGAAAAAGACCTAGAGTAAATTATACTGTTCATGCATTTTCACACATTACTGCGGGACCGTATGAAATTGATAATGGACGGGGTGGGGGGTGGTGGTGGTAGGACTCATATTCATACATTCACGTTATAGTCCTTAGAAAACATTGTGTTTTAAAGACACTTAAAGAATGTGTATCAACCAAGATGCATTGCGTGCTTGTGTTTACGCATGTTTATATCTTTACTCTTTGAGCTTGTGGCACACGGTATCCATTTTCGTCACTGCGTCGACTAATTTATCCAAAAAGTTGGCAAAAAACTCTATTTCACATAAGTTATTATCGTTTGTCCAAGTTTCATGGACTACAATAACAAAATGCGCCATTTTCTCGACCCACAAAATGGCCGTCACGCTGTTGATCAACGCGCAATGCATCTTGGTTGACACACATTCTTTAAAAGCACAAAACATGCCTATATGAATATAAGCCCTCCCCTTCCCCGTCAAATCTTCCTACAGCAACTGTACTGAGGACTTCAGAAAACCTTTACCTTTATCGATAAAACAGCTGAGTTGATATAAGGTCTCGGTGGATACAGATTCCGGTTCATCGGGCGCTTCAGTACATTTTAAGCTGTTAATGTTAAGGTAATAACGAAAAGATAAACGCATTGATCAATAAATTTGAAACGAGCATAAAGCATCAGACTATCGTTGATAAATTAAGTGTTTGATCATAAGCGGCCCAATAAATCAGATCAGGTCTTTGGTTGATTTTGTTTGTGGGGAGGGGGTGGGGGTGGGTCGCTTTTTGGAGCCATAAAAATGAAGTTGCCTGCCATCAATTTCATTTGCAAACCATTTTTTAGCATCTACTGGTACATAGTTGAGGTTGAAGACAAATATTGTTTTGGATTTTATATTGTATTCTGTGGACGTTCTCATTTATAAAATTTCTATATCAGACCATAGGTAGCCCAATAAATCACTTAGTTAGCTAAATTGTACAAACAATGGATAACTCTCTCCATTCAATCGTAACAGACTGTACAAACTTCGTGTTAATTGATTATGTATATATATTCATATATTTACCATATATTTTATATTATTTATTATATATTATTTATTATTTTATATATTTTTATTTTATATTTTGGTAAATATATAATGTATACATAATCAATTATTACAAAGTTTGCGGCGCACGGTCTGTTACATTGTAATGGAAGAATTATCGTTTGTTTATACAATTTAGGTAGCTAAGTGATTTATTGAGCATATGGTCTGATATAATTTATAAATGAAATCCACAGAATACAATCCAAAACAATATTTGTCTTCAACTCAACCATGCACCAGTAGGTGCTAAAAATGGTTTGCAGATGAAATCGATGGCAGCAACCTCTTACATGGCTCCAAAAGCGACCTCCCTCCCACAAACAAAATCAACCAAAGACCTGATCATATAACTAATGCTTCTCATATGCAGATACTGTTAAAAACGTTAAAACTAGCGTGAAGACGATAGACTTGAAGAAAACAATTGCTTCAGAAACACATCGTTATTGAAATGAAGCAAATAAGCTCAACACATCGTAATTTTTTTTCAATTGGTGAAAAAATCGGTAAAAGATACGTGCTTTGAAACTGAATACCTGAAATGAAAAATATATAAATACATGCTGTTACGATGATCATCAAAATAATAATCATATCATTACCAAAATATTGGTCGATTAATGACGACTGCCTCGATGAAGCCTCGCCGTTTGTCATCTCTTTATTTTCGTCCCCAGACCTCACGGCCGGAAGTTTTTGCTGCAGAATACGGACAAACTGGGTCCAACATTCGTTCGCATCCTGTAAAAAAGAAAAAAGAAAACTGTTTTTCTACAGTACGATGAATAGCTTTAGATGAGTAGCAAAGCCCACTTTCAGGGTTTATTCTTGCTATGTAAATTTTTGATCACTATCATTCTGTCGTTAAGACAAACGTTCAAAGCAGAGTCGTTGTAAGTCGTTGTAAGTCGTTGAGAGTCGTTGTAAGTCGTTGAGAGTCGTTGTAAGTCGTTGAGAGTCGTTGAGAATCGTTGTAAGTCGTTAAGAGTCGTTGAGAGTCGTTGTAAGTCGTTGAGAGTCGTTGTAGGTCGTTGAGAGTCGTTGTAAGTCGTTGAGAGTCGTTGAGAATCGTTGTAAGTCGTTAAGAGTCGTTGAAGTCGTTGTAAGTCGTTGAGAGTCGTTGTAGGTCGTTGAGAGTTGTTGTAAGTCGTTGTAAGTCGTTGAGAGTAGCTGTAAGTCGTTAAGAGTCGTTGTAAGTCGTTGAGAGTCGTTGTAAGTCGTTATAAGTCGTTATAAGTCGTTGTAAGTCGTTGTAAGTCGTTGAGTCGTTGAGAGTGGTTGTAAGTCGTTGTAAGTCGTTGAGAGTCGTTGTAAGTATGTCATAAAAACTGTCAGCGATGGTAAATCTACTGTTTCTACAGGAGTGGCAGTGGAACACACAAATTTACAAACTGAGACAAAATATCAGGCTCGTTTCACCTCTGCTTTAAATACATAAATGTTCTTTAAATAGCTGCGCAAATACCTGTTTGCATTGGAGCCTTGATCATTTTTCTCAGCAAAATGTGGAAATGCCAGATGTAACGCCTAGAAATTGTGGGTAAAAACTGCATTTCAAGGCTATTCTTCAAAAATTCACTTGTGGGAAATGGGTGTAATGCGGAAAGTTTTATCATGGATAAATGCATGAGAAATCAATTCAAATACATCACCTGAACTAAAAGAACGGAGGGAAGCTGTCGGAATTCTCATTGATTTTTGAAATGTATCTCTGAGGCCGGACAAAAACAGTTTGCTCTGTAGAATTAAGCTGTGAAGCAAAGTTTGTAGTACCATTGAATCTGTTCACAAAAGAGTTCATTAAATATTAAATGATACATGAGAGCAATTGCTATACAATGTTATTAATGCAATCTTGATTGTGATAGTCTAATTATGAGCATACAGATAATTCTCAAGGTTTTGCCCCTGAATTTTTACATGAAAATTGTAAACAAAATTGAAAAAGATTAATGGAGAAATCTTGCTTCAGATTTGCAAGTATTTTACAAACTGCTTTCCTAAATTATTTTGAATAAAGATGTAAAAAACAGAGAAAGTGTAACAATGTCAGTCAGGAAAGTTTTCATTTGGAAAAAGATGAAACTAAAAGCAAAAAATTATTTTGAGTCAAGATACGGGAAAATTTTATGACTTTCGTACAAAATAGTTTAAAAGCTTCTGTATTTACAGTTGTATAATAAAACAATTATAGAATTTGGTTTTTGCGCGATATCAATAATTATTCTACTGATAACTTTGACCTTGGTCAAATAATTCTTGATATCATGCTCAACCACATCAATAAATATCAATTATTTTCATCAAAGAAATTTTCTGCTGTTTCTTTTAAGAAAATTCAAAGAAAAGCATATATAAAATTGAAGGTCTAGGGATACTTTTATAATCTTATCATCATTTTTCAGTCTTCAATGAAACTTAAGCTAATGAGGTGTTTTATCATTAAGCAGCACACACCAACTTTATTGAAAACTTAGTACATAAAAACTATGCAAATAGCACATAAAAACTACAAAATTTTTATGTACTTTATGATAATTTTAAAAAATTGGTTTCAGAACTTTTGCAATCATGCAACTGTTCGGCTGACTGCAGACTCACAGATGCCAAATTTTTCAATAGGTGTTCAATCAGTATGTTTATCAAGCTACACTTACTTTTGCAATCCCTCATTCAATTCAGAAACAGTACACAAACATTGGACAGTTGCATTCATATAACAAGTGTTTCCAAGATTTGTAAGACCCGTGGGTAGCTTCAACTGTAATTTAAAAAAAAAGGTTTGTTTTTCTTTCCAATTCATAAAGTGTGCAAAATAAAAAAGTATTTACAGTATGCTGGCTGGGAGTCCGACATGTCTTCCTGAACATTACTTTCTTTGGGGCCTGTGGCAGCTCACCTACAGTACCCATCATCATCATACATCCCTATTAAGACAAATGTCAAATTATAGCAAAATCAATTTGACATAAAATTTTTTTAAAAAATTAAATAATAAAATTAATTATGTAAATAAATTTACATACATTTTTAAGCTTCATGTTACTCCATCCATCATCCTGGCTCAAGGAGAGAAAATTTTACAACAGATTAAAATAAGTCATACAGAAAATAAATCGAATATTACTTAAAAAAACTCAATAACAACACTGTTGATGACATGTTTGTAAATGTAGATCGTCCAGGTTGGTATAGTCCTGAGAAGGACCGTTTTTGTTGTTTTTTTTGACACCCACACATTTCCTGTACACACAATACAATGACGTAAGAACCAGATAACAAATACGGCTAACCTGACGTTTACTCCTCCTTTGACTCTGAAGATGACTACCGCTAAGGTTGTCAAAACGTCAGTCAACAACAACAAAAACAGCCCTTCTCAGGACTATACCAGCCTGGACGATCTACATTGACAAACATGTAACAATACTCCCGGGTTCAAACCATTTACTTTAATACTGTTGATGACATTTATACCTTGAGAACACTACCCTTCAACATTATCTTCTGTCTCTCCGGGGTGACGTTCGTTAATGCAAACAGCTGAGCTTTAAACAACTCTGGTAGCTCATCTGTGTTTACCTCCAAGTTTTCAAACTTCTCTTTTCCCCATTTTACAGACACTGAAAGAGGAAAAAGATGATTGGACGAGAATTATTCGCGAGTTTAATGACTCCTACCATCAGACATCATTCACATGCACTTGTCATGAATTTGTTCAAGTGATACTTCGAACAGTTTATTATATGATTAAAATGATAAAATTATAATATTCATGATGAATTTAGGACAGAAGTAAACAATCCGAAGTCAAGTTAAAAATTATAAGCAAACACGTGTTTATTTAAAGATAACATTAGGCATGTCCAATTACTACAGTTCCTTGTGCCGAGTCGCAGCTAAAAATAAAGTTAGAAACATTTACCTTGATAGGTTGGCATTGTTTTGTTAAATGATAAATTAATTTTGTTTAGCACTTCACAACAAGACGAACGATAATTCAAGATGGCTGCTGTCTAGCGATTACTTCGTGTAGTAAAAATGAAGTTGATCAATCCAGACTCTTCCGTTCCCAATCCCCAAGTGAAAAACGGAATTTCGTTCGACAATGGTTAAATCAATGGGAAAATTATCAATGACTGGGGGTATGGGGAGTAATGCATTGAAGAGTAGCCAGAGTGGGAGAGTGGAGGGTAGGAGGTGCATTTAGGGATAGTGTTGTTAATTTTAGACGGAGAAATTGAACCAAATAGAAAGTTCTTGCAGCCACGGAACTTTTAATTTCGACGACAAACGATAGTTCCCTGCGTCTTAGAGTAAAAGGACCATGTGGCTGTATGAATTGCCGCTTTGGACGCAATGGGGAGGAGGAAGTGACGTTTGAAAGTGTGTTGTTGTTTAGTAAGAGTAAAGACAAATTGTTGTTGAATGTTGTATGTGGAACCAAACGGTCCTCAAAGTAATTTGAAAGTAATAACTTTGTAATTTGGTATATTTCATTAAATTTTATTCCGAAGTTGTTTGACGACTTGATAGTCACACACCACAAAAATAAAACAATCAGCTTTGCCAATATCATTAAAATTTCCTAAGAAATATTATAATGCTGCTACGTCATTATTCATTACATTGATTTTGTTTCATAAAATTACGTACACAACCTTACGTACGAGAAAAATAAGCTCATATACGAATGTCGTCCCAATAACTCGTGCTAAAATGTGCAATCACACAAATGTATTTCTAACTCTAATATACCAACGAATCAATCTAGAAAAATAGAAAGAATCAATGCTCACTGTTCAAGAAAAAATCTTTTTTCATACATGGAATTTCAAAGACATTAAAACCCGATCAGCACCGCATAAAATACATTAAAACTTTATTATTTGCTCAAACTGATCAACAAACATTTCTCTACCAGCCAAACCATGTCCCTCAAACCGAACCACGTCCCTTCCACACAAACCACGTTCCTTCCAACCATGTCCCCTCCAGCATTTACGACTTGAATCGGACTTACTTGAGTTATAATTGACAAAAAAAAAATGAGCAAAAAGATTTATTTCCATCCAACAGCACTGCTTTCCAAGATAGCAACAAGCAAAATGGAGAATAAGTAGCAAAACGCAACTGGGACCAGCTTCCACAGCTATATTCAATTGTAACAAAATGCATGAACGCACTTGATACCTAAATATTTTAGGATAAATGATTCGAAAAACAAAATACCTTGTAGGTCAACGGATAACCCATAAAAAAGACGAACCATTGAACGAGCAATATGACAGTGACCTCTATAAATCGAAAACAACAAAAGATAGATTTTAATACCTCGGTTTGCACACAAAGGTTTCATATTCAATGGTTTTATTTTAGTCCCCTCACCGGCTGAATAATACCATTCAAGGTTCTTGAAGTAGACGAGAGCACAAAATATACCCAAACAAAGCGTGTTGTTCATCGTCGCTGCACCATAAAGCTGAAGAAAAAGAAACTTTACACAAGGATGACAAAAAGCGTGTTGTTCATCGTCGCTGCACCATAAAGCTGAAGAAAAAGAAACTTTTACACAAGGATGAAAGGTTAAGATTGAAGACCGATTAAATCGAATGACGCGATTTCGTACACGAACATTCCTTAATGTTGTAGACGTAACGAAATGTTTCAAAAGAATGTTGATGGCGGGAATCCTTCAAAAGCGGACGAGGCCTTCAGTAGAAAATTTGATTCCATAATGAATTAGGCCAGCGGTGAATCAAGGGAATTTTTCAAGGGTGGTAAGAGTAAAATCTAATGGTCAGAAACATTTAACATACTCTTGTATAAATTTGGACGATTTTATGCCCCCTCCCTCCCCGTCTATGCATCGGTTAGCCATTGCCTGCAAGTGTTATCTCCTGTGTATCCACTACCACTGAACTCTGAACTCCTGTGTATCCACTACCACCCTAGGAATCCACCAGAAAATTAGGCCATCAATGGGCCAGTAGGTTACGAGTAAACTTAACAATCTTCAATGTAGGTTTGATAAGGAAGATTGACGTCATATATACTTAACACGCGAGCCTCTGTCATAAAGCCAGTTCCCTCCCGGTTACATCTTAACGGAGAATCTAAACAACGTGCTTTTTCGCGAAAAGCTGTTGAATATTCCTTACTTGTGAAAAAGTCATGGAGACATTTTCTTTCTTCTTTGCACAGCAGAAAGGGAAGACACGAGTTCGGATGCGTTCGAACAGATTGGTGTGACGACAAATGAAACATAAAACGCTGCAACAAACAAGTATCGTCAAAAGATGTTTTACACAGCGACAAATACAGCTACATGTTTGTAAATGTGATCGTCCAGGTCGGTATAGTCCTGTGAAGGACTGTTTTGTTATTGTTGACTGACGTTTCGACAACCTTAGCTGTAGTCATCTAGTTCTCATTTGACCCTGAAGATGACTACCGCTAAGGTTGTCGAAACGTATCATCAACAACAAAACAGTCCTTCTTACTATACCAACCTGGACGATCTACATTAACAAACATATAACGATACTCTCAGGTTCAAACCATTTATTTGATAAATACAGCTGTTTTCAAACAAGGACAAAACTCACGACTAATGCCGATGTAAGAACCACCAGCTTTGGCATTATTCTTGTTATTCCATTAGAACATCACACATCGGATCAGAGAATATAGTGACCTGTAGAAATAAAAATCTATGGTAGTACTTTTTAAGTCATATTTTTTGCTGTTGTCACAAAATGATGTAAGAACTATTTTTCTATGTTCGAACGTTCGCATGGTCACCTTGCCGACGCGCACAAACTTATGAAACATTTAAGAAATAGAAAACATTCATTCGTGGAATTTAAAAACTAGATAGTGCAAACATGAAACGAGAATGTTGACAAATGACAAAATATAAGGGGCGTACCAAGCAGGGGTGCAGGGGTTTGGGTTTAATGTGAGACCGCCACCTTTGTGAAAAAAGGCGATGAATTTTACAAGATGATGTTCGTTTGAGTTTTTTTAATAAAAGCAGTCGGTAATTTTTCAATTTATGTTATTAATAAAAGTATTTCATTCATTCGCTTGTGCACGGTGATGTTTTTTTATTCACTTCCAGTCCTACAAACTTACATTTTATGATTTCAAAAAACCGTAGAAGAGGCCTGGACGCTAAATCCCTAACTTAGTCGCTAAAGTCATTGAAAAGCCCTCTGAATGCCCCGGTAAGCACAACAAAATAATAATGAACGGTTATACAGGCACTGATTCCTTACCATAGCAACACCACCACAGAGCATAAAAAAGCATTTAATTGCAATGACAGGTTTACTTTCTTCCTCTTCTTCAGCCTGAAAGAAAAAATCGACGAGTGAAGAGAAGCAGTTGTTAGTCATCGATGTAGTGAAATTAATACATCTTCAATTCCGTTTCCTCCTCCGGTTTAATGAAAGGTTCTGATTCGGCGGGTTCCTTTGGTTTTATGTCTTTACCAATCTGCCATGTTTTGAAATATTTTGTTTGAAGACCAACTGAATAAAAAAACATAAATTGTTGGGTACAAGAGTAAAACTTTAAGTCTCACTTGTCATATTCTTGGCAAGTGTATTCAATTGTCAAGTGTAATCAATTGTCTTCCTCAGCTGATACCAATGGCTATGTAACTTTCATCAAAGATGTATAGCCACAAGATATAAAACTGCCAGGCGCCGGTTGCACGAAACCTGGATAGCGTTATCTATTGGATAGCAAAATTTTGAAACTTGTAAAAAGGTGTTTTTACTTTTCTTATGACAAAGAAATTTTGTAATCTTCGAAACAATTTTTTATTTCAGTGATTGCACAGTTCAAATCTTATACTTTTCTCTTACAAGAGATTTTATGAAAGTTCAGAAAAATTTGCTATACAGTGGATAACGCTATCCAGGCTTCGTGCAACCGGCCCCAGGTCTCTAGCAGCTCGGGCTACACACACCCCGCCCCAATGTCTTGCTACTAAACTATAATTTGCGTTCTTATATTTTGGCAAGACTGACCTGTGGCCTTTTTGTGCTTCTGGATCGTCTTTCTTTCCCGCGTCCCTTCATCTTTTGGTGCACCAAAATGCTCTTATTTGCAATGCCATAAAAGCGATGAATTACACGGCGTCGTATCCTGGTAAGAAAATTATCATTCACAGCATATTTTACCATCAAACCATAAATAAAATTCAACAACTTACTCCTCTTGTCGATGTTTGTTTGCTCGCATTTCCGCCATTTTATTATCATAGAGCTATGGAATGAAGAGATACACATGTATACATGAGATACACAGGGCATACACATGTACATAAGATACACAGGAGATACCCATGTAATGACTACATAGAAATCAATGCTCTGTTGTACAAGTTCTCGGCTAGACGGCAGTTTAGCGGACACCCGAAGCGCTTATATGCAGAGCGCGGGCTCGTTTTTGTTCAGGATTATAGGGTTAGGGTCTGGGTCAGCGTCTAAGGTGTCAGCTAAACTGCAGTAGTCCCCAAGTTCTCTGTTACCACATAACTTGTATCAACAGCTTTAAATCATTATAAAAAAGCTATTACAATGTTTTTTTTGTCAGAATGTCTGAACTTGAATGCGTCAATGAGTAAAAACAGGTACGCAGAGCGTACATGTGCGTAGCCTAATTGACAACGCGATGTTACTGACGTTTCCAGTGGCTTGGAAAGCTCGCATTTGCATAGCCTGCGTGCGGTTGTGTGACATCATCTTGTGTTATTTGGTTTAGTCTGCTGTTGGTGAAAGAGGTGCGAGTTATTGCACTCCTACAGTCCTATCATTACAAATATCGTTTCTAGATAAGTTTCCCGTTAATATGCCTTTGTCAAAAGTGGTTGAAAGTACATTATGTAAGGTCTTAGTTTATTTGTATATCCAGTTCAAACATAGAGATCAATAATAAGGATGCAAGCCGGTTGGCACACTGTTTTCTCCTATTTTGCAATTTTCTACTTTTTTGCCTGCACACAGGCTACCGACAAAGATGAAATAGCAACATGGATTCCTAGCATACTAACCAAGAAAGCCAAATAAGCTATGAACGCTATGCCACATAAAATAAGAGTTGCCAATGCAGCATTTTTGACATATTTAGGTTGATTCGGATCCTTAGGAGGATATTTTGTCGGTCCCCAATGCCAATCTGCACCTTGTACAATTCTGAAACAAAATATAATTTTAATGCATAATATAAAAATGCCATGCTACATTGACGATTGTGCATGAGTGCCAAGAATAGAATGGTGAATGATAGGGGACATAATGGGTGATAAGAATAGGAAAGGTGAATGATAAGGAACATTATGGATGTTAAGAATAGGAATGGTGGATGATAGGAACATTATGGATGTTAAGAATAGGAATGGTGGATGATAGGGAACATTATGGATGTTAAGAATAGGAAAGGTGAATGATAGGGAACATTATGGATGTTAAGAATAGGAATGGTGGATGATAGGGAACATTATGGATGTTAAGAATAGGAATGGTGGATGATAGGGAACATTATGGATGTTAAGAATAGGAATGGTGGATGATAGGGGAACATTATGGATGTTAGAATAGAATGGTGGATGATAGGGAACATTATGGATGTTAAGAATAGGAAAGGTGGATGATAGGAACATTATGGATGTTAAGAATAGAAAGGTGGATGATGGGGAGCATTATGGATGTTAAGAAAAGGAATGGTGGATGATACTGAAATAGAAAACATAATACATATTAAAAATACAAATGGTGGATGAAAGGGTACAGAATGAGTACCAAGAATAAGAATGTTGGACAACAGGGTACAGAAAGGGTAACAAGAATAAGAATGGTGGTGGATAGGGAACATAATGGATGCCAAGAATAGAAATGGTGGATAACAGGGTACAGAATGGGTGCCAAGAATAGAAATGTTGGATAACAGGGTACAGAATGGGTGTCAAGAATAGAAATGGTGGATAACAGGGTACATAATGGGTGCCAAGAATAGAAATGGTGGAGGATGGGAACATAATGCATTCCAAATCACTTTCAAAAGAAATCAGTTGGGCACTACTGAATACATGAGTAAACATGATCCCCTTTTTACTTTTTAGCCACACCCCTGAAATGGTGAATGCTGAGGCCATTATGAGTATTTTACAAAGATAGAACTACTTGTACTTACAAATACAACAATGAAGTAATGGCCATAATTATGGCAGACTTTTGTACAGCTGGTATTAATGTAACACCCTATATAGACAGAGGAGAGACTATCTTTACTTCAAAGATACAAAGTATTATTTTAATTATATTAAACTCACAACTACTTGTCAGAACATTTTTAACAAAACAAAAAAGTGCTCTCGCTTCTCATTGAAATAGCACTTACATTATCCTCATGATGAGCAAGCCAAAATCAACCGTTAATAAAATATCATATTTTCAAACCTGTTCCCTGCAGTTAACACCCTTTCTGTTAGTTCAATAGCTTCACCATTTCTATCTAAATCACATCTTCCCAAGAAGAGACTCCCACCCCAGGCAAGAGTCAGCAACATAATGGTACTACCAGCAAGTGTTCTGTGTGACAAAAATTTCCACAAACATAAAATGATTCAAATGAAAAGTAAAAATACTGCCAAAGAAACTCACCCCATACCAACTGAAAGTTGATCTTGTGCATTGGGTTTGAGACCAGAGACAACAATGATAGCAGAATCTGGGACAGCTCCAAGTAAAGGCAGTACAATACCACCTAAAACCAAGTTCATTCTGATTCACATGTTTTAAGAACAATGCTCAAGGGCACAAGCGGATAGAAGCCAAACAAAAGCGAAGCATTAGATTAGAAAATTTGCTTTTCGAAACATAACAGAGATCACATACCGATTAATCCAGCTGGTAATCCGAGATCTAATAGTAGTTCAGCACCATCTAAATTAAAGTAACAATCTTGTTAACATGCAACCATCAATGTTGCTCACAAATTTGTAAAATAACATCTTCACTACCTGAAATCAACCATTAACAGAACCATAGAAAACAATCAGCAGAAGATTGCCAATGATCTTGCGATAAAAATAAGTTCATAAACAAATGCATACCCATCGTGTACAGTGGGAACAGAAGTTTAAAGAAAGACTGTATGGATTTCAATTTATTTGCCACAGATATAAGTCGATGTTGAAAGACTTAATTCATGGTTTGTTGATTTTGAATAGGAGCATTTAGGCTTGATGAAAAGTAGTTGGTACTTTATATATTCTTTCACATAATGAAATTATGTTTGCTTACTGTGCTTGAGCAAGGAAATTTAGAAAATCTCCTCCGCACATCTATCCTTAGTAACGTTTTTGTTTCCTTTGCTGGACTCGTTGCGACTTTCAACAATCTTTGAAGAAGAAAGCTCTTATTAGCGAGACAAATACTCATATTTCTCACGCAAAGCCGTTATCTTATAGGTCCACTGAGAAACATGCGTGAATTTCGAAACATAACGAAAGTACCACTGAATTAGTTACTGAAGTAAAGTTTTAGTATACATATTTTCATTCAATGACAAACAATCGCATGCTGCAATAAACCATTGTCCTTTCTAGAATAAGCATTCAAAGTCAAATGGCGTCCCACAGGAAAGTCATCAATATTAAGCAAAGTCAAGCATGAAGCTATTGAATCAACTAATGTCGATTCACGTGGAATAAACAATAAATGTCAACCCACCTCTTCGTGCAAACTTTATATAAACATTTAGGATATATATCTTTGTAAACTAAATCTAGCCTCCAGAAAACGAACAATGAACAGGCAAACACGAGAAGCGTTAAATTGAACAACGTTCCACTTCAAGATGTTTAAGGGACGGAGTCATTTAGTTCGATAAAATCTCACATTTTATAACGCGAAACTGACCAATCCCAATAGCAAAAACAAATTAATCGTGCAAATAGAACAGCTAAAACCACAGAGAAGCTTATAGTTATGTTGAGACATCAACGGTGGTGCTATGCTTGGCCAGTCACACTACAACGCCTATTTTACAATTTTCCTGCATTTTGCGAAGTTCAACTTACCCCATTAAAGGAGAACAATACAATAAAAGCAACGAGAAAGGACGCTTTGAATAATCGTAGAGTTATCATTTTATTGCCCAGAAGAATCTTCTTGTCTTGTCCTGCACGTACTTGACGAGTGGCCTGACGCTATGTCAATACATATGCAGAGTTGTTTGGGATTAGCTTGCAAATAAACCATTCTAGAATGTCAAGGTTCGTTGATTTTCATATTTGCATGTATAATGTTTAACAGACTTTGATAGATTTTGGTGCACAATAGTGCAAGAGAGATTTTATTAACGCATAGGATAGTTTGGCCGTTTTCGAACTCGAGATGTAAAGAAATTTTGCTTGACTATTGAGAACTTTCACAGAAATATTTTTCCGTCAAACAGCGAGCGAAATTGCATATTTTTCATCCGTGACTGTTCCATTCCACTGATTTCTTCGGTTGCAATTAAATATCGGCTCGTGTTTAATGTTCTGAATCGAAAACAGAACAATTGCGTGTGAGAAAAATAATTTGGGTGATTTAATGTATCGATTTTTGCCTTCATATTATAAACACAGTGAAGAAACGATTTGAAATGAAGTATATTGTCATTTGTTGTTTCAAAACTTATTCGCGATCAAACCATTCTCAAGGAATGATTGCAATTTATAAAGAAAAATAATGAAACACTTTGTATATTCGAGATTGTACGGTAGATCGATCTCTCATTTGTTACCATAAATGATCTAATAATCGCCCAGGGTGTCGTTTAATAAAATCCATATAAAATCTATCGGTTTAAGGGGTGGGATGGGGTGTGAGCGTTAAATACGTAAGAGGTGCTTTAATGGATAAGAGGCGCTTAATAGAGAGAAGCCTTTATATCATTTTCATTATCTTAGTTTGAACAAATAAAAACAAAAATAAGACGAAAGATATGATTTCTTAGCCCAATCAGCAAACTACTATAATAATGATTATTGTTATCACCATAATCGAGTAAGAGAGATTGAATATGCTGCTTTTACACGACTGGTCTTTTCAACATCAGGTGGTATGGGGAAAGAGACGGCAATTGCTTATAAACGGCTGGCTGATCTGCTAGCACAAAGGAGAAAGCTGCAATATGGCATCACGCTAGCGTGGATGCATTGTAAACTGTCTTTCGCACTGATTAGGTCAGCAATTACTGCGATACGAGGAAATCGATCTGCCTCAACTCGCGAACACACTTTAAATATTGACCTAGGTTATTTGGAAAGTTGTCTTTACACCTGACTGTCCTTTTTTTTCTTGCTAGTAATTTGAAAATTATCATGGATATTTTAAACATTGATTTTAGTTAACATTTTTATATTTGTATGCTGTAGTTATAAAAGTTGTACCATTTTTATCATTAAATAAAATTTCTTTCATCATTTATAATCGGTGGGATGCTTGTAAGAGATGGGGCGTTTAATAGAGAGGGAAGTTTAGTACAAACCCATTCTGCAAGGGGGGCGTCTAATAGACTCATGGCATTCATTTGAGAGGGGGCGTTTATTTTGAAAAATTCAATTCTCCTCAAAAATTTTTTTTTGCACTAGGAATTGCTCGTTTTTGACAAGTAATAAATAAATAAACTTTCGTTATTCCAGTCTTAGCTAATATTTTGGCTTCCTTAAATTCTCACCAGCAATCATTAGACCAGCATTTTGGTTGAGAACAAGAAAATTGCTTTGCCTTAATCTTGCAAGTTTGATGAAATACTTCATGATGTCACTTGACAATAATTAGCTTATTTACGTGTTCTTTGACATTTTACAACAGCGAATTACTACATGGATCTGAAAGAAAGACACTTAGGGAAGATTTTTTATCTGTTGAACATTGCAAACGCGTGTTTGCTTTTCTTCGGATGCATTCTCTTCATGATACCGTAATAGTTCCAAACATGACAATCCATGTTACATTAAAACTTTTCGTAATTCTTCTTATTCAAAGATGTGCAGCTGTATAAAGTATAAAAGATTGTGTAAGGCCAACTGCTATGTCTCGGCTTTTGCACGTTTCCAATATCATCAGATAGGAAAATGAATATAATCAAATTACTTGCCCACATGTTGCCCACATCACTTCGTTTATACTCCTAACTCTTGTCAGCAGTGCCTTTTTAACTATATATGGGGGGGATTGCCCCCCAGAAAAAGGATTCCCCCCTAAATAACGGTATTTCTGCCCCCGAACTGCGAAGCAGTATTGTTCATAATTGCTGTGAGAATTTGCTTTTGATTTACTTGAGAATGAGATATGAGACTTGGTGGAATAATTGTTGCCTAGAATGGTATCCCAACTGCTTTATGTGGCCCATGGCCAGCAGCTGTATCATTTTAAAACATTTAAACAAAGAGATTTTGTCGCAAGATTTTTTTCTTTAAAGTTTCAAGTTATATTAAGAGGTTTAGCTGTGCGATTATAGCAACAAAGTGTTTGAATTATTGTTTAAAGTAAAACAAAGCTGTAGATAGAAATTAAAGTTTTACAAAATTTCTCTTCAGAATTTGGACATTTGCTAAACCGCGAGGCCACATTTTTTGTTGTGCCATTTTTCCTGTTTTGCCCTCCAGTGACATTTCTTCAAAAAAGGCACTGCTCTTGTGCTCAGTTTAACCAATTTATAATTTCGTAGAAGCACTATTATAATGTGCATTTAATAAACGAGTTTTTAGAATAGAAGATGGCATCATGAGATGCGGAAACATGTCTATTCTAAAAAAACTCGTCGTCAATATTAAATGCACTTTACCAATTTAATTATGTACTGTGCTGGAGTTGGACTTTGTCGTAGTGCTAAAAACGTGTCGTATTTTTTTCATAATTGTTTTATACCAACGAGTACATCTAGAAGTAGCAGCATTAGTATAACCTGACAGTATGTTTAGTCTATGTATGTACATATATTTCCTTGTTCACTACATACGGAAACAATACATTTATATTAAAATATTTGATGTTAATGAACTAAAATTTACATAGAACGCGACCAAACTTGCGGGTTTGCTACGCCACTGAATAGTAATTTCATTTATTTCCCATGGACCGCAAGACAGGGGGGGCATGGCATCCCCATTTTTCTATTGAGAAGTAATTTTGAGTATAATTCAGCTTCTCACATATAGAATATGTTCTCACGCTGTTTCGGTTTCCCACTTGTAAACAAGCTCTGCGGTCACTGTTTCACACTGTACATCACTGAATGACACTTAGAAAGGCAGCCAAAAAAACAGCAGCTGTTTTCGCAAAATGTGGTTGTAGTGTGAAATATTTAACAGTTGTTTCCGCATGTCATGATAAGCATCCACTAACGTATAGACACGAAAACGCCGCAAATCCTCAAATTCCTTCTCCCAAGGCTTTTCAAACACGTCTACTCCACGATACGATGCTGTCTTTTATATTTCTCGTCAATTTTCTCATCATTAATGCGACTTTTTGCCTGCAGCAAAATCATGAAGAAACGTACAAGTTCTTAAAGCCAGCACAAACCTTCCTGGGCCGACAATGTCGTTTAACATACCAAAGGTTTCGGTGTTTTCCAGTTTCAATTTCAAACGTCTATTGCTCGCGCTTTGTTGCTTTATCGGGACGATTTTGGCGAAAGAGATTTTTTGAGGTTTGTTTTTATGGCGATATTCGTGACTGTTCCTTTTTTCGCGTCAAAAATGTAATCTTTATTTTTGCATTAGTCTTTTCATAAAAGACGGTCGTATTGTATTTTCCTTCTGTGGAAGAAGAAACGTTAACAATAAGATCTATGAGAGATTCTCCACGAATGAAAGATACAACGATTCTCGATGTCATACAGTGAAAACAGTGTACAAGACATTTCTTCTACAATTGTTCATCGACGATCAATTAAAGATGGAAAACAACGTGACCCTGAAGCTTAACAGTAATCTTCAGATAGGAGGATTTCCACCCAGACGATACTCTGATTCTAATTCCATAACAGATAATGAATCTTTCAAGATTTTCGCGACACTCAAAGAAAGGAGGTGAACAATTACATCAAGTTTGTGCAGTCACTGATTTTAAGACATGATTTAATTACTGGATCTTTCGAAAGAGCAATTTAAACAGATAATTTAGTTTAGTTTTCTTGTAGTACGAGTGGCTTATAAGAGGTAATCTTCACAAGATCTTTGTGATGATAAGCGGATACGTAATAAAGTTTATCTAGCATAAATACAGTTAATTTTGTTTTTTGTGGTGACACTAAATATCAGATGATTTCTGTTGAATATCTACGAAAAAATACGTCTTTTTAGGGATATTTCATTGGATGCATCAGAAACATTAAATTTGGTTTCAACCAAAGTCGATTGCACTCTGTTCAAGATATTCCCAGTTTGAGACATCACGTTACCAAGGGAAACTGTAATTTCAGTGCGCGAGGGACTGGATATGAGGAAGTTTCTTGTACCAAAGGTAATGTCAGTTTAAGTCGCAATACATCAAAAGAAACACTTGCATATTTTAAAATTATTTTGACTAAAACTTTGACACAGATGTCGACGAATGTAATCTGGAAGAAGCGGTCTGTCCTTCCCAGGCTACTTGTATAAACACGGTCGGCTCATTTGTTTGCAAATATGCTGTAAAAGATCCAATTGAATGTGGTTTCAACCATGTGCGAAATGATCCCTGTCAACGTTTTCCATGTTATCCTGGCCGTGAATGCTGGAGAAGATCAAATGGAAGTTTTCAATGTGAAAAATGCCCCCGCTTCTTTGCTGGGGACGGAGTTGAATGTGTTTTGAATAAAAGTCAAGGTGAACATTATAATATTTCAGTTTTGTATTTCAATAACAATATCAAAAAAGTTATCTTTTGGATAGTTACCTTTAAAAGGAGAAAATAGCAAAGTGATATAATGTTAGCGGTGTTAGTTTAGCTTAGGAAAATACCTTTTGGAGCTGTAGAACTAACAGTTTAGAACTGATGGGGCTTTCGTATATCAATACAGTTTGTTTTAGTGAGTTCAGTGGCACTAGATCAACATGGGAAATGATTTTTCGGGGACTTTAGGAATTACAATTAGGAACTAAAAGACCAATCCTGTTCAAATCGAAAGTTTTTATTGTCTGTAGTAAAATCAAGAGGAGTTTAACAAGAATATACGTGTTATATTTTCTTATCTGCAGAAATTTGGACGAAAAAAGTCGAAATCAGTTTGGAAACTACGAAATGGCTGAAAGAAATAAGCAACGAATCGTCAATATACAACAAAATATTAAATGATCGATTAAAAAGAAGGTAGAACAATCATTAAAGATTTGACAGTTTATTTAGACAAAAACAGGGCAGGAGGATGATACCGACGAAGTGATGTCAATATATGGTTAATATATGAAATATTTGATATCATCTGTTGATTAATTCTAATTATTATATGCGTCACTCCGGCTAAATGGCGCTTGATTGGCTCAGAAACATTTTGCCGGTCCATTATTTTCCCGTAATCGACCACGGTCCAAAACGCGCAATTTTACAGTCAAATATAAACAAACTTCGTAATGTTAACAGCAAAACGCAAAATAAACGAAACGAAAAACCATTTACGAAGGTCATTCGAAGGAAAAAAACTTGGAAAACAGTTTAACTATCTAGACGATACAATTTGAAACGATTTATTTTTTATGGACAAAAACTAGAAAAGTGAAAATCAACCCGTAAAACAGCAAGGACAAAAGAAAGCAAGCTTCGTTTCACGTCAAATAATGCCATATAATAATTTTAATAACCTCGCTTTCTCGGTCTTTACTGAGAAATATCGGACCTCTGTCTTTTTGTACAAACCTCGCCCTACGGGCTCGGTCTATACAAAAACACCTCGGTCCGTTATTTCTCCGTAAAGACCTCGCTCTCGGTCATTAAAGGCTTATTATTTGATTTTGAGTGAATGCTTAATTAATGTCCTTTGATCGCCATTATCTCATTCTTTCTAACAGTTGTATCAATTGTTTGGAAGAACGCCAGAGTTTGTCGAGGTCTTTTTTCATGGATTAAGGTACGGATTGCTGACTTTAATGTTTTACACTTAGCTTTGAATACTTTGTTTGAATGTCACATTTTGTAGAAAGGAAAGCGATGTGATCGAGTTGGAACTAATGTTTACGAAAAAAATTGAACTTAATCGAAAACAGCTTCAAGATATTTCTATCGCAGTCGTCAGTAGCATGTCAAGCATTTGCACGAAAGCAATGTACATTGAAAAGCACACTGTGTTCCCATCATTAACAAGAAAGGAAAACACAATGACTAGTAGAGACTCCATCATAAAAGATACAATGATTCAATCAAGAAGAACGAAAACACCACGATTTATACAGAGTCCATTATGAAACACGCGATGTTCCCATCAACAAGAACGAAAACACCATTACTAATACAGAATCCGTCATGAAACAAACGATCTTCCCATCAACGACAACGAGAAACATCACAACTAATACAGAGTTCATCATGAAAGACACAATGTTCCCATCAAGAACAACGACAAACACCACGACCAATACGAAAGGTTTGTCACGTGACTTAAGGATTTGCCCATTAGCAATTTTCATGGTATTTGTTCCACAGTGAATGATGGTTTTCTCGTTTCTTTCATAGATGTGAAAGTCAAAAACAATAAGAAAGAAAGCTCGGAACGAAATAAAGCTGGGAAACGTCGGCCAATGATCCTTCACTTTATTTTGGTTTTGACTTTTTTACTCAAATAATTTGCATTGAGGTCATAAACTGGGTGCTACTTTTCTATTACGTAACGACAAAACCAAAAATTAAAAATAGGTACGAACGAGAACGTGCAGATAGCCCGGATCTTGTGATTTTATATTTTCTAGTTTGGAAAACTGGAAAACCAAGCAATGTATATGCTAGAATAATAATGGTTTATCTTTATATTTATCAGAATTTACGAGTTTTTTCATTTTTTGAGAAATTATGACTATATTCGCATGTAATTCACAGCCGACATCTGTTTCTGAAATTCTGAGAATAAACGACAAAATGGATAAAACATAACTGAAACAGGTGAGTTGTACAGTGATGAATCTTGAAATTCCAGGAAAATTTAAAAGAAACTAAGAAAGCAACGAAATAGAAATCATGGCGGATTTTCTGTAAAATAGACCTCAAAAATCAACTGTAGTTTTTAAGCGCCATAAATGAAAACTATATGTACTTTGGAGTGTATTTGAACTTCGTCGTTGTTTGTGGGGAACCGTCTACCTTCCGTGATCGAAAAATAAAATCCGAAACGGATAACTGTTTTTGATATTCAAGATAATACAGTTTGAAACAAAGATGGTGTAGACATTAAAGACATCATCATACTAATAGTTTCAAAAATAGTTTCAAACTATTAGTCTGATGATGTCTTTGGAATGAAGACGAAATATCACACCATCTTTTGTTCCAAACTCTTGTATTATCTTGAATATCAAGAAAACGAGATGTCCGTTTTCGGAATTTGTTTCATTTTGTTTTACTTAAAATTGTCTGCTTACGTGATCGATAACAAGGAAAAAATCAAATCATAAATACGTAAGTCACAAAACAGTGAAAACACTTTCTTTCTCGTTGCGTAGACTTTTCAATGCTGAGTGTTAACCATCATGCTTAGCGCGCGTTTGTTTACATGTACATGAGAGGCTCGCGGTATTTTATGACTCGGATACTTTCACAATTCCTTTTCTGCGAAAAAATAATCAAAATATTTGTAGAGTCACATATCTCAACTATTGCAGCTATTGAATTACGTAAAAAATGAATAATTAAACCAGAATTGCAACGTTTACGAAGGATTGAATTATAAATACTCTTGCCGGTCGAATTCGTTCGCCAAAAATGACCGACTACGCGCGCAATGCATGATGGTTGAAATCCAAGATATTACTGTCGGGATTATTAAGCATGAAAACGTCATCACATGCGAAAACGTTAGGATCAATATATTATGTATATACTCTGATGATGGCTTTGGAATAAAGTTGAAACACGGTGCCATCCAGTAAACTGCTATAGTGTCGAGAATCTCTCGTCCATACGCAGTTTAAAAGAGATTTGACTCATCTCCAATCCATGGTTTTTCAAAGATTTGACTCGTCTCCAATCCATGTTTTTCATGTGCATATTAAAAACCGTGTTAGGATTAATATATTATGTACATGCGAAAAAGTGACGCTATTCTTTACAGGTTTACTCTATGTAATTTAAACGTAAATAGTTTATATCACACTTCAACAAAATCACTACAAAAACACGCATTTTTTGGTACTAATACACGTTTACAACAAAACAAAGCCATATCTTTGCAATAACTCTCAAACAATCACACCTGCTTTCTCGTCGTCATGACTATTGAATCAAAAATTTAGGTGTTTTTGAAGAAATTCATACACAGTACACGCACTTAAACATATAATGAATAAATATTATTGAACATTTAACGTCATTTCAAATCATTGACAAATTAATGAGAATGGGTAAAAGTACAGTTGATGCAGTGAATATCGTCCATAAAATGGATTTTGAAAAGTACCTGCATGATTATTTGTAATAAAACCATTAAATCACTCACAAAGAGGTGCCAAGCATCGTCTGAATACGTCGTTTGATCTTTTCGAGTTCTTGTTTTTGCTGGAAAAATATGAGATTTTGTCACACAGGAACTGTGTAAGCCATACAGATAAATTTCAAAGTAAATATATAAATAAACGTCAGGGGCAGGTTGCACGAAGCCTGGAAAGCGTTATCCATTGGATGGCAAAAATTTTCAAACTTGAAAAAAAGGTGTTTATATTTTATTATGACAAAGAAATTTTGTAATCTTCGAAACAATATTTTATTTCAGTGATTGCACATTTCAAATCGTATTCATTTCTCCTATAAGTGATTTTATGAAAGTTCAGAAAAATTTGCTATCCAGTGGATAACGCTATCCAGGCTTTGTGCAACCGGCCCCAGGCTAACAGTTACTTTATACTTTGGTAAATTTTTTCCTCCTTATTTTAAAGCATTAACTGCATGAAAGATGAGAAGAAAAAGCTATTTTACACATACCATATATATATATAGGAAGTTTTGTTTATTTGAATCTCCGTAAGTACAGTGCTCGATGCTTAAGAGCAGAGCGTAATATTGATAGAAGAATAAACAATTTACTGTTTCATTCTCGCTCTTCAGGGATAATATTAAACCCTGAAGAGTGAGAATCACGAAACAGGCTTGTCGGGATGAAATTGTAGTTTTTGTGTATTTTCTTCTTCTATCGATACCATATATATATATATAGAGAGAGAGAGAGAGCAATGTGAACTGTTTGCAATGAAAATATTTTCATCGCAAACCTGGAAAAGGATTAATTCACTACACAAATTTTACGACTGAGGGCGCGAAGTGATTTTAGCTTGAACATTTAAATACATAGTGGATTCTTAATCCGTGCGTTCACGTAATGAATAATCCTTAGGCAAGGTGAGTGTCCGAGTCACTCGGTTTGTAGTTTAGTCCCAGGACAATTGGGAAAACAATTGAACGCAACTATCGTCAATAAGTATAGATAGAATCGACAATTTCTGTCCCGGCTCCTCAGCAAGTGACTCATGAAAACAGGCCCCGACGAAACATGTTCCAGACGAAATAACAAGTCGTCGAAGTCGGATTCGTTGATTTCGCTTACATGACGTTTACTGCACGAGTTAAAATTTTCAAACTCGCGACAATCATATGGACTATGGGGGATATTGGGCAACTCACAACTTCCTTCGCAGCGTTGTCACGAAATTTCTTTAATTCCGTCTTCAAAGAAGCTTGCAAATTCATCTAAATATACAATGATACATTTAGCTAGAAGACTGAATGCTAAAATCACAAACATGGTCTTAAGTTATGTTTGTCACTATTGCCATACGTTAAGAATTAGTCATTCAATCAGTGCAGAAAACAGAGGCACCCCCTGGATAGTTTTTGTTGGAATGTTCTAATTAGCATTTTGAGTGGACCCGAGGGGGGGAGATCGTCTGTTTTTACACTTGTTGAGTGGCAAATCAATAGTTTATAGCGTCTACAAAAAAATTACAAGAGACGATCTTTTCTATTTTTAATTCTGTGCTACACCAATAGGAAACAACAGCATCAGTTGAAGATTACGCAAATCCGTGACTCCAACCTGTTCAGATTGCTCATTTTCTTCAATCTTTCTAAATGTTTCCACAAAAGCTTTTTGAGTCGTCAAAATTCCTCGCCAACTGAAAATATAGATTACGAATTCTAATTATATGGAAAGCGTCACTTCCGGCAAAATGGCGCGCTTTGATAGGCTCAGAAACATTTTTGCCGGGCCATTATTTTCCCGTAATCGACCAGGGTCCTAAACGCGTAATTTTACTGTCAAATGTAAACAAACTTCGTAAAGCAAACAGCAAAACGCAAAATAAACAAAAGAAAAAACCATTTACGAATGTGATTCGAAGGAAAAAACTTAGAAAACAGTTAAACTATTCAGACGATACAATTTGAAACGATTTATTTTTTATGGACGAAAACTAGAAAAGTGAAAGCCAACCGGTAAAAACAGTAAGACGAGAAAGAAAGCAAGCTTCGTTTCAGGTCAAACAATGCCACATAATGATCCTTTAATAACCTCGCTTTTCGGTCTTTACTGAGAAATATCGGACCTCTGTCTTTTGTACAAACCTCGCCCTACAAGCTCGGTCTGTACAATAACACCTCGGTCTGTACAATAACACATTTATGTACAAACGGAGTAATAATTTAACGGACTTCAACTTTAACCTAACAAGGAACAGCAAACGAATTCGTTCCCATTCTACAAGTTGAAGCTGTGATTCCCATCTACCAAAAGTAAACACAAACTAGGACACCAACCTATCTCGCTCTTAAAGACTATATTAACTTGAGTACTTCCAATAAGATTGCTAAATCTATTTTTCATTTTGAATCTTTACTAAATCTGCAACTTTAGTAGTACTTGATTATACTTTTGAATATGTATGTGTGTGTGTGTGTTTTGAGAAGCTTTCAATGTATTCAAGGTATTTTACAGGTTATACAAAACAGCATCCCAGTGAAAACACTCAAGTGATGTGGTCTCCGGAATAAATTGAAATATAAATAAATAAATAAAGACGAACAATCCTTGTATAGTTTTTCACGAACATCAAAAAATCAGCGCTTTATCCAGATGTGCAGATAAACAATAAAACATTATAAAATGAAAAATACCATTTCTCTTGCTCCTTTCTTTGTGTGGCTAAATCTTATAGACTATTGTCAACTTGCGTCTAAAACAGCATAAAGTTATCATACGTTTGAAGTATAAACAAATTGAAGCGTATATATGTCTGTAGGAAAATCCAACAATCACGCAGCACAATGTAATGCCTTTATGCAGGCTATAGTCCCTATTTCCTCAGAATTTGATACAATGTTACAATAGCTTGAGCCTGTAAACATTTTGTTCAGTCGTGACATAGACTATATGAGTAGCTGATAATTTAATTAGCTGTTCTTAAAAATAAAGCTTCAAATTCGTCAGCGAAAATCAAAGACAACTGTATGTATAGGAGTCATGAACATTTTGTTTACATAAACATACCATCAAACACCTTTTATTTCTTTTATAAAACAACAATTATGCGAAACAAATCGGTTCAAAACAAACTAATGTTTTCATTTTTCCTCTAACACATATTCATGATCGATTTGCAAATTCTCATTGATTGACTAAATTGCGCTCAGATTGGTTAATAACGATACTTCCGTGTTCAAAAAGCATTCCCTTTACACAAATATTTAACAAGTAATTTGGCACCCCTTCTGCACCCTCTCGAACCAAGGTTGAGAGGGGTGTACAAACCTCCACTCGCTCACCCTTTACTAAATTTATCTCAAGTTGACATAAAGAGCTCACCCATATCCTCATTACTATGAGTTGTTTTCTTTCTGCCTTTCAAAAAATGAAAATATTTGATTCTCCCCGTTATTTTCATGCAAGAACGGCGAAAACTGAAAGACGCATTGAATATTTTAAACACATCGCGAAAATGTTTAAGAGGGTTTTGGCAACTTTGACATCCTTACCAGTTCACACTGCTCTTTTTTATTTTTCTCCATACGACCCCTCTTCATCGTTCTACAAATAAAATTTTAAAGGCTGTATCACTTGTGCAAGCGACAAACATTCTTTATCATAGTAAATAAAATGTCTTTATGGAATTTTGTAATACGTATAGGATACCTGAATCTTGGAAGTTTGTTCGTCAAGAAACGTATTGAATAAAATATAAATGAATTAGTAAAGAAATCGAGTGAAGAGAAGCAGTTGTTAGTCTTCGATGTAGTGAAATTAATACATCTTCCAATTCCGTTTCCTCCTCAGGTTTGATGAAAGGTTCTGATTCGGCGGGTTCCTTTGGTTTTATGTCTTTGCCAATCTGCCATGTTTTGAAATATTTTGTTTGAAGACCAACTGAATAAAAACATTATAAATTGTTGGCTGCAAGAGTAAAAGGCTTTAAGTCTCACTTGCCATTTTCTTGGCAAGTGCATTCAATTGTCAAGTGTAATCAATTGTCTTCCTCAGCTGATACCAATGGCTATGTAACTTTCCTCAAAGATGTATAGCCACAAGATATACAACTACCAGGCGCCGGTTGCACGAAACCTTGATAGCGTTATCTATTGGATAGCAAAAATTTTGAAACTTGTGAAGAAGGTGTTTTTACTTTTCATACGACAAAGAATTTTAATAATCGATATCTTCGAAACAATATTATATTTCAGTGATTGCACAGTTCAAATCGTATACTTTTCTCTTATAAGAGATTTTATGAAGATTCAGAAAAATTTGCTATACAGTGGATGACGCTATCCAGGCTTCGTGCAGCCGGCCCCAGGTCTCTAGCAGCTCGGTTTACACACACCCCGCCCCAGTCTCTTGCTACTAAACTATAATTTGCGGTCTTATATTTTTGGCAAGACTGACCTGTAGCCTGTTTTTGTGCCTCTGGATCGTCTTTCTTTCCTGCGTCCCCTTCATCTTTTGGTGCACCGAAAATGCTCTTATTTGCAATGCCATAAAAGCGATGAATTACACAGCGTCGTATCCTGGTAAGAAAATTGCCATTCACAGCACATAGTACCATCAAACCATGAATAAAATTCAAGAACTTACTCCTCTTGTCGATGCTTGTTTGCTCGCATTTCCGCCATTTTATTGTCATAGAGCTATGGGATAAAGAGATACACATGTATACATGAGATGCACAGGAGATACACATGTATACAACAAATTCTACATCGTTTTACGTTTGCACATGAAATGACAAGATCATAGAAATCAATGCTCTCGTTGTACAGGTTCTCGGCTAGACTGCAGTTTAGCGGGACACCCGAAGCGCTTATATGCGGAGCGCGGGCTCGCTTTTGTTTAGGATTGTAGGGTTAGGGTTTGGGTCAGCGTCGAAGGTGTCCGCTAAAATGCAGTAGTCCCCAAGTTGTCTGTTGCTACATGATTTGTATCAACAGCTTTAAATCATTATAAAAAAGCTATTACAATGGTTTTTTTTGTCAGAATGTCTAAACATGAATTCGTCAATGAATAAAAACAGGTACGTCTTGTCCTACACTTACTTGACGAGTGGCCTGACGCTATGTTAATACATATGCAGAGTTGTTTGGGATTATCTTGGAAATAAACCATTCTAGAATGTCAAGGTTCGTTGATTTTCATAATTGCATGTATAATGTTTAACAGACTTTGATAGATTTTCGGTGCACAATAGTGCAAGAGAGATTTTATTATTGCAAAGGATACTTTGGCCGTTTTCGAACTCGAGATGTAAAGAACTTTGCTTGATTATTGAGAACTTTCACAGAAATATTTTTCCTTCAAACAGCGAGCGAAATTGCATATTTTTCATCCGTGACTGTTCCATTCCATTGATTTCTTCGGTTGCAATTAAACACGTCTACTCCACGTAATACGATGCTGTCTTTTATATTTCTCGTCAATTTTCTCATCATTAATGCGACTTTTTGCCTGCAGCAAAATCATGAAGATACGTACAAGTTCTTCAAAGCCAGCACAAACCTTCCTGGGCCGACAATGTCGTTTAACATACCAAAAGGTTTCGGTGTTTTCCAGTTTCAATTTCAAACGTCTATTGCTCGCGCTTTGTTGCTTTATCGGGACGATTTTGGCGAAAGAGATTTTTTGAGGTTTGTTAATGGCGACATTCGTGACTGTTCCTTTTTTCGCGTCAGAAATGTAATCTTTATTTTTGCATTAGTCTTTTCATAAGCAACGGTCTTATTGTATTTTCCTTCTGTGGAAGAAACGTTAACAATAAGATAATCTGCGAGATTCTCCACGGATGAAAGATACAACGATTCTCGATATCATACAGTGAAAACAGTGTACAAGACATTTCTTCTACAATTGTTCATCGACGATCAATTAAAGATGGAAAACAACGTGACCCTGAAGCTTAACAGCAATCTTCAGTTAGGAGGATTTCCACCCAGACGATACTCTGATTCTAATTCCATAACAGATCATGAATCTTTCAAGATTTTCGCGACACTCAAAGAAAGGAGGTGAACAATTACATCAAGTTTGTGCAGTTACTGATTTTAAGACATGATTTAGTTACTGGATCTTTCGAAAGAGCAATTTAAACAGATAATTTAGTTTAGTTTTCATTTGTAGTACGAGTAGCTTATAAGAGGTAATCTTCACAAGATCTTTGTGATGATAAGCGGATACGTAATAAAGTTTATCTAGCATAAATACAGTTAATTTTGTTTTTTTTTGTGGTGACACTAAATATCAGATGATTTCTGTTGAATATCTACGAAAAAATACGTCTTTTTAGGGGATATTTCATTGGATGCATCAGAAACATTAAATTTGGTTTCAACCAAAGTCGATTGCACTCTGTTCAAGATATTCCCAGTTTGAGACATCACGTTACCAAGGGAAACTGTAATTTCAGTGCGCGAGGACTGGATATGAGGAAGTTTCTTGTACCAAAGGTAATGTCAGTTTAAGTCGCAATACATCAAAAGAAACACTTGCATATTTTAAAATTATTTTGACTAAAACTTTGACACAGATGTCGACGAATGTAATCTGGAAGAAGCGGTCTGTCCTTCCCAGGCTACTTGTATAAACACGGTCGGCTCATATGTTTGCAAATATGCTGTAAAAGATCCAATTGAATGTGGTTTCAACCATGTGAGAAATGATGCCTGTCAACGTTTTCCATGTTATCCTGGCCGTGAATGCTGGAGAAGATCAAATGGAAGTTTTCAATGTGAAAAATGTCCCCGCTTCTTTTCTGGGGACGGAGTTGAATGTGTTTTGAATGAAAGTCAAGGTGAACATTATAATATTTCAGTTTTGTATTTCAATAACAATATCAAAAAGTTATCTTTTGGATAGTTACCTTTAAAAGGAGAAAATAGCAAAGTGATATAATGTTAGCGGTGTTAGTTTAGCTTAGGAAAATACCTTTTGGAGCTGTAGAACTAACAGTTTAGAACTGATGGGGCTTTCGTATATCAATACAGTTTGTTTTAGTGAGTTCAGTGGCACTAGATCAACATGGGAAATGATTTTTCGGGGACTTTAGGAATTACAATTTGGAACTAAAAGACCAATCTTGTTCAAATCGAAAGTTTTATTGTCTGTTGTAAAATCAAGAGGAGTTTAACAAGAATATACGTGTTATATTTTCTTTTTGCAGAAATTTGGACGAAAAAGTCGAAATCAGTTTGGAAACTACGAAATGGCTGAAAGAAATAAGCAACGAATCGTCAATAAATAACAAAATGTTAAATGATCGATTAAAAAAGAAGGTAGAACAATCATTAAAGATTTGACAGTTTATTTAGACAAAAAAAACGGGGGGAAGGACAAGAAGTTGATTGGTTCAGAAACATTTTTGCCTGTCCATTATTTTCCCGTAATCGACCAGGGTCCAAAACGCGTAATTTTACAGTCAAATGTAAACAAATTTCGTAAAGCAAACAGCAAAACGCAAAATAAACGAAACGAAAAACCATTTACGAATGTGATTCGAAGGAAAAACACTTGGAAAACATTTAAACTATCTAGACGATACAATTTGAAACGATTTATTTTTATGGACGAAAACTAGAAAAGTGAAAATCAACCCGTAAAACAGCAAGGAAGAGAAAGAAAGCAAGCTTCGTTTTACGTCAATAATGCCATATAATAATCCTTCTAATAACCTCGCTTTCTCGGTCTTTACTGAGAAATATCGGACCTCTATCTTTTGTACAAACCTCGCCCTACGGACTCGGTCTGTACAAAACACCTCGGTCCGTTATTTCTCCGTAAAGACTTCGCCTCGGTCATTAAGGGCTTATTATTTGATTTTGAGTGAATGCTTAATTAATGTCCTTTGATCGCCATTATCTCATTCTTTCTAACAGTTGTACCAATTGTTTGGAAGAACGCCAGAGTTTGTCGAGGTCTTTTTCTTGGATTCAGGTACGGATTGCTGACTTTAATGTTTTACACTTAGCTTTGAATACTTTGTTTGAATGTCACATTTTGTAGAAAGGAAGCGATGTGATCGAGTTGGAACTAATGTTTACGAAAAATTGAACTTAATCGAAAACAGCTTCAAGATATTTCTATCGCAGTCGTCAGTAGCATGTCAAGCATTTGCACGAAAGCAATGTACATTGAAAAGCACACTGTGTTCCCATCATTAACAAGAAAGGAAAACACAATGACTAGTAGAGACTCCATCATAAAAGATACAATGATTCAATCCAGAAGAACGAAAACACCACGATTTATACAGAGTCCATTATGAAACACACGATGTTCCCATCAACAAGAACGAAAACACCATTACTAATACAGAATCCGTCATGAAACAAACGATCTTCCCATCAACGACAACGAGAAACATCACAACTAATACAGAGTCCATCATGAAAGACACAATGTTCCCATCAACAACAAAGACAAACACCACAACCAATACGAAAGGTTTGTCACGTGACTTAAGCATTTGCCCATTAGCAATTTTCATGGTATTTGTTCCACAGTGAATAATGGTTTTCTCGTTTCTTTCATAGATGTGAAAGTCGAAAACAATAAGACAGAAAGCTCGAAACGAAATAAAGCTGGGAAACGTCGGCCAATGATCCTTCACTTTATTTTGGTTTTGACTTTTTTACTCAAATAATTTGCATTGAGGTCATTAACTGTGGTGCTTCTTTTCTATAACGTAACGACAAAACCAAAAAAATTAAAAATAGGTGCGAACGGGTACGTGCAGATAGCCCGGATCTTGTGATTTTATATTTTCTAGTTTCGAAAACTGGAAAAACAAGCAATGTATATGCTGGAATAATAATGGTTTATCTTTTTATTTATCAGAATTTACGAGTTTTTTTTCACTTTTTGAGAAATTATGACTATATTCGCGTGTAATTCACAGCCGACATCTATTTCTGAAATTCTGAGAATAAATGACACTATGGATAAAATATAACTAAAACAGGTGAGTTGTACAGTGACGAATCTTGAAATTCCAGGAAAATTTAAAAGAAACTAAGAAAGCAACGAAATAGAAATCATGGCGGATTTTCTGTAAAATAGACCTCAAAGTTCAACTGTAGTTTTTAAGCGCTATAAATCAAAACTATATGTACTTTGGAGTGTATTTGAACTTCGTCGTTGTTTGTGGTGAACCGATCGAAACAAAACAAATTCCGAAAACGGACATCTCGTTTTCTTGATATTCAAGATAATACAAGAGTTTGAAACAAAGATGGTGTGATATTTCGTCTTTATTCCAAAGACATCATCAGACTAATAGTTTCAAAGTATTGTTTCAAAAATAGTTTCAAACTATTAGTCTGATGATGTCTTTGGAATGAAGACGAAATATTACACCATCTTTGTTTCAAACTCTTGTAATATCTTGAATATCAAGAAAACGAGATGTCCGTTTTCGGAATTTGTTTCATTTTGTTTTACTTAAAATTGTCGCTTACGCAATCGATAACAAGGAAAAATCAAATCATAAATACGTAAGTCACAAAACAGTGAAAACACTTTCTTTCTCGTTGCGTAGACTTTTCAATGGTGAGTGTTAACCATCATGCTTAGCGCGCGTTTGTTTACAGGCTCGCGGTATTTTATGACTCGGATACTTTCACATTTCCTTTTCTGCGAAAAGAATCAAAATATTTGTAGAATCACATATCTCAACTATTGCAGCTATTGAATTACATAAAAATGAATAATTCAACCAGAATTGCAACGTTTACGAAGGATTGAATTATAAATACTCTTGCCGGTCGAATTCGTTCGCCAAAATGACCGACCACGCGCGCAATGCATGATGGTTGAAATCCAAGTTATTACTGTCGGGATTATTAAGCATGAAAAACGTCTTCACATGCGAAAAAAGTGACGCTAATCTTTACAGGTTTACTTTATGTAATTTACACATAAATAGTTTATATCACACCTCAATAAAATCACTACAAAAACAGGCATTTTTGGTACTAATACACGTTTACAACAAAACAAAGCCAAATCTTTGCAATAACTCTCAAACAATCACACCTGTTTTCTCGTCGTCATGACTATTGAATCAAAAATTTAGGTGTTTTTGAAGAAATTCATACACAGTACACGCATTTAAACATATAATGAATAAATATTATTGAACATTTAACGTCATTTCAAATCATTGACAAATTAATGAGAATGGGTAAAAGTACAGTTGATACAGTGAATATCGTCCATAAAATGGATTTTGAAAAGTACCTGCGTGATTATTTGTAATAAAACGATTAAATCACTCACAAAGAGGTGCCAAGCATCGTCTGAATACGTCGTTTGATCTTTTCGAGTTCTTGTTTTTGCTGAAAAAATATGAGATTTTGTCACACAGGAACTGTGTAAGCCATGCAGATAAATTTCAAAGTAAATATATAAATAAACGTCAGGGGCAGGTTGCACGAAGCCTGGAAAGCGTTATCCATTGGATGGCAAAATTTTCAAACTTCTAAAAAGGTGTTTATATTTTATTATGATAAAGAAATTTTGTAATCTTCGAAACAATATTTTATTTCAGTGATTGCACATTTCAAATCGTATTCATTTCTCCTATAAGTGATTTTATGAAAGTTCAGAAAAATTTGCTTTTCAGGCTTCGTGCAACCGGCCCCAGGCTAACAGTTACTTTATACTTTGGTAAATTTTTCCTCCTTATTTTAAAGCATTAACTGCATGAAAGATGAGAAGAAAAGCTATTTACACATACCATATATATATATAGGAAGTTTTGTTCATTTGAATCTCCGTAAGTACAGTGCTCGATGCTTAAGAGCAGAGCATAAATATTGATAATAAGAAGAAAATACACAAAAACTACAATTTCATCCCGACAAGCCTGTTTCGTGATTTCTCACTCTTCAGGGTTTACAATCGGTTTACAATACAGGGGATAATATTAAGCCCTGAAGAGTGAGAAATCACGAAACAGGCTTGTCGGGATGAAATTGTAGTTTTTGTGTATTTTCTTCTTCTATCGATACCATATATATATATAGAGAGAGAGAGAAAGCAATGTGAACTGTTTGCAATGAAAATATTTTCACCGCAAACCTGGAAAAGTATTAATCCACTACACAAATTATACGACTGAGGGCTCGACGTGATTTTAGCTTGAACATTTAAATACATAGTGGGATACTTAATCCGTGCGTTCACGTAATGAATAATCCCTAGGTAAGTGTCCGAGTCATTCGGTTCGTAGTTTTGTCCCAGGACAATTGGGCAAATATTTGAATCCAACTATCATAAATTAGTATAAAAGGAATCGACAATTTATGTCCCGGCTCCTCAGCAAGTGACTCATGAAAACAGGCCCCGACGAAACCATGTTCCAGACAAAAACAAGTCGTCGAAGTCGGATTCCTTAATTTCGCTTACATGACGTTTACTGCACGAGTTAAAATTTTCAAATTCACGACAATCATATGGACTATGGGGGAGATAACGGTGGGCAACTCACAACTTCCTTCGCAGCGTTGTCCCGAAATTTCTTTAATTCCGTCTTCAAAGAAGCTTGCAAATTCATCTAAATATACAATGATACATTTAGCTAGAAGACCGAATGCTAACGTCACAAACATGGTCTTAAGTGATTTTTGTCACTATTGCCATACGTCATGAATTAATCATTCAATCAGTGCAGAAAACAGAGGCACCCCCCTGGATAGTTTTTGTTGGAATGTTCTAATTAGCATTTTGAGTGGACCCGAGGGGGGGGGGAGATCGCCTCTGTTTTTACACTTGTTGAGTGGCAAATCAATAGTTTATAGCGTCTACAAAAAAATTACAAGAGACGATCTTTTCTATTTTTTAATTCTGTGCTACACCAATAGGAAACAGCAGCATCAGTTGAAGATTACGCAAATCCGTGACTCCAACCTGTTCAGATTGCTCATTTTCTTCAATCTTTCTAAATGTTTCCACAAAAGCTTTTTGAGTCGTCAAAATTCCTCGCCAACTGAAAATATAGATTACGAATTCTAAATATATGGAAAGCGTCACTTCCGGCAAAATGGCGCGCTTTGATAGGCTCAGAAACATTTTTGCCGGGCCATTATTTTCCCGTAATCGACCAGGGTCCAAAACGCGTAATTTTACTGTCAAATGTAAACAAACTTCGTAAAGCAAACAGCAAAACGCAAAATAAACAAAAGAAAAAACCATTTACGAATGTGATTCGAAGGAAAAAACTTAGAAAACAGTTAAACTATTCAGACGATACAATTTGAAACGATTTATTTTTTATGGACGAAAACTAGAAAAGTGAAAGCCAACCGGTAAAAAACAGCAAAGACGAGAAAGAAAGCAAGCTTCGTTTCAGGTCAAACAATGCCACATAATGATCCTTTTAATAACCTCGCTTTCTCGGTCTTTACTGAGAAATATCGGACCTCTGTCTTTTGGTACAAACCTCGCCCTACAAGCTCGGTCTGTACAATAACACCTCGGTCTGTACAATAACACATTTATGTACAAACGGAGTAATAATTTAACGGACTTCAACTTTAACCTAACAAGGAACAGCAAACGAATTCGTTCCCATTCTACAAGTTGAAGCTGCGATTCCCATCTACCAAAAGTAAACACGAACTAGGACACCAACCTATCTCGCTCTTAAAGACTATATTAACTTGAGTACTTCCAATAAGATTGCTAAATCTATTTTTCATTTTGAATCTTTACTAAATCTGCAACTTTAGTAGTACTTGATTATACTTTTGAATATGTATGTAAGTGAGTGTGTGTTTGAGAAGCTTTCAATGTATTCAAGGTATTTTACAGGTTATACAAAACAGCATCCCAGTGAAAACACTCAAGTGATGTGGTCTCCGGAATAAATTGAAATATAAATAAATAAATAAAGACGAACAATCCTTGTATAGTTTTTCACGAACATCAAAAAATCAGCGCTTTATCCAGATGTGCAGGTAAACAATAAAACATTATAAAATGAAAATACCATTTCTCTTGCTCCTTTCTTTGTGTGGCTAAATCTTGTAGACTATTGTCAACTTGCGTCTAAAACAGCATAAAGTTATCATACGTTTGAAGTATAAACAAATTGAAGCGTATATATGTCTGTAGGAAAATCCAACAATCACGCAGCACAATGTAATGCCTTTATGCAGGCTATAGTCCCTATTTCCTAAGAATTTGATACAATGTTACAATAGCTTGAGCCTGTAAACATTTTGTTCAGTCGTGACATAGACTATATGAGTAGCTGATAATTTAATTAGCTGTTCTTAGAAATAAAGCTTCAAATTCTTCAGCGAAAATCAAAGACAACTGTATGTATAGGAGTCATGAACATACCATCATTTTGTTTACATAAACATACCATCATTTTGTTTACATAAACATACCATCATCTTGTTTACATAAACATGCCATCATCTTGTTTACATAAACATACCATCATTTTGTTTACATAAATATACCATCATTTTGTTTAAATAAACATACCATCATTTTGTTTACATAAACATACCATCATTTTGTTTACATAAATATACCATCATTTTGTTTACATAAACATGCAATTCATTATTTTGTTTACATAAACATACCATCATTCATCTTGTTTACAATTGCTTCTGTTCGAGATGTAATCTGTTTATGGTCATCTACGCATTTGTTGAATTCATTGGTCAACGTTTTCACGAGGGCGGCGCTGAAAACGAAATAATTTTTTGCTGGAATAAAAGCATCTTTCAAATCAATTTCAGAATTTGTTTGACTTATTTTTGAGGCTTCCACCTACCTTTGAAATATTTGATTGTCTAATGTACAAGAGTGGTAGTAGCCAATGTTTCTTTTATGAGAATGCTAGTTTTATGTGAAGTAAAGTTTAATTCTCATTATAAACTACAACTGTTTTTGAAGCTTGTTTGGCCACAGTTCGTGACTTCTGTCAGTGATATGTTTCATAGCCACGTTCGTCATCTGAGTGACGTAGTTTTGACGTTGCTTTTAAGATTATAAAACATTTTAGTTACACAATCATACATAAAGCGTCGCACAATTATCAGAATAACGATGGAAAGTTAAAATACAATATTGAAAAACATATATATCGAGAATGTTTCATGCATAAGACGTACCTTAACCGCCTTTTGCACTTCCATTCCTAAACTCGCAAATGACGTCTGCATTTCCTGTAAACGACACGGCAATTGAAATTGAGTTGCTTCATAGGGAATATTTCATGCAACAAACAGACAGTTCGCCCTTGGTAGTGGTGAACTTTTTATCATACAATTAAAAGTACGAAAGCATTCTTGTACTACAAAATTGGAAGAAGCGTTGTACAGACATTATACATTGTGACTGTCATGTAAGTTACTACATTGACCAATCATACTCCTCTAACCATTAACCAATCATTCTCTCCTATTCATTAACCAATCTTGATCTCCTATTATTCATTAACCAATCTTGATCTCCTATTCATTAACCAATCTTGCACTCCTATTCATTAACCAATCATACTTTCCTATTCAGCAATCATACTCTCCCATTCACTAACCAATCATGCTCTCCTATTCATCAACCAATCTCTCTTATTCATTAACCAATCATACTCCCTATTCACTAACCAATCATTCACTCCTAAAAGTTGAATAATTAATGCATAATCAGTGAGTATAAAGATATCATAAAACTCACCCAAGATGATCATCATCATCATTATCATCATCATCATCATCATCATGATCGTATAAACATTTGCCATCATTTTGGCGTTCGTTCAAAACTAGACAAGTTTATACCATTAATAACAATAAGGAAAAAAAATATAGATAATGTTGGGAGAGAGAGTGTTGATGAAGTGATGGATATAGGGAAGGGTATTGATAATAATGTTGGTGAAAGGAAGGGTATTGATAATAATGGTGGGAAAGAAAGACTATTGATAGAAATGATGGATATAGAGGAAGGGTATTGATAATGTGAGTGAGAGGAAGGATATTGACAATAATGGTGGGAAAGAAAGACTATTGATAGAAATGATGGATATAGAGGAAGGGTATTGATACTAATGTTGGTGAGAGGAAGGATATTGATAATAATCATGTAAATTAGATTTAAAATTTGACACTCATTCAAGATTCCCCTGATGATAAGCAGGAATGCAAAATTTTCTATTTCACCTCTTCGTCTTTTCTTTACTTCGCGATGTTTTTCAGAATGAAATAATTTTCTTGGAAGTATACTCGATGACTCATGATCGCCAGCATTTTCAAATAAATCTTTAGATCTAGGAGTTTCACCGGACGAACCTAACCAGAAAAGAGAGTTTGTGTGTGTGTGTGTGTGTGAGGGGGGGGGGGAGTTGCATAGTCGACTCTAGTATAGGTACAACGTATTTAAGAAATAAACGATGTTTACTGTGTTTGCACAGGCTTATGAAAACAGAGGAGACATTTGGGAGAGCATCATAGTAGTGCAAGCATGAGACCGAAGGTCGAGAGTTCTCACAAACGTCTCCGAGGTTTGCATAAGCCAGTTCAAACATCTTTTATTTCTTTTATAAAACAACAACTATGCGAAACAAATCGGTTCAAAACAAATTAATGTTTTCATTTTTCCTCTAACACATATTCATGATCGATTTGCAAATTCTCATTGATTGACTAAATTGCGCTCAGATTGGTTAATAACGATACTTCCGTTTTTAAAAAAGCATTCCCTTTACACAAATATTCAACAAGTAAATTGGCAACCCTTCTGCACCCTCTCTAACCAATGTTGAGAGGGGTGCACAATCCTCCACTCGCCCACCCTTTACTAAATTCATCTCAAGTTGACATAAACATAAAGAGCTTACCCATATCGTCATTACTATTGAGTTGTTTTCTCTTTCTGCCTTTCTAAAAAATGAAAATATTTGATTCTCCCCGTTATTTTCATGCAAGAACGGCGAAAACTGAAAGACGCATTGAATATTTTAAAAACATCGCGAAAATGTTTAAGAGGGTTTTGGCAACTTTGACAACCTTACCTGTTCACATTGCGCTTTTTGCTTTTCTCCATACGACTTCTTTTCATCGTTCTACAAATAAAATTTTCAAGGCTGTATCACTTGTGGAAGCGACAAACATAGTAAATAAACTGTCTTTATGGAATTTTGTAATGCGTATAGGATACCTGAATCTTGGAAGTTTGTTCGTCTAGAAACGTATTGAATAAAATGTAACTGAATTAGTTAAGAAATCGAGAACAATACAAAATAGCATATAGTTTAGACAACGTGTACCCGGAAGGAAGTAATAGGGAGAAGTGGAGAGCAGGAACTGTGGAGTCGGGAGGTGGGGGGAGGCTATAGCGCCAACAATAATATTGCCATCATTTAAAGTTTTTGAAATTCGTCCCTGGATTCGCCTTTGCTACGGACTTCCGCAATTTTGACGGTCAATAAACCCCACCTCAAACCCAAGGAAAAATATGCTCTGCTGTTATTGGAGAGCTCCATAAAAGGGGATAGATGGGTGAAGGATGAGGATAGATGGGTGAAGGATGAGGATAGATGGGTGAAGGATGAGGATAGATGCGTGAAGGATGAGGATAGATGGGTGAAGGATGAGGATAGATGGGTGAAGGTTGAGGATAGATGGGTGAAATGAAATACCGTATTGAGGAAGCAGATGAAAGTATAAGGATCATGGTCTCACACAAAGCAAACATTGATACATTAATACATATCCTCACATCCATGCACATGTTCACAGATATCCTCATATACATAAACATGTTCACGCATGTTCCCACATATCCACACATATATAGACATGTTCACGCATATTTCACGCACACACATACAAATTCCTAAAATCTTTTTGTCGCTCTCATTTTAAAGAATTGTTGAGTTTTAACTAAGAAATGAGCGACGCACCTTGAAATGATTTGTGCTCCGTGTCAAGCATTAGATGTGCGAAACGAGAAGACATTTCTTTGCTGGTACGAGTTTCATCGTGCCTACGATACTTTGCCGGTAAAACTGGAGTTTTCCCTTGTCTTGAACTACTTTTCTTACTTGACGAACCATCAACTGTACCAAAAAATCCTAAAGATCCATTTCCAAACATCAGACGGCATCGAAGTGCACTTTATATATAATTACATAAGGACTGTTGTCGTTATCTATACATATTTATATAATTACATAAGGACTGTTGTCGTTATCTATACATATTTATATAATTACATAAGGACTGTTGTCGTTATCTATACATATTTATATAATTACATAAGGACTGTTGTCGTTATCTATACATATTTATATAATTGTATAAGGACTGTTGTCGTTATCTATACATATTTATATAATTGTATAAGGACTGTTGTCGTTATCTATACATATTTCAACATAATACCTGAATCAGTAGATCGAGACAAATTGCCATGTGGAGTTTTCACAAATGAAAAGCTATCTTTGCTGAGCTTGTTCAGCGACACCTCTATACAATCATCTTGACAAATCCTCTGCAAAATATCGTGTATCGAACTTTGATTGCATCTACATTTTCTCGTAAATGATAATAGAGTATATATAACAGAGTCTTGTCAAATCCTCCGCAAAATATCATGTATCGAACTTTGATTGCATCTACATTTTCTTATAAATGATAATGAAGTATATCTAAGTATCATCAACATCAGATGCTAGAGTTATGAGCGCAGTAGTTATACTTTAAACCAAGACTTATTAAAGCATCGTGCCATTCGCGAGATGCCGTATTATACTCGAGATATCTGTATTTCGACTTACCTTGAAATTCTCCCTAAAAGCATCTACAATGGAGTTGGAGTCGGAACAATAACTTTCTTCTTCGTGCAAGTCAACATTTCGAAATTTCGACGGCATTCCATGCAGCCTGTTATCGTCCGCGTCATTTTCATGAGAAGATCTAATTTGTGCTGAAGTATTTTGTTTTGAATTCATTCTTGACGTTGGGGTGCCATCAGAAATCTTCGTATTCTTCACGGTTGACACAGCACCTGCCACCTTCGGGAAATAACTTCTTTTTCTTAATGAAATATCTCCCACAGGAGGTGTGTCATCCTTTCTGTTCGTCCTTTTTGCTGCAGACCTTTTTTCTTCTTCATCGCCATCTTCGTCGTTACGAAATACAAAATCGATACCTTGTGATAAATCCAGTTCTTCATCATCACGATTTTTTCCTAAAGTGTCTTCATCTCGAGAGGGAGTTCGTCCTATTTCCTCGTTAGAACGATTGCGTAAAAGACGCTTTTGGCATTTTTTCAAGTCAACACTGTCCTCATTCATCTTCCTGTGAACGTCTGTACAACACAAAAATATATTACGTTATCTATAATAACAATATCACTAAATTCGCTTCAATTTTTGGAGATGTAAAGTGATTTTCCTGGTTAATTTATTTATTGCAAACATTACCCAAATATGATGCCTACTCGGGGATAGTCAACGTGCTCAGGTGTACATTGGTGTGCTTGGTTGATTTATTTATTGCAAACATTACCCAAATATGATGCCTATTCGGGGACAGTCAACGTGCTCAGGTGTACATTGGTGTGCCTGGTTGATTTATTTATTGCAAACATTACCCAGATAAGATGCCTACTCGGGGACAGTCAACGTGCTCAGGTGTACATTGGTGTGCTTGGTTGACTTATTTATTGCAAACATTACCCAAATATGATGCCTACTCGGGGACAGTCAACGTGCTCAGATGTACATTGGTGTGCTTGGTTGATTTAGTTATTGCAAACATTACCCAAATATGATGCCTACTTGGGGTCAACGTGCTCAGGTGTACATTGTGCTTGGTTGATTTATTTATTGCAAACATTACCCAAATATGATGCCTACTTGGGGACAGTCAACGTGCTCAGGTGTACATTGGTGTGCTTGGTTGATTTATTTATTGCAAACATTACCCAAATATGATGCCTACTTGGGGATAGTCAACGTGCTCAGGTGTACATTGGTGTGCCTGGTTGACTTATTTATTGCAAACATTACCCAAATATGATGCCTACTTGGGGACAGTCAACGTGCTCAGGTGTACATTGGTGTGCTTGGTTGATTTATTTATTGCAAACATTACCCAAATATGATGCCTACTCGGGGACAGTCAACGTGCTCAGGTGTACATTGGTGTGCCTGGTTGATTTATTTATTGCAAACATTACCCAAATATGATGCCTACTTGGGGACAGTCAACGTGCTCAGGTGTAGATTGGTGTGCTTGGTTGATTTATTTATTGCAAACATTACCCAAATATGATGCCTACTTGGGGACAGTCAACGTGCTCAGGTGTACATTGGTGTGCCTGGTTGATTTATTTATTGCAAACATTACCCAGATAAGATGCCTACTCGGGGACAGTCAACGTGGTCAAGTGTACATTGGTGTGCCTGGTTGATTTATTTATTGCAAACATTACCCAGATAAGATGCCTACTTGGGGACAGTCAACGTGCTCAGGTGTACATTGGTGTGCCTGGTTGATTTATTTATTGCAAACATTGCCCAAATAAGATGCCTACTCGGGGACAGTCAACGTGGTCAGGTGTAGATTGGTGTGCCTGGTTGATTTATTTATTGCAAACATTGCCCAAATAAGATGCCTACTTGGGGACAGTCAACGTGGTCAGGTGCAGATTGGTGTGCCTGGTTTATTTATTTATTGCAAACATTGCCCAAATAAGATGCCTACTTGGAGAGAGTCACCGCACAAGTTCATTCGTATATTATAACCTCATGCTGTGGGTATGTGCTATAATACAAAAATAAAATTACTTCCTACAGGGATTAGATGATAATATTTTCATAAGAAGTAGTGATAAGACGAATGAATATATGTATTTGTGTGTCACTGTGTGAGTACTCTTGTCAATAACCACAAAAATACAATGCTTCAAGTCATCAACATACTTGGATTATTGTAGCGTACCTTTACCTTTTTTGATTCGTTTATCTTTGTCTTGTTCACGATGTCTTTCAGAGACTTCACTTCCATCCTGTTCATCCTCAGATATATTCTTGTTTTCATTTTCTTTTTCTTTAAAAAGTTGATTTTTCTTAACGACATTCGACAAAGCTTCGAAGTCAAAGGATTCTTCCTAGGATAAAGGCAACGAAAAACTGAGGGTGGTCAATAAAACTCGTTATTTTCCATCCATATACAGTAGTTAAGTACAGAAGTACAGTAGTTAAGTACAGAAGTACAGTAGTTAAGTACAGAAGTACAGTAGTTAAGTACAGAAGTACAGTAGTTAAGTACAGAAGTACAGTAGTTAAGTACAGAAGTACAGTAGTTAAGTACAGAAGTACAGTAGTTAAGTACAGAAGTACAGTAGATAAGCAAAGAAAAGCAATTTCTTTACACTCATAATAAAATGTACAAAATATTTCTACAATTAACATCATAAAACAACCGTATTATTTTGGTAAATCCACCGACATCCATAAAGAAAAAACAGAGAGAAGTGGTTGAATTGTTTTTTTTTTAAGTCGTCAAAGTATTATTAATTTCGTGTTTAATCATGCTTTACTTCAAATTTTTAAGAATTTCCTTCGATTGTCAGCGTAATGTAGCATGTAATTCCAAAAAAAACAACATCAAACAATCTTAAATGGGTATGTTCATGGTGAAAAGTACTTATTTTCAATTTTATAAAATCGCTCATTTGACCTTTCTACAGTCAACTGATTTAACTAACTTGGGCAGGAGTTTCCCAACACATTTAGCTCTGTCCAACCAACATGCAATATCATCATTAAGTCATTAAATCTTCAAAATACGGCTAGCCTTACTTGAACATTTTCCAGTTCATCCTGCAATCTTTCACACTGCTCTTGTTCATCATCTATAAACAAACAAAATAAATCTTGTTGTTATGCACAAGTAGAGCAACGACTCCATGCTAAGAAATCAAACACAACCTTCTTCGTTCTCATTTTTTCGACGTCCTTCATCAACACCTTCCTTTCTTCCATTTTCATCAGGAACATTTTTCTTTCTTCCACTTTCATCAGGAAAATTTTCCTTTCTTCCACTTTCATCAGGAGCATTTCCCTTTTCTTCATTAACACGTCCGAACAGTTCTTTAATATGAACATTTGATGATCGTGTTCGTCTGTTATCTTTTTCGCCTTCTGAGTGATGCCTTCTAGTATTTTCTTTATCGTTTCGTTTCTGAATTTCGAGCGCAACGTCCGAGAACGTCGGACCGTCCTAAACAACAAGAACAAAAGCAATTAATTAGCTACAAGATCTTTTCATACCTGTCTAGTTTGTGATATACTTGGACACGATAACTAAACAAAACACTTGTTTACTATTTCAAGGATTATTTTCCAGCACAACGCGGGTACTAGTTGACAATCCGCAAAATGTCGTTCGTAGTAAACATGAGTCACATTTCACGAACTAAAGCCTGAAAATGTTGACTAGACAATTATTATGTGAGGTTACGTCATTAGTAATGATTTTATTGACGTCACGTCATGCAACTTACGTCATATTTCATATATGAAAGTGACGTATCCTGTTTGCCACGTCGAATACCCTTCGTTGTCACTTTTCGCCGTTGATTCGACAAATACGATTTCAAGGCAGGTCTTCGGGGTAACGGAGAACTGACCTATAAATAAATAAAGGTGATTTTTGTAGATAAAGTAGCCCCCAAATCTAATCCAAACTAGACTGACCAAATGACGTCTTACGAAAACTAGAGCACCCACCCCTCCCCTATCAAATCATCCTGAATTCATCCCTCCGATCTACATCTACAAACATGTAACAATACACCTGGGTCCAAACTATTCACTTTAAGACGTAGAATAGCAGAATGTATCTTACCGCTTGTGGAGAATGAGGACCTAACAACCTTTGCTTTCGCTTCGAATCAGATGCAACGTCAATTCTGTAAACCTTTTCGATAAGCTTCAAACGAGTTTCTGAAGCATTTGCGTTGGCTTCTATTGCTTTCCGTTTCGCCGAAATTCTATCCGCATCGGAGTAACCCTTCATCCAATCTTCAGTTCTGTAACCCTGAAAGTGAGTAGTTTGCGTTGAATTTTGTTTTTCTTTAAAGGTATCGTCAATTATGATATGCTTACACTGCCAAGCTTGTTCTTTTTATCTATATCATCTTCTACATACACATCAGTTGATTTTTTAGTTTTTATACGTCCTGACTTTACTGTAGATTTCCTGCTTAGTGCAACGGCATCTGACTCGGAAGTAGAGTTACCAACAGTTCCTTGTTTCCTTGCAGAAGCTCGAGTGCGAATCTCTCGCGTCTTAGTTGTAAAAGAGAGGGCAAAAAACACGATTACTGAATATGTAAAAAGCAAGCATTTCACAAACAACCCCTCCATCTCTTGTTCAATAGCAACTGAAGGTAGTTCAACACTATGAGTTTTTTACGGCTATATAGAGCGACAATCAGTTAAGGTTTTCGTTGTGAAGCGATCTTATCCAAACTTTACAGATCAAAAACGTGAACGTTATCAACAGTACCAAGCACACGGCTTTTCAACTGAGTAGATTTTATGAGACCAAACCTTAAAATAATGCGTTTTCTGAATGAAAAGGCTTCTCTCTTACCTTTACCGATGGAATTCTCTCTTTCGCTGAGCGAGATCTTTTCCTTTTTACCACATCACTTTCATCTCCATCGTTTAGTTTCGTTTCCTGTACAAAAATTTAAGACGCATTTCACATATGTTTTGTTGTTTTTTTCATGAGCCAAACCCTTCTTCATGCGGTTGATTGAAACGGCAGTGCAAGTTACAACGGCTTTTTTTTCAAGATAAATACTGTTTGGTTTTAAGACTTAGTGCAATTTCATTGGCTGTAAAATATTGTCTGTTTAAGGTTTTCGTCAATGATCAACTAAAAGCAACATCATCGGAAAAGCAATTTGAAATTGTCAATATATAACAGCTTACACAAGTAGGAAACTCACATGACCATTCATCTACTTACTTTAGTTTTTCTCTTATTTTTGCCACTCCTTAAATAAGGTTCAGAGCTGCTCTGTTTTTTCTGATTTTCATCCACGGCCATTTTCCCAACGTCATTTTTTGACACCGATGAAGAAACACGACCTCGTTTTGCCAACACACTCAAAGGATCTTCATCTTGACTCAATGTTTGAGTCTCTTCGATCAATCGAGGTTCATCTTGACTCGTGTTAACTGAAAAGTTATCTGTATTCTTTGATGAATCAACAGCTGAATTATCTTTCTGAATAGTGTCACGCACTTCATTGGACGTTTTTTCAGTTACTTTATCACTGCATTTTAAAATCTCCTTCCTCTTTTCGTCTTTGCTTCCTATAAAATATAGAAAGTTTGCGTTGTAAACTTGGCACCTGCATCGAGCATTTTAGGGTTTGAAGTTTGTGTAATTGTATAGTGTTACATGTTTGTAGATGTAAAGTTAGTAAAGTCCTCAGTAAGACTGTCGATGTCGATGTCGATTGACGTTTTGACAACCTTAGCAGCAATCATCTTCAGAGTCAAGAACAGAGTGAAGATGACTACCGCTAAGGTTGTCGAAACGTCAGTCAACATCAACAACAACAGTCCTTCTCAGGACTCTACTAACCTGGACGATCTACATCTACAGACATGTAACGATACTCCCGGGTTTAAACCATTTACTGTATAATGTTACATAAATGTACAATCCCCTAAGTAACAAATATTTGTACAATGACTTCAATATTACATAATTGTACAGTCACTTTTGCATTCATTTCAATGATTTCATTTACATCATACAGCTGATAGTAATCGACTATTTATATCATCTCATACGTACAATTCAATTTCAGTGACTAACAATCTCAACACATGTATTTGATGGCAAAAATTTGTTGAAGAATTTATTTGTATTGATTGCCACATTAACGTAAACATTGTTTCTTATATCGCTTACCTTCATTATTATCTTTAAAAATTGAGTTGTTTGATTCAGGATTATCATTTATCTTTGAGGAATCTTTTGATTTGGGTTCAACTTTGCCACCTGAACTGTCCTTTGATCTTGATTTAGGATTATCATTTATCTTTGAGGAATCTTTTGATTTAGGTTCATCTTTTCCACCTAAGCTATCCTTTGATCTTGATTTAGGATTATCATCAATCTTTGAAGAACTTTTTGTTTTGGGTTTATCTTCACCACCTGAGCTATCCTTTGATCTTGATTTAGGATTATCATTAATCTTTGAAGAACATTTTGATTTGGGTTTATCTTCGCCACCTGAGCTATCCTTTGATCTTGATTTAAGATTATCTTTAATCTTTGAAGAACATTTTGATTTGGGTTTATCTTCGCCACCTGAGCTATCCTTTGATCTTGATTTAAGATTATCTTTAATCTTTGAAGAACCTTTTGATTTGGATTTATCTTCCCCACCTGAGCTATCCTTTGATCTTGATTTAGGATTATAATTCATCTTTGAAGAACCTTTTGATTTGGGTTCATCTTCGCCACCTGAGCTACCCCTTGATCTTAATCCAAAACCGTCGTTAATCTTTGAAGAATCTTTTGACTTAGGTTCATCCTTGCCATCTGAGCTATCCTTTAATCTTGATTTTGGTATATCATTCCCAAAGGAAAAATCTTTCGATGTGTGAATCTCTTTACTACCTGAACCACCATCCTTCGATTTCGACCCTTTAGCAACAGTTTGAGCATCCTTCCTGCTTGCATCGTTAGACTTCTTCACGCCTTTTTCGTTTGCACCAACTTTCTCCTCTTCCATTCGTTGACTCGATTTCGGTTTTGACGAATCATCGTTTGCCTCACTTTTGATATTCTTCTGTTCCCTCGGCGTTGATATAGATACGGTTTCCGAAAGTCCTTTTGATCGACTTGGAACATAAACGGCATTCGATGTCACGGATGCTCTGGGTGTCGAAGCAATTACATCAGGACTATCCACGGCTGTATTTGATGGAAAGTCTTTTGGAAATAACTGACTGACCGCGTTTAATGGATTATGTACATTGTGTTAAAGAGTATGTTTACGTTAACTTTACTAGCAACTGATCAACATTATGGTCTTCACATGACACGAACATAATTAGTAATGAGCTATTCCACGTCAATTCCTGTATTATTTTATTCATTGGTAGGTAACTAGGGATGTTTGAGTGAATGAATGATGAATTAGTGGGTAACAAGGGATGTTTGAGCGAATGAATGATGAATTGGTAGGTAACAAGGGATGTTTAAGCGAATGAATGATGAATTGGTGGGTAACAAGGGATGTTTGAGCGAATGAATGATGAATTGGTAGGTAACAAGGGATGTTTGAGCGAATGAATGATGAATTGGTAGGTAACTAGGGATGTTTGAGTGAATGAATGATGAATTAGTGGGTAACTAGGGATGTTTGAGTGAATGAATGATGTAGGTAACAAGGGATGTTTGAGCGAATGAATGATGAATTGGTAGGTAAATAAGGATGTTTGAGTGAATGAATGATGATTGGTAGGTAACAAGGGATGTTTGAGCGAATGAATGATGAATTGGTAGGTAACAAGGGATGTTTGAGCGAATGAATGATGAATTAGTAGGTAACAAGGGATGTTTAAGCGAATGAATGATGAATTGGTGGGTAACAAGGGATGTTTGAGCGAATGAATGATGAATTGGTAGGTAACAAGGGATGTTTGAGTGAATGAATGATGAATTGGTAGGTAAAAAGGATGTTTGAGCGGAATGAATGATGAGTTGGTAGGTAACAAGGGATGTTTGAGCGAATGAATGATGAATTGGTGGGTAACAAGGGATGTTTGAGCGAATGAATGATGAATTGGTGGGTAACAAGGAATGTTTGAGAGAATGAATGATGAATTGGTGGGTAACAAGGGATGTTTGAGAAAATGAATGATGAATTGGTAACAAGGATGTTTGAGCGAATGAATGATGAATTGGTGGGTAACAAGGAATGTTTGAGCGAATGAATGATGAATTGGTGGGTAACAAGGGATGTTTGAGCGAATGAATGATGAATTGGTGGAGTACTTTGTATGTTTGAATGAATGAATGACAAATTGGAGGGTAAAAAGGGATGTTTGAGTGAATGAATGATTAATTGGAAGGTAACTAGGAATGTCTGAGAAAATGAATGATGAATTAGAGGGCTAGAGAGGATGTTCGAGTAAATGTATGATAAATTGGAGGGTTACTTGAGATGTTTGCATTCTTTAAAAGGATATTTTCTTGATTGTATAAGAACTTGACATATTTTTCGCTTGTATCGTTGACAAAAGATAAAAGCGTGTCGACAGTTTGATTCAATTGCACGACAAGAACGAACTCCTGACTTTCTTTCTTTTCTAAAGAAAAAACACATACATGTTTGAATTCTTATATGAAAGCAAACTTTCAGTCGTGGTGATCGTTATTATAACAGATATTCAAAATATCTCATTTTCCTTGCCGTAAAAAGTTTTTTATAGCTACAACACAAATTCTACTATCATGTCCTAATATCATTTTTGGCTTCAGACAACCTGAAGGACGGCAAACTTCATTACCTAATAGACGTGTTTGCAAAATCATTTCTTCTTTTAACGAGACGGTTTCCCACTCTTCATGCTGAAATGGAAACATAAAAAATAAAAAAACGAATCGTTCGAAAAAAAAGAAGTTTGAAGACATGAAAATAATAGCATGAAAAAACACTTTCATGCATAACGGTGCTACACTATGGAATTCGATCTGTTCCAACTGAAATTAAAAAAAAAGCAAAACACTGCCATGCCTTAAACAGAAAATTGAAGAGAGGTATCAACTCACTTCATTTTTTTAACTACTTTACCAATAGTTGCATAGAAGATTATAGTGCTAGACTAACGTATCACATGCATATGTAAACATATTGATTTTCTTGTCAATTTATTTTATTACCCTTCCCCGTTGAAATCAGCTCCTGCTAGAAGGGTTATCGCAGGTAAATAAAGTTTGGTATCATTTATGAGTTTATGCACGCATGTGTATCTTAACCAAAAATTTATAACATGCATATGTACAGCTAATGAAGACATAAATATATCATTTTATGGCGTTTCACTGTAATTTAAAAATTTAAAACATCATCTTAATTTCATCATCTTAAAACATCATTTTAATTCACAGATGACTATAAGCATAAAAAACACGCATGTTTAATCGTGCTATATGCCAGTATTTCGGTGTCCACTCGCTGTAAAAATAATAGCTAATACTGATGATATGAAATTCATACATGACGTTTCACTGTAAATTAAAACTTTTAAACATCATCTTAATTTTACACTGGCAGTAAGCTCTTGAAAAAAGCTCTCCACATTTATATCTTAGCCTAGAATAAATTAAATGGATATGTAATAAAGTCAAAAATATAACGTTTTACGTTGCACAGTAAATGAAAACACCATTGTACGTACACTGGCGGTATGCTCATGAAAGAAGCTCAATTCCTATTTCCAGAACCATTGTTCATACAGTAAAAGTTGACTTAACACAACTGCACTCGCTACTTTATATGAAAAATCACATTTAGGATACTAGCTTTCCCGCCATAAAGAACGGTGTTGAAACGACGTCAATTTAATCGTCATATTAGCAGCTATACTTTATAAAACTCATACTTTATCTATACTTTATCATACTAAAAACTTTATCTATACTTTATACTTTATACTCTATACTTAGCAGCTATACTTTATAAAAACTCATACTTTATCTATACTTTATCATACTAAAAACTTTATCTATACTTTATACTTTATACTCTATACTTAGCAGCTATACTTTATAAAAACTCAGGGATCGAGAATAAAGTTTACAAAAAGAATTTTCACCGTTGAATTACGCATATTTTCAAAATTAGTTTCTTCAACTCTCAAGGCAATAGTTACCTCTTCATCGATTGCAAAGAATGTGATCGACCTGCTTCCCAGATTAAAGTCAGTCCAAAACATCCCACTGTCGCTATCTATCGGACAATCAATCTGAAAAATATACAAGTAGATTGATAAAAAATCTTAACTTTAAGAGAAACATCCTAATGGGCAACGTATTTCACCTTCTGAAGGCCAAAGTATACGTCTTTGCAAAGAAGCGAGTATACACTATAAAATAAACCAAGAATTGAGTCTGCTATACACTGCAAATATTCATCCAGATTTTATTCATGGCATTTATGTTTGTTTTTTGTTGTTTGTTTTTTTTGAAAACCTTTCAAAGAAATTCATTTTTTGAATTTACAGATGACTTTGAGCATAAACAACACGGATGTTTAATCGTGCTATATATGCCAGTCTTTCGGTGTCCACTTGCTGTAAAAATAATGAAGTTCTAGTGACATTAACTAATGCTGTAAATGATTTGAACCCGGGATTATCGTTACATGTTTGTAAATGTAGATCGTCCAGGTTAGTATAGTCCTGAGAAGGACTGTTTTTATTGTTGTTGACTGACGTTTCGACAACCTTAGCGGTAGTCATCTTCAGAGTCAAAAAAGAAACACTCTAAAGATGACTACCGCTAAGGTTGTCGAAACGTCAGTCAACTACAACAAAAACAGTCCTTCTCAGGACTATACCAACCTGGACGATCTACATTTACAAACATATAACTAATGCTGGTGATATGAACTTTATACATAGCATGACCAAACGTGTGAGCTGGCTGTACTACACTAAATACTAGTTTTCTTCAATTAAAAGACAACAATAGAAAATAATGAAAGTTCGTTACCAGGCTACCAACGTGTCGAACTTGCTCAATCTAGATTTTCCAAACATAATTTAGAACTTTACCTTCTCTTGTCAAGTTGTTTTTCATTCAGGTTATTCACAAACTTTCGCGAATCCTAAAGATAAAAGTCGACACCTTAAACTGACAAACTTCTTGTTGTATGACTAACATCTTGGTTAAGCTGTCTTCAAGAGGAACGTAATTGGGGAGAATTTGAAAATGACGTGGGTTATGCGGGCCATTATTATAATTTTACTATCTGCTAGGAAACTGAACGATAAGACAGAGTATGCGAGAGTGCAGTTTAATTATATATTACAGTATAGAACAGCCATGCACCTCATGCTCCGGGAATCATTGACTTAATCTCGACAGTTCTAAGAAAGAGTGGCAGCTAAAACGCATAGTTAACGAGCCATAAAGTAATAGGAAAAGATTACTTTAACCGATTGCGAATTTAACTTACAGATTCAAACTCGAAATCTCTAATGGAAAGAAAATCACGACGACAATCGAGATGATCATTAAACCAAGTTTGAGCAAGAGATTTTCGTTTAGGCGAAGGCAACAAACGGCATATTAACTCGATCATGTTCAATTGCACTTCTAGATCTGAAACAAGAAAATTTCCACTTCACAACATCGTTAAAATGACATGATATTCAAGAAAAAACGATGGAAACTTTCCTACCTCCAGCATTAGTCAAAAGGACATCGAAGTTTTTACTACAATGAATATAGAAAGAATGAAAATACTAAATTTACCCGACCTACCCTCCCCCCCCCCAAAAAAAAAATGAATATAATTCTATTTGTGACAAAACATTTCTATCCGTATAAAAACATACTTACACAACTGTCAGAGAATCCACAAGGCCCAAATCACCGATAAATAACTCTATTACAGTGTTGAGAAATTTTATCGCCTAAAATTGAATCATGAAAATGAACGAGTACGATTTAAAGGTACATGTTTTTCCTTAACATTCTGTTGTTGCATGGTTATAAACACCATCAATACCAGTTATACATGTTTTACGTTAACATTCTGTTGTTGCATGGTTATAAACACCACCAATACAAGTTATACATGTTTTACGTTAACATTCTGTTGTTGCATGGTTATAAACACTACCAATACAAGTTATACATGTTTTACGTAAACATTCTGTTGTTGCATGGTTATAAACACCACCAATTGTTGTTGCATGGTTATAAACATTATCAATACAAGTTATACATGTTTTACGTTACTATTCTGTTGTTGCATGGTTATAAACACCATCAATTGTTGTTGCATGGTTATAAACACCACCAATTGTTGTTGCATGGTTATAAACACCATCAATACCAGTTATACATGTTTTACGTTAATATTCTGTTGTTGCATGGTTATAAACACCATCAATTGTTGTTGCATGGTTATAAACACCACCAATTGTTGTTGCATGGTTATAAACATTATCAATACAAGTTATACATGTTTTACGTTACTATTCTGTTGTTGCATGGTTATAAACACTATCAATACCAGTTATACATGTTTTACGTTAACATTCTGTTGTTGCATGGTTATAAACACCATCAATACCAGTTATACATGTTTTACGTTAACATTCTGTTGTTGCATGGTTATAAACACTACCAATACCAGTTATACATGTTTTACGTTAACATTCTGTTGTTGCATGGTTATAAACACCACCAATTGTTGTTGCATGGTTATAAACACCATCAATACCAGTTATATATGTTTTACGTTAACATTCTGTTGTTGTATGGTTATAAACACCATCAATACCAGTTATACATGTTTTACGTTAACATTCTGTTGTTGCATGGTTATAAACACTATCAATACCAGTTATACATGTTTTACGTTAATATTCTGTTGTTGCATGGTTATAAACACTATCAATACCAGTTATACATGTTTTACGTTAACATTCTGTTGTTGCATGGTTATAAACACTATCAATACCAGTTATACATGTTTTACGTTAACATTCTGTTGTTGCATGGTTATAAACACCATCAATACCAGTTATATATGTTTTACGTTAACATTCTGTTGTTGTATGGTTATAAACACCATCAATACCAGTTATACATGTTTTACGTTAACATTCTGTTGTTGCATGGTTATAAACACTATCAATACCAGTTATACATGTTTTACGTTAACATTTTGTTGTTGCATGGTTATAAACACCACCAATTGTCGTTGCATGGTTATAAACACCATCAATACCAGTTATATATGTTTTACGTTAACATTCTGTTGTTGTATGGTTATAAACACCATCAATACCAGTTATACATGTTTTACGTTAACATTCTGTTGTTGCATGGTTATAAGCACTATCAATACCAGTTATACATGTTTTACGTTAATATTCTGTTGTTGCATGGTTATAAACACCATCAATACCAGTTATACATGTTTTACGTTAATATTCTGTTGTTGCATGGTTATAAACACCACCAATTGTTGTTGCATGGTTATAAACACCATCAATACAAGTTATACATGTTTTACGTTACTATTCTGTTGTTGCATGGTTATAAACACCACCAATACCAGTTATATATGTTTTACGTTAACATTCTGTTGTTGCATGGTTATAAACACCACCAATTGTTGTTGCATGGTTATAAACACCATCAATACCAGTTATATATGTTTTACGTTAACATTCTGTTGTTGCATGGTTATAAACACCACCAATTGTTGTTGCATGGTTATAAACACCATCAATACAAGTTATACATGTTTTACGTTACTATTCTGTTGTTGCATGGTTATAAACACCACCAATACCAGTTATATATGTTTTACGTTAACATTCTGTTGTTGCATGGTTATAAACACCACCAATTGTTGTTGCATGGTTATAAACACCACCAATACCAGTTATACATGTTTTACGTTAACATTCTGTTGTTGCATGGTTATAAACACTACACCAATACAAGTTCTACAAGTTCAATGTTAATATTTTGTTACTGCATGGTTGTAAACACTACCAATACGATAAGGAAAAGATTATTTATAAAGTCGTGATTATTTAACATCGTTTCTTCAAATCTGCAATTTAAGGGTGAACTTGAACTTCATCCAGTTTGTACGCACCTCAAATCTTTGAATGAGAGCATTTCGTTCGTCGGCGACCATCTCCAGGTAAGGTAGAACGAAACTTTTAATGGCAAGCTTTCCTGCGAGAGAAGAATTATACAACACAATGACGATGATTCTATCATTCCTATAGAGAAATTGAACAACGTTCACATAGAAAATTCTTACCTTCTTTGCTTAGATCTGCAATGTTCTGCGAAATAAATAAATAAATTGGAACCAAAGAGTGACAAATGTCGATGTCACTTGACCCTTTGCAGCATGGCGTTGCTTCAGGTCAACAATCACCGAACACGATGGAACTCGGTCGGCGAAAAAATTCATGCAACAAAGGGTTAATATGACACATAGAAGAGCTTTGTATTTTGCCTTTCAAAATCTACTGTTCTTCTAACTCACGAAACTACTTCATGGCTTTCTATGGTTTTATCTTTTGATAACTGACAAGTTCTATCTCAGTAAAACTGTATCTAATTTCTCATCTATTAAATGTGACGTTTTCCGTACGTCTGTACTTATAAATTCGAGTTATATAGGGTCAGCGGTAGAACGCTAATTGTGGGGGGGGTGAGTGTATATTGGTATATTCAGTTGTGTCCGACTGACTTCTTTAGAAAACCAAATCACTTTCAAAAGAAATCACACTCGCCCACAACTGAATACATGAATATACACACCCCTCCCCAATTAGCGTTCTAGCGCCGTCCCTGAGGTTGTGTATCACAGAAATTGCTTGATTTCTTAATGTGCCTTTATGAACTGCATTTCACACAAGTGAACATGTGCAAGAGAGAGGACTACAAAGCTTGCTGTTGCATTCACTTAATCATGACATGAAATATCATATTTTTTTTCTTCAATAAATGAATATATAAGTAAAATTAAACGATTATTTTTTTTTAATTTTTGCCAGCCTCCCCATGCACCCCGTTAGAGAGCCCTTAACATAACTATTGCATTGCTTTATAAGGGGACTTCAAGGGAATTTTTTTGCTCTGTCTGTGGATAAATCCCTTTTACAGATGTAGAAGTATGTAAAAAGTTTTAGAGTGTTAATTCTTACTGCGACAATTTCCATGATGCTCATTTGATCTTCCAATTATTATCCCATCCTTAATGAATTATTATCCCATCTTAATGTCTATTTCCATATCCTTTAAAATCCACCACACCTTCACTTAACCTTTCTCCCCACCTATTTCTAACATTCTTTTCCTCCCATCAACATAGTATCTCTCTTTCCACTCAATGCACATCCCACTCCACCATTCTCTTACACACTCTCTCCCCACACCTCTCTCCAACACACATCTCTCTCCCCATCACACACATCTCTCTTTTCAACACATCTCAACACACTCATCCCTCTCCCATCTCTCATCTCCTTCTCATCTTCCCATCCTCTCCACTCTTCCATCCCTCCTTTAATCCTTCCCTCATCCTCTCTGACACACATCCACTCCCTGTCCCTCTCCAGCCTCTTGGACACCATCCTCCCCTTCCCTCATCTCTCTTCCACCTAACATCTCCTCATTACACCCCCTCTTTCATCTTCACCAACCATCTCCACACATCCCCTTCACCTCACCTTTCACATCCCTCTGAACACCTACCTCCCAACATGCTCCCCTCCCCTTCAACAAAAACAAACATAAATGTAATGTAACTTATCATTTGGGGGGTTTCTCCATCAAGAAGCATTTCAGGCTTATTGGATGACACTTGAGATAACATTTCAATGGATTTTTCAAAAACTTCATTATTTATTGGACCGTTTAGAGCCTATGGTCAGAAAACAAATTTTCAAGTGAGATTACATCCATTAATGATATTATATTTCATTCATTCTTATTCCCCAATCATATTTCAATGAAGTTATTACTTTGTTTTGATGATGTATATAAAATTTTATAAAAATACCGTTGCCAAAGATGTTTTGACTGTTTTCAAAAGCGATAAAGAGTCCACTTTGGCATATTTCTCTTTTGCTGTTTCTTGTCAATCTCTGTATCAGATACTACAATCTAAAAGAGCCATAGAGACTATAAAAACATTGCTAATTATGATTAATATCATAGTTTTCTCCTGCTAACAGATACACAACAAGCATGGACACAGATAATAAACAATATGACAATATAGAGTTTAGATTTTTGGTAAGGGAAGCCTTTGTTCATTTTACGAGTGAGAAGACTGGACAGTTGTAAAATATCATGAATGGAGAAGATAGATGAGCGTAATGTAAAAGATAGAGGCCCACTCATTGTAAGCATTTAGTTACTTGAAATAAAAAACGAGATTCATAATGCAAACATCAAAAATAAGTTGAGAAGAAGAGTGATATATTTATCAAAACATTTGTCATAATACACTTTCAAAAAAACGACGGCTTATAAATTATTAAAATATAACGGTAGCCTCCAATCGGCAATCATTTGAGATCAACAAGAGCAGATATAAAAGCAACGAAAGGGAAAATGTATCGCAAACACGAGCATCTTTCAACAAAATACATGATTTACGAGCACTGTCATACAATTCATAAGATTGCCATCGAAAAATAAAATTTACGCATTTCTTTCAACGCTACCTGAGTGTGTGATACAATCATCTTGGCAAAAAAAAACAGTTGTGGAGATGTGTTTTATTTCTTGAAGAAATTGTTGGCTAAAATAAAGCCAAGCATGCTTAATAACTTTGTTTTTTTTCACAATAAAAAATTAAAAATCGCACGTAAGTCTTCATTGTTTTTACTCCTGTGGGATTCATTTTGGATTTTCCCGCGCTTCACCTATTGCCCATATTTGGTAACATATCGTGCTGCCTTCGGCCAAGATTCGGTAAGAGCCGATAAAGTTCAACAACATTATGATACATACTGTAACTTGTTGCTTTTTGATATTTTAAAATTTTAATTCGTAGCTCTTTCCATGAAATTTTAAAATAAAACGTTCGATAAGCATTTAGTATAGCATTAACGGTGAAAACATGTATTCATCAGGCAGTTTTAGTTTGGTCTAATTTTTCCAACTATACTAATATATCAGTATTTACTAACGAATAAATGAAATTGATGAAAATAATAATGACGTAAATTTCATATTTTGAAATTTACATGACTAAATTTGTTAACACACCACTCATGGTTAAATTGCTTGCAATAATTGTTGTGATATTGTTGTGTCTACCTTAACATAGCTTGATTTTTCCCTGGAGGTCGACCAACTTTCCTGTGAGAAGTCAATCTAATGCTTTTCTCAAATAACGGAGATTCCTTTCCCTCTTTTTGATGCGATAAGGATCGATTATGAGCTTTGGCTTTTCTTGGTGTTGAAGTTATGAATCCAGTAAAACTAGATGATGTAGCTTCATAATTTGAGGCATCATTGCGAGAATTATTCCTCGCTGATTTCAACTTTCGTTTCTCAAGAGGAGTCCTGAATACAACAGACTTTGCACTTCTTTTTGGCATCTTTAATAGAAGCAGCACTGCTGTTACGGGTCATCTTTCATTTAATAATGAAAATAAACTCAAGAATCGATCTCTTTCCTCCATATTTTGGCGCCATCATTCAACTTTTTAATAAACTACTATTACTTTTGCCCGGAAATTTGAAGTATCGTTACCAATCTTTCCACGCAAAATAAGAATTTCAGTTTTCGAAGAGACCGTGAAAAATACTGAAAATAAAGTTCAGTGTTTGGAAATGGAAATGTATGCAAGAATGAGCTGCAGAAATTTATTTTGACCTACCCTTACCATAGATTCACCATTGATTTTGAAATAGTTGTGCCAAACATGATATCCTGATACATGTTATCATTATAGTTTGTTTGGGAAAGGGCTCATATTGAGTCACTATCGTGCGATATCTGCCGTTTGTCTAAACGCTCTACGTACTTATAACAACTAGCTATCTGGTGAGTATTTGGTCAGAATGGGGATGATCCAGGCACTGTCATTGCTGTGTATAATGCAGCTCTTTTCATTTCTCAGTGAAATTGACCAATGTTAGCCACTTTATCCATTTCACCTCGTGGCCTTGGGAATTGATTTTGTTGCCCATCCCCTAATAATGTTGAAGTTTGTAGCTTGTTTGTATACTTTAGGAATGTTGACGTTGTTTATTATACTTCAGAAATATGTTATTTTGGATTACATCACTAGCATTTTGTGCAAAAAGAAGACACTACTACACACCTAGAGTTTAAGCCCTTTGTAGGTTGTTGATAATGAATTTGCTGTTTCGATTTGAAAATTGGCTTGTCTCTGTTTTCTCAATTAAAATTAAATATTGTTGGTTAGTCATGGATTTTAGGTCTATATGTTGCCATGTGTAAATATTCAATTACTCATTGTCATAGCATTTCAATTTTAACAAGTGCATCCATAAAATTATTTTGTGAGACAAGTCGTAACATGTTTGCTTTAAAAGTAAATATTGGCTCATACTAAATACATGGAAGGCTACGTCCCTTCGTCAGTCAATATTTTGAAGCCAGTTGAGCCCAGTCTTTCCACGCATTGTAAACACACGGCCAATAGACAGAAGCGAAAAAATAACTTGTACAAACTACGACGCTCCAAAAACAAACACAAATTCTTTTTTGCCTTAATTTGGCAAACAAAACTTTCACAAATGAGACTTAACAAGTATACACAACTTTTAACAATTACAATTTTGTAAAAGAAGCCATAACGGGCATGGCCAACCATTACTAAAAGGCACTTTGTTGTTGTTGTTTGTTTTGGTATGTCTGCAAATGTGCCAAAAACTAAAGCATTTTGGTTTCAACGTAGCATAGAAAAGCACATAGAATTCTAAACAAACATCAGTTTTGTAAATGTATTTCTACCCAAAACAATTATTATTAGTGTTACTCCGTGAACGTTCAAAAACGCAATTTTTAGTTCAAACTTACATGAGATTTGGTTTAAAAATATAAGTTAGATAATATATGATAATAGTCGTCATATCCTCCCAAATTAAGGGCTTCTGTAAATAGATGCACCTACAAATCTTTCATGGTAAAGGATGCTTGCTGAAGTGTTTCCGATTTGTATAAATTGAACGATCAGTTTCCACAGTTGATATTTTCCATTACGAAATAGGTATTCAATAGTTAGCATCATAATTCACAGTAAAAATATCAAGCTCCATCACCTTTAATGCCACAATACCTTCTACAAATATTCTTTATTTCGAGTTTCTGGAGGTCAAATTTGACTTCGAAAAATTATTTGGTTTTTATATTACCGGTAGCCTTCCATCTATTATAGTTCAATGATACATCATAAACTTCATAAAGTTTACGTCTGATAAAATTTCTAGTGCAATATTTCCTAAACCGGGTCGTCGGACAAAAAAGTTTATAAGGAAGCTTGTTAGAAATTTTTTGCAAGTGAGTTAATTTTAAACATCGATCAGATTCAAATATGCTGTAATCTTTAAAGTTTTTTCACTAAAGCTTTTAAATACATACTCAAATACGAATTCCATCTTACAAAATAATCAAAACTCAACTCATACCTAATGAACATATCTCATGCTGTAGTTATATGGTAAAAGGTGAGCTAATTATGTTTATTAAAAAGTTCATCTTGCTTTTTTGCCTTCATTTATGGTTTGAATTAAAGCATGAGGATGATCTTACAGTGATTTGTGTTTTTGCCTTTTAAAATTCAATGTGGGTCATTTCATCAAATATATGTCAGTAAACAAAAATTGTGCAGAAAAAAACGTAACAAACCAAAACATCTTCATTCTTTCTTCAAGTGAAATGACAATTGCGCACCATGCTGTCATTGATCTGAGAGGCAGTGCCTTAGTGAAATCTTTTCCTTTTTATGACTTAATCTTACATCATTTACAGTCAAAATTCAACAGGTAGAAACCTAAGATCGTCAGTCTTTCTTCAATTGCTAGCACGTGAAGTTAGACAAGGAATTCCAAAAGCATTACCAAAAAACATGGTGAATTATCGTAGTGTACTGCCAAATTTATATAATAGACCAATACCATTAATACATTTTTACTTTAAAAAATATGAACAAGTGCAACTCTTGACAGTAGCAAATTATACATAAATTCCAATTTTTTTAGCCTTTACAATCAGGTGTAGTTGAGTTTCTTGATAGGAAAGTAATTTCAACGGAAGCGGAAGACTGAGTACGCCGAGAATCATTCTCCCCTTCACCACTTCGTACTCTTTTTCATTAAGAACTATTACATTATTATTTTGACCATTAACAACGGTATTTGCTCTTTTTAAAAAAATTTTTAATTGATAATATTAGAAGGGTTACATTCTGATGTCTCAAAAAGAAAACCTGAAAGCTATTCAATTAAACTGTAAACCTAGATCACCAATTAGAGATCTCATAAATACTCGTTCAAAAAAGACATGCAGACAGAAACCTAAAATAATGAATCTGTTGTCGACTCACGCATAATATTATATCATTAACTTAGGCAACTTTATGGATAAATATTTCTAATTAACAGCAAATTTTAGCTGCATGTGCTCAACTTCATCATGGCTCAAAAGATTTTTGAATGAATAAGTTCTGAAGAACAAGAATGTTAGCATTTTTGAGAATTAATAAGTTCTTGACATACATTACACAAGGCCATAATATTATAAATAATGTCTGTACAATAACAATTATACAACATGCTAAATATCTTCACCTACATTATAATTATTTAAACAGGTTTGCCTTCATGCAGCAATAAGAAAAGTGTTATGTCAGAGAAACGTAACACTTTAATGCATTATTTGAATATTTACAGTGCTATACATAGCGATTACAGCTTTTTCCGTGCATGACTCGTGTCTTTTTACAATATAAAAAATGTTTATTGATATTTTTCATAAGTAGATAGCTACACAATTTTCTCTTTGTTTATATTTTTGTTTTTCATGATAATTTGTCCTTTGCTGTCCTGTGATGTTATGTGTTCAATTTTTTTTTTCTCACAAGAATTTTTTTGAGCGTTTAGGTCAGTGCAGTCTTGAAAAGGATTGTTGGTGTTCGTGTTGACAAACATTTCTACGAGAACTTTGACTCTGAGACCACTCTTGACTTTGAAGGTGACTGCTGCTAATGATGACGAAACGTCAGTCAAAACTAACACCAACAGTGTTAGAGCCTATGGTCAGAAAACAAATTTTCAAGCGAGATTAAATCCATTAATGATATTATATTTCATTCATTCTTATTCCCCAATCATATTTCAATGAAGTTATTACTTTGTTTTGATGATGTATATAAAATTTTATAAAAATACCGTTGCCAAAGATGTTTTGACTGTTTTCAAAAGCGATAAAGAGTCCACTTTGGCATATTTCCCTTTTCCTTGCTGTTTCTTGTCAATCTCTGTATCAGATACTACAATCTAAAAGAGCCATAAAGACTATAAAAACATTGCTAATTATGATTAATATCATAGCTTTCTCCTGCTAACAGATACACAACAAGCATGGACACAGATAATAAGCAATATGACAATACAGAGTTTAGAAATTTCGGGAAGGGACGTCTTTGTTCATTTTACACGAGTGAGAAGACTAGACAGTTGTAAAATATCATGAATGGAGAAGATAGATGAGCGTAATGTAAAAGATAGAGGCCCACTCATTGTAAGCATTTAGTTACTTGAAATAAAAACGAGATTCATAATGCAAACATCAAAAATAAGTTGAGAAGAAGAGCGATATATTTATCAAAACATTTGTCATAATACAGTTTCATAAAAACGACGGCTTATAAATTATTAAAATATAACAGTAGCCTCTAATCGCCAATACAGCAATCATTTGAGATCAACAAGAGCAGATATAAAAGCAGCACAAGGGAAAATGTATTGCAAATACGAGCATCTTTCAACAAAATACATGATTAACGAGCACTGTCATACAATTCATAACATTGCCATCGAAAAATAAAATTTACGCATTTCTTTAAACGCTACCTGAGTGTGTGATACAATCATCTTGGAAAAAAAAAACAGTTGTGGAGATGTATTTTAGTTCTTGAAGAAATTTTTGGCCAAAATAAAGCCAAGCATGCTTAATAACTTTGTTTTTTTTTCACAATAAAAAATTAAAAATCGCTCGTAAGTCTTCATTGTTTTTACTCCTGTGGGATTCATTTTAGATTTTCCCGCGCTTCACCTATCGCCCATATTTGGTAACATATCGTGCTGCCTTCGGCCAAGATTCGGTAAGAGCCGATAAAGTTCAACAACATTATGATAGATACTGTAACTTGTTGCTTTTTGATATTTTAAAATTTTAATTCGTAGCTCTTTTCATGAAATTTTAAAAATAAAACGTTCGATAAGCATTTCGTATAGCATTAACGGTGAAAACTATTGAAAACAACAACGGTTTGACGCCGACCTCCTGCATCGCGTTTGCAAAGGCTTATGGGTAAAGGAAGGCGTTGCAAGCCGTTATTGGAGCTTGCGGGTTGTCATTTGGAGTCTTAAAACACTGTTAATTTGCTATTTACAATTTTGGAAAGTGTCTTTAATTTAGCCAGCTTAGTAAGCTCAGCAACGCTCCTATTGTCTTGAAATCTCTCGGGAGGAGGAAGATGGAGTAGTTTTCTGCTTTGGAATCTAAAGAAATCTTGCAAACGGAAATTTATAGGCAAAGGTAATGTGAAACACATTGCCCCATCGAAACTGAATCGATTTATTAATGTGGCAAATTGAACTAATAGCTAAACGAACGTCTGCCGTTGTATAATTAGAAATAGGTTTTTCTACCATCTGGCAAGCTTGGTTTTGTCTGAATCCAATCGCGGAGCTGCTATTACTTATTAATAATGTCAGCTTGTTGATATTTTGTTTCGAAAAGCTGGCAATGAGCCGGTCGAAGCGAGACACGTTTTCGTCCGCCAAAAAATTATAACTTATATTGTAGTAAATTTCATTTCTAAAGGCTTTAGAACTGTAGCGATGAAATGACTACATATTATATCTAGCTCTATTTCCGCAAAGTTAATTGACGAAAAACGAAAACGTTAAGCATCGAGGTTGTACATTTCTCTTTTACTTTTCGACTTGCCCTGTTTATTTGTCGACTTCCGCGTCAAATTTGTAGGGTGCTAACGTCTGGCGTGTTGTATGCTGTGAAATAACGCACAGCATTTAATTAAGTATTGCCTATGATTGTACATTTGCTCAACTGAAAGAGTATGTAAGTTTTTAAATTATATTTATTTACATGAAACACCATGCTTTAGTGTAAGGAAGCGTGTGGATGTTAAGATATTTTCATTGACTTTATTATTCTAAATAGCCTAACAACCATTGTGCGAAAATAGAATACTCTTATGTAAAATCCGTGTATTTGAGTTAATTGTATAATGGCCGTCAATTGACCTGTTTCGTGTTATTAAGGAACAACCTGTTCGCATGGTGTATATAAATAATCTGAATGGTTTAGTCTTGAACATGTTGAAAAATATTGTTGATGGTTTGATTCCTCTCTGATCAAGTTGTTGCTGGGATTCCGGTTTGATTGCTTCCCAAATATTTTATTTTACAGTGAAGTGCATACTGTGATTCATATCTATTTCCCATTTTTATTTTGGATAATGAACACCGATATGTTTTATTTCATTCTATTTTCAGTTCAACATGGGTAACTTATTGAGAATTTTATATGCCAAAGATACTGACACAAATAAATCTGATATCTTTCTCGACTTTGAAAGTAAGTTTGCAAGATTCAGTTTCCATGGTAACTGAACACTTAGTATTTATTTGAGGGAAAAAAACTTCACAGTTCACTATGTTTCTAGATGCCCAACCAACATCTTCTGAGGCAGAGGTCTATGATGTCGTTAAGGCAGTTTTAGATCAATCTACACAAATCCTGGAAGATCTTAATGATTATCAAGGTGCCAATGAGCCAATCAGAGTGGTATGTATCTACACAGACAGCAATAACAAGCGATTTCTTATTTTGTAAGATGAACTATGCAATTTTCTCATCACTTAAAGTGCCAATGAAACAAAAAGTTTTCTATCTGAGTAATACTTTTATTCAAGAGATATTTCAAGATGACAATGGACATTCTCAACCAAATTATGCATATCACTTTAAATTCTTGAGATATTGAGGTTCTTGCTTTGTCCAATATCTAACTTGGGATGTCGCATTGCATAGTGAGAAGTAAAATTATATTAGGTATATTTACCAATACTTTAATTCACAAGGACAGAGTTCCCTTTATTATGATGTGGTTAATGGTATAAAATGCTGCCTACTAGTATCAACATATAGTTGTCAGGAAACTGAAGAGTATTTGAAGCATTGTGGGAACTCATTATGCAACATTACGTCACAAGTTGTATAGACTGGAAATAACAAAAACATCAAAATCTCAAGAAGGAAAAGAGATATGCATTAATTGTTTTAGAAAGTACACTGTCTTTTTAAAAGTTTTAGTCATTTCAAACATAATGTAACTTGCAAAATTTTTGTTTCATAGGCATTTTAAATGATTGTATTCATCATTTTCAGGCAATATCCAATCCTACAAACGAGGGTTTACAAGAAGAGGCATGGCGAGCAGTTATGCCTTTAGTCGGACAGTTGAAAAGTTTTATGAATATGCAACTGAATTGGGTTGGTTATCTCCACTATGAATTCATCAATTTTGTTGACCTTAGTTTCCCACAATATCTGGTCGTGAATTATTCATACAAACATCTATACTACCATAACTTTGTTACAAATGTCTCTTTCCACTGGCACTATTCTGTGACATCAGCATTGACTAGCCTGTATTCTGAAAAGTGTAATAATAATGGTTTATAAACAATGACTGTAACTTTGTCTATTGATGTTTTGTTTGTGTTTTTTTTCATTTAGAGGCTGCCTTACCTCAACTGCTGAATGCTTTATGCTCGGGAAATCTAACACCAGTCGAACATTTGGAACAGCAGCAGGTTTATTCAGTGTTTTTGCATGAGAAATAATGTTTCCTAATTGATAGTTTGGTCAATGGTGAATTGGGAATGTCTTTGTTTCAGGCACTTGCTAAACAGTTTGCCGATATCCTTCATTTCACATTAAAATTTGATGACCTAAAGGTCGGGCTTCCTTGTTGATTTTCACTTTGTTTTTACCAGATGACGATGCAACTCCTAAAAAAAATTTTCGTTCTTAGATGACCAACCCATCAATCCAGAATGATTTTAGCTATTACAGAAGAACACTCAGCAGAAGAAAACTGTCAAATTGTGTAAGAAATAATTAAATAAAAAGACATTGGTACAGTGGTTAGCGCATTGCATCATGGTACAACTGTCTTGTTTACCTTGTCTTAGGACGATAATGACATGGATGAAAATGATGTCCAAGTGTCAAATGAAATGGCCAATAGAATGTCCTTATTTTATGCCTATCCAACGCCAATGTTAAAGACATTAAGTGATGCTACATCAAAGTTCGTTAGCGAAGTAGGACAATTACATATGTACAGTGCATAGTCTGTCTTGGATGATTTCCCATAAACTCCATCTTAATTTTGTCTAGAACAAGAATTTGCCCATAGAAAATACGACTGATATGTTAAGTACTTTGGCTAATCTTTGTAGAGTTATGATTGAAAATCCGTAAGTAAACAACGAACCTTTCTTGTCAGGTTAATTGCACATATAAAATGTACGTCTAACTCCTTTTTGCAGCGAGTACAGCTCACGTTTTGAAAGTCAAGAAACCACTTTGTTTTGTCTTCGTATTATGGTAAGTTCACCTATGTAATATAAAACATAAAATAAACACAATGAAACGCGTGCGCTGATTGGTCTAGAGCTGAGTTTGCATTAGCCTGTGCAAAGCACATCTGAGCTCAACCAATCAATCAAAGAGAATTTGCACATCAATCAGGAATACATTTTATAGGAAAAATTAAAACGTTTGTCTTTTTTGTTTTCTTGTTATTTTATAAAAGAAATAAAAGATGTTTTTCGTGTTTGCACTGGCTTATGCAAACCTCGGAGACTTTTGTAAGAACGCTAAAATATCTTCAATTAGCCTTAGAGCTCTACACCCTAGGTCTTGGCTGTAAACTATTATACCACGCGATACTACACGATAAGTCTTAGCAACTTAAAAGTACAGAATACTACCATAGTAAAGGTCAACTTCACTGTGTCAGAGTTAAAGGCAGGTGATTCGTCACTCGACCAGTGCTGAAATGAAACTGCTACAATCATCCCTTAGATACTGTGTAATATATTCAAAATAGGAGAAAGAAAATTCTAACAAAATCGTTTGCGTTCTGTGCTTCTCGTGATGAGATTATCTTTTGAAAGGGCATGGTGTGAAGGGCTATTTGATTTATCCAATTTTGACTTTATCTTTGTCGTTATTAGGTTGGAGTAATAATTTTATACGACCATGTTCATCCTTTGGGCGCCTTTGTAAAAACCTCTAATATTGATGTAAGCGTGTTTTACAATTTACCGCTGATATTTATCATCCGAGAGTGCTGTGTCTCTATAATTCATTTTCAAGACTTCCACTCTCGATTTCAGATGAAGGCAACGATCAAGGTTCTTAAAGATCAACCGCTAAACTCGGTGGAAGGACTTCTAAATGCATTAAGGTTAAAAATCATACATTCGGTTATTTCATTATTTACGATTTCGCTGTGAAAGTTTTTTATTTCCACGATGCAAAGAAAGATGTACTTTAAATATGAACACGTGTTTCATTCAGATACACAACGAAACATCTCAACGACGAGAGCACACCAAGGAACATCCGAATGTTACTACAACAGTGAGAAAGGACGGAGAAAATGTGATAGCAGAGATCCGTACACGGTTTCTCTTCTGAAGATCACCGGGGAGGGTGTTGTCCACAACTCTAAGTGTATTGTATGTACAGTTGGACTTGAGAAGATGTTCGTAAATTGTTTCACTCCGAAATTCAAACTTAATAAACTTATTTGATAATAATGCAAGGTCATTTGAATGATTTCTTCTTCTCTGTCTGCAGAGTAACTAAGAGGACATCAAGCTAGATTTATGTCATAGCTAGACAGATAGACGCCAGATGATAAAGGAGTGAGGGGGACCAACGTTCGTCGAGCAAACGAACCATCTCCGTCAAAAAGTTGAAAGACGTTGATATTGTCAATGTTGCCCAGCGTACTTATACCAATTTAGCGTTGCTTTTCTCTACTTATACCAAAGTTGCTCTCACTAGTCCCCGGTTGTACCATCGTTGCATCACTATTCTCTACGTATACCAACATTTTACCAACATTGTCTCATTATTCTGTACTTTTACCAACATTGTCTCACTATTCTGTACTTTTACCAACATTGTCTCACTATTCTCTACTCATACCAACATTGTCTCACTATTCTGTACTTTTACCAACATTGTCTCGCTATTCTCTACTCATACCAACGTTGTCTCACTATTCTCTACTCATACCAACATTGTCTCACTATTCTGTACTTTTACCAACGTTGTCTCACTATTCTCTACTCATACCAACATTGTCTCACTATTCTGTACTTTTACCAACATTGTCTCACTATTCTCTACTCATACCAACGTTGTCTCACTATTCTCTACTCATACCAACATTGTCTCACTATTCTGTACTTTTACCAACGTTGCTTCACTATTCTGTACTTATACCAACGTTTTCTCACTATTCTCTACTTTTACCAACGTTGTCTAACTATTCTCTACCTTTACCAACGCTGCCTCACTTTCTCCTACTTACAATCATAATTGTCACACTGAACTGAAGGTACCTTATCGTGAATCGCTGACTGATCGGATTACGTCAGAGGAATATCACGTGACTAGAAGGCTTCCACTGCCGTACGTAGTATGATTCTCAAACCCATCGTCAGACGCAGACCAAAGTGAAGTTCGTGCTCAATTTTAATCACCTCGGTCCTGGCAACGCTCTACAAAGCTGTTGCCGAAACGATTGTGTAATTTGTAATGGGTTATGAGGCTTGGACCTGACGGAAATGTCGTTGGGTTGTTTTAAGTAGTTTTTGATGAGAGATGTTATGACATTACATAGTACAATTCTCGCATCAATAGTTTCCCCTTCGGGCGTTTCTGCAGGCTACCATCCAAATGATTGATAGTAAACATACCTTTATCTCGTTATGGAGAATAATCCTTATCTCTCCACGAACCGAAATTCATCTTGAGGAGAAGTGACTTTCTAGAACAACGTGTTCGTAATATAAAAGCTTATCCTCGTCAGAACTCGATGTGCTGACGCAACTTGTGTGTTACGTCAGAGCTTTAAATTTCTGTGTATTGGAAAACGCGTTCGAACTGGAAATTCCGCAATTTGTTATTTTAAATAATTTATCACTAGATATTATACCTTCTACGAGCGTGAGAACCACACACTCGCAGTTTTCTTTGTTGATATAAAAACCATATGGCAAGTAGCCCAACATAGGATGTTATGCAAAATGCACGAAAAATTAATCTGTACGTTTTAAATGTTTTCATGCATATTTTAATGCGAAACACATGTGTCATGTGGTCATTCGAGGGTATATTTTGTTCCTGTCGTTGATGCATTTAAACCACAAGTAGTTTTCCAAGAAGAAGCATCGAACAAAACACGGACCTGTTTCACGACAGTCGATCGTTTTCGCTTTAACGTCCTGTTCTGTGAATTTATCCGGCAATATATGCTTTACGTATGCTGTCAATTTTGGTTTCGAAAGATAAGAGCATCGCTTTCATTTCCCCCAGAAACAACAGTAAGTGCTATTATTTCTCGACATTTTCTTTAGATTGTCCAATTTTGCTCGGTCAAATTTCCTATCAACTATATAGTGGAAAATGACCACTGGGTGTCTTCTAGTTTTTATGCGTCAACCAAATTATTCGGTAAGACTTTGCTGTAACCCTTCTTGCGTGGGTGCCTGGTTTTTGATCGCGCGGGAGGTCAGGTAACACACTTTTTGTATGTTACTCAAAGCAGTGGCAATGTATGAGATCGTGTACTTGCAAAGCAATTCTCGGGGATAAGGTGTTATATCTCCTTTAAGCCGATCAAGTGTTACTGCTTCCAAATCTCCTTTCGATGTCGTCCTATTTCTCATCGTCTAGCAAGATAAGCGCCATTAATTCGCGTTTTAGTAAAACAAAGCTAGATTTCGAGGAAGTTTTTGCTCAACAACTGGCTTAAAGAACCAAAATTATAAAATCGCCAAAGAACATTTGAGAAATCGCCAAAAAAATAAAAATTCGAGAAAGATCAAATATTATTGAACGACTGCTTATAAATAGCCAAGCATAATCGCATTAAACTAAATAAAAGAGATTTAATCAGTCTGGGCTCCTGAAGTTACAGTTATTTTAAATCCGTGCTTTCATCCAATTCATCAATATTGCGTAGTTCAAGGAGAATTCGGATTCTTCGGATAAAACATCTCGCGTGTCTTATGTAATCATTGATACACGATTATTTGTTTTGGACGGGGTGGAGTTAGATATTGGGAATGCAAAACTATTTAAGTCAAACAAAAAAAAAGCTGAAATATCGCTGTTTATATAAAAAGCAACTACCCACGCAAACCATTTCGTCGCATTCTCAGGACGATAACAGAACTTGCACGGGCATATTTTAGTTCAACATTTTGTCGAAAAGAAAACGAGGGGAGTGTGTGTGTGTAAGCGGGGGGGGGGAGGTACGAAAGCTGTCGCATGAACTCACACCAACATAGCATCATAAGTCCAGACATCGACAGAAATGACGATTTATCGTGCGCGAAACTCAGAATATTACGAGTACATCGATTAGCATTGACTGGCTTTTATAAAATCCATAGTTATCAATGTGTTTTATCCACTATCAGTTACTCGTTCGCCACCCACTTCGTCATCATGCATTTCGTTTGACATATTCATAATTATCGTGGAAATGTACATTTTTGTGTATTTAAGCCTAAATAACGTTCGAAGGATATATGCTGAACTGATTAACGGATTTGATTTGCCCGTGCACATCCTAAACATGAAAGCCAAACGCAGCATACCACAACAATGTTTGAAAAGAAAAATAAATTCTGATCTTATGATTTATCGATATGACACTCCATGCAGAAATTTTCAAGTATTTACAATCGCACCGGCTGTCTTCGGGAATCTTTAGTAGCCATCATCGAAAGTCAATACTGCGGACGCTACTTGATCAAATAAATCAAAGCAAATATTTAAAAACGTGATATGACTGGGTTTTAATCCTTTAAAGACGACTAAAGACTAGTAAAGCTCTGCAGCCAGACCACAGCAGTCCCCCTCGAGGAAAGAGGGTCAATTAAACTCGGAAAGTCCATTAATTACAGTGCTTCAGAGAAAGAAATCGCAGAAAAGGTAAAAAGAAAGACATTAACGTATTTAGGCTAAGTAAACATGGCGAATACAACCGTTATAACATATCACGAATAAAATCTTTTTCATGTTGGGACAGTCGTGGGCTTATTAAAACCTGCCCCAAATATACGTAAAACTAACCTTACCTTGAAGTTTTTTGATGCTTTTTTTAAAATCTCATCCGATGAAATCGACTTCGTATAACAATGCCTGGAAAGTTCGATCGATGAATTAAATACCAAGTTTATATGTGCAACTTTGAATTCGCTTCTTTACAGCTGAGGATCAATAATCCCCATTACTTTTTTTGTGGCGGATCTTAAGTCCCGTGATGGACGTTCGGTGTTCCTTGACCTCCAACATCGCAAAAATTTTACAGTTCTCAAAATACCAACGCGGTAAAACGAGCCACGAAGACCCACCACAGGCATTTTTCAATTCAAACGATGGCGAATGGCTAAATAGCTTCGTTACTTAACAATTATCAAGTTTAAATCCACGATTCTAAAAACCAATAATGTAAACAAAATTTCACGATTAATAGAATCGATTGCAACCATAATTTTGATAAATTGCAAACACTTCCTTTTATTACTAATTTAATTAACGAATAACAGAGAGTTCTTACAAGCCAGACTTGAAAACGATTTATTTACAATATACTTATACGTCGTTAACAGAATCACAAAATTCCTCTGAGAAATACTTTAGATCTAAAACCCACGAAAGTATTTAATTTTTAATACACCAAAGTTGTTGACAGAAAAACCGCATGACAGAAAAAAAGTTCTCCTTTTTAAAATCATTCACCATAAATGATTACTCCCACATATTTTCCCTCGGCGTAAAACAGCCGACTAATGAATATCGATTGATCACGATGAAAATCTAAATTACCATATTTCGCGTCCAGATTTAAGACTACTGGTGTTTAATCTGTTGATAACTGTGCTTATGCATGTCCAATATTGTCCAAACAAGATTAGGATAATACATCTCTCGAGACAAGCCAACTGATGTTTTCAAAAAAATTTCCTTCATAAAAATTTTTTATTGAAGTGGACTTCTTAAAATTTCCTTCATAAAATTTCCGTTTTGCATTTCGTATGTGAACAGGAAGTGGTCTGTTTGCTAAAGCTTAAGTGTACTACAGAGAAATTTTCGGTCATGTAGTTGTGAGCAGGACTACCGATCGACAATGTCGTTTGATTGGTTGAAATCACGATCCAATCATAAATTACATTAAAGTAAATGTAAATAAATTACATAAATTACATTATTGCGATTTGCAAACTTAACGAGTTGGCAAGTAAGTTTATAAGAGTTCTTCCTTAAATTAACGATCGCTTGAAATTTTAACCGAATCACAAATTACACATTTGCCATTTGTAAACTTAAAAGGTTTATAAGGAAGTTTATAAACCTTCTTCCTTCAACTGCACGTTTCATAATTACGAATGCCAGTCTGGGCTCTTAACAATTTAAGACGTTGAAGGACAACAGACTATACAAACAACGTTGGCGAACAATCATTTCGCACAAGGACACTATTTGTTTTCTGTGTGCTTTATTCAAGTGTCTGGGAAAATCCATCGAGCAACTTTATATGTGCGAAGAAAATCCTTTTTATGGGTTAATCAAGATTACATTAACTCAGACAACATGAAGCAACACTTAAGCAAAGATAGCTCAGCCGTATACTTGACGCGGAAAAAACATTTCCTTCATCTCAAGAGCGTATTTAGTTTGCCCATTCTTGCACCGGTAGTGCTTAATACGTTCAAAACACTTGGCTAGTTCTCGAGAGACGTTTAGGCGACAAAGTCTACACCGGCTTTCGCTTACAAAACATGACATAGCAATGACCAGGAAACTTAAGAATGCAACGGAAGACAGTTTCAAGAGTAACCACTTTAATTTAGATGTTGTGCTTTTACCGCTGCAAATGCTGCGCCACGCTACAACTCAATGCTCGTTGTAGCCAGCCGAAGCGTCATTTTTTTCTATTAATGACACACTTAGTTCCTATGATATCTACTATTGCGTCTATGTTTGCCTCCCTTTGCCTTGTGTAAAACTTTTGGGAAAGCAATTGAGCATGCGCACCTAACGATGCCTGGAACGAGTACGGTCATTATAGTTTCCATCTGTCAGCAGGATTCCACCAGGAACATTTCCAGAAGAAACTATACTTGATATATCGTGATGCATTTTGTCTTCCACGGAAGTAATATCGAATATAAGCAATTTACACAGCAGGACGCTAAATGTTCGCTGTCTGGTGATTCAACTTGCTCGAACATGAGATAAACACACATTAGTCAACAATGACCATACAAAATGTAGTTCCTCTATACAACATAAGAAATATAATGCAACAAGAGCTATCTTACCGTGACCGATTTTCTCTCACTCGTTCGACACCTCCAAAAAGGCTTGAAAATTTCATGACAGTAAGATGTTCATCTACCTAATCCATTTATACCACTTGCCATCTACAAAAAACTTGCATTTTTGTCCATTATACGTTGAAATTTTGAACTTTGTTGCCATACATTTACGAAATTCGCCATTATTCCATGCCGAACTTCGTGTAAATTTTATTTTTGAATACTAGTGCCAGACCTAATAAACTCTACTATACCGCTCGGTCTGTGACTCGGCGAAGCCACAAATACACAGAAAATATTTGAATATTGATTTACTAAAAAATGATTAATTTGAATTATTGTATACTTGAGGTTACTCATCCTTTATATCTTCTATAGCAAAATGTTGGACAAAAAATTTTTATTTGTAAAAGAGGAGAAAACAGGCGTAAACAAGAAAAAACCGATTGTCTTTCAATCCAAAAATATTTCATAATTTAATGACAAACCTTTCAACGAAACAAAAATAAACGCACAGTTATATTTACGAAAGTACACAGCTGGAATTCTCATTCATTCCGTTCAAATATGTTCTGACAAGTTCCTTAAACTTCTGCAAGTCTGCGCCAGGCAAAGAAAGTAATAATCAAGTATTGCAGTCAAAATGCATTCAACCCTAACGGACTTTGATCCGGAGATCCGGAGAAGCACATTTGAGCTTTTGAAAGATACTTTCAAAATTACATGGAAAAATCAAAAGTAATGTGAATTTTACTAACAAATTGGATCGAGAATATTATTGTTGTCGACGCACTCTGTGAAAATTCATAACACGTCTTTAATAATCAACACAAGTTGACATAAAGTTCGGTACTATCCCGATGTAACAAGGTTATGTTATACGACTGGAAAATTTTATTTACATTCCTTAATGGTACATGTTATTCCAAACATGAAATGTATGTTATTTCACAGTCGAAATGAATGCTGTAAGGTCAGAGGTGAGCTATATTACGAGCTTTTTGCAAGTAATCTGTTAACGGAAACTAGAGATGAGTTGCCTTCAATACACCCAAGGACTTAAAACGTCACGATACTCTTTGATGTCCCGCGCCAACTTGAGCAAGCGTGCGGGTACGGTAGACACACATGTGAACTAGCAAACTACTTTAAAAAACGCGAAAGATTAACTCTCATGTCTATGCTAAATCTTCAAATACTTATGAATTACCTATTGAAAGCATCATCACTGAATGCGTACTGAAATGATTTGATTTAGCAATAAACAAAGTGTGACTTTAAGATGTCGTTTCGCTTGCTGTAATATTTCAATGCCAGTGGGCGTCTCGTGCATGCCGAAGTTTCCGTTCGACAGTTTTACAATTAGAACCCGATGTCTCTGTGTTTGTTTAGTTTAAACCAAAAAAGTCACTTTAAATGTTACACAAATGTTAAATTACTTGTGCGAAATGCCTAAATGATTTACGAGAAATCAATTTTGGGATAAATGCCAAAAATGCACATATCTTTCTCACATTCCACATAGTCTGACTAATCCGTGCATCGAACAGAGAAATTAACGACCCTTTGCTGTCATTAATAGATAACATGGTCCTCAGGTTGCCCTAGATACACTCACAATTTGGTCGTAGAGAAACTGAAAAATATTTCCTTTGATCAACAACTATCATGAAATATTCGCTAGCATTTGTTGCAATGATCTGCAAGTGACAATATAATGTCTTATAGTGACAATTGAAGCGTTTAAGATGTATTTTATTTATAAAATTTTTTTAGTGTTGTTGTGTTTTAGTTTTAGGTTTACATGAAGTGTCAGGTAGCAAGATCAGACTAGGTCTAGTGAAATGATCTTTTTCCATCGATTACATAACAGTAAAATTGGCATTCAGGTGTACAAATACTTGAAGACAATAACACGAGTCGCCAATAATAATTCAGAGCAATAAGCTAAGCCAATATCATGTTTACTTATAAAATTATAACCTTTATCCCCGCCATGTCAATGTTATATGTTATGTGCTTGAAATGACCGCTGTCGAAGGAAAACTATGTTATTGCCTATTTACATGTAAAACAGCGAAATTTGGCACTTTCAATTAAGAAAACTAATTTTCAATATTTTTAGTTAAACTTTCCACCGATTGCTAAGCAAGTTAAAGTCAATGTCAGGCGTGTGGCTTCACACTTGAAACCCAAAGAAAGCTCTCTTTGTCATTTATGTAAATTTGTTGCGTTCAATTGTATGGGATTTCATGCTACCATTTCAGTCATAATGATAGCAAAAGCAACAAACGGTGGTTTTATCGTGTAAAATACGCAAATCGAACAAATGGCAACAACGAAAACCTTCAAGTTAAAAATTTTATAAAAGCTATTTATATTTATATTTGATTGAATTTGAAAAATTACTATAAGCTAATTATATACAAGATACAACAATATCACAGACAATATCATTTAATGGTCAATAATCATGACCTTGTAGTTCCAAAACCTTGGACTAGACAATTAATATAACCAGGATTTCAGGGACAGCGAAACCATTAAGAGATTTGTTATGATAGAAGAGGTCTTCAGCAAGCCCAGTTTAAATTGTTGGCCCTTCAGTGACACTTGATAGCACTTTCTCATCTGGTGCCAAGGAAAATCGAAAGGAAATTCCTTGTTTGCTTATCGATTAAAAACCCTTTATATTCGGTTTTGCATCATTTCGCGCACAAACAGAGGAGTTTTCTAAATTGAAATTATTTTAATCCCCAACGAAACTTGCTGGACAGCTTAGCTATTTTTTCCGGCGTTTAATAAAAATACTTTGTCTCAAATTTGCTCGCTTCTGCCTTCTAAATTCTCTAATTAATTCATTATGCATCTAAGAGTTAGCTAGCTTGAAAGATCCCAACACATAACAAACATTCTTTATTATAGAAAATGTTTATTATTTTAAATGGCTGTCGCTTTCGTTTATATGTCGCAGATCGTCACAAAGGTTTTCGTCCCGTTTCAAGCTGGAAAACAGACAAAACTTTTTTTCCGGAAAACGAAAAGCTAATTGCGCAGGGACCAAAACAAAGATATTGAATGAATGAATGAATGAAAGCGTGTGGCTAATGCATAAAAGTCGCACCGTTGGAAACCATAGACGTGGTTTTTAACCAGTGTATCGCCATATAGTACGGTTTCATTTTCTCGATAATATCCTGTCTTACGAGTTGTTGTGATTTTAACACTAACGTCTCTTGTTTTCGCATTAATTTCCTGTTGACTTTTATATTAAATCTAATCACTAAAGCGTTTGGCACCGTAATGTTCACCTCCTACATAAATGTGCCAAATGTGTATTGCTATACAAAAATTCAACAATTTTTTTGACCATTTATCATCAAATATGCTTGTTCGTCATGTGAGACAAAACACACTTACTAAATGATACGTCTGCTACCAGCACACCCACAATGAAAAGCATAAACTAACAAAAATATTTGGAATAGATTTATATCTTAGAATATCTCACTTGTTATTATGTAAGTCGATAGGGTCGTTTCCGATATTGAAAGAGAAGTATTTAAACGCCGGCATAGAAGCCTTCTGTCGTCTATAAGCTTGTTTTAACTTCAACACAATAACATTTCCTGCTTTTGTATTTAAGTAAGTTCCAAATTCATGTCACCTTAACTAATGAGTTAAGTTCATGCCAGTGTGCTCTTTTATTAGTCTTATACATAAGGTTAACTGTTATACTAAGGGATTTTAGAAGAAATAGATGCGGAAATGATTTCTCTACGCACTGACATAATCTCCATTGCTTTCAATAGTCCTCACAGTAACTTAATCTAAAAACACACGATCATCTAGCCTTTAATCATTAGTGTAATAATAACTGTTTAAAAAATTTGAATAAGGCAAAGAGCATCGTTTTGAGTTTGCTGGGGGGAGAACGTTGCCATGTCAACGAGGCGCTGATTGGCTAAATGAATAGCTAAGGTGCGATTTTCAATTGAAAATCACTAGCCTATTCATGCTCTATCTTTTTATTCGTTGTGCACTTTGCTCGCAATAGCTAACGATTTATCGCTCTCTACTGCCAAAGAGTGACAGATCAAACGACGCAATAAAATCTCTCGAAATAAAGTTTTCACGAGGTAGGGCTCGGTATAAATCATAAAAGTGGCAAGCACTGGCGACGCAATAGCACTCTCGTTGGCTCATTCATTCACTTCATGGGGATTTAAATTTAATGATGAATGATATTTTATTGACTGAACTCTTATCTTTTACATTCCAGGAGAACTTGAGCTTTGTCGACTTCGTGAGACATAAGATAGCACAACTAAATCGTTGGATTATTAATTCAGCTCTTAAGATCAAAAACATCGGTATGTAAAATTTGTAAATAAAGTTAGTAGCCACTTGTGAATGATAAATATATTGTATTACATTCGCGCGCAATGGATTTGGCACGAATTTTAGTTACTCATATGTCTTTTAACTTTGAACAGGTTTAAAACCAAAGATACAGTCATGGCAATGCAAATGGGATTCTCCCCCGAAGAGGTTTTTCATTATTCCTCACCACATATTACAGAATACGATAATGAAGTTTGCGAAGTAAATAGTATCGGCGTATCGTGTCCTATTCGCGATATCTGGATGAAATTTGAACTATTGACTCCGCCACTTTCTCCATGTCGGGATAGTAGTTGTGCATCATCTCCTGTGTGCCTAAGTTCGAGCTCCATTGACACATTACAATGTGTCACCGATATCATAGATGGGGATAACTGCCGAACATTTGTCGAGCTGGAGCACAATTGTGCCAACTTAACATCAAAACTCATTCAAGATTGCATGTGGGGAAGTCACTCATCGCAAGAAAAAAACAGCAGCAAACAAGTAGACAACGAGTACGACACCCCTTGCTCATCGCCTCCACCTTTCTATCCGATCGACACTGTTGGGGCAGAATGTGTAGACCCTACGTCCGTTTTCCCCCATCACATACACACCCAGGAATTCCCGAGTGGTGAATCATCTTCAGGTATTAAATTTTCGACAAGACCGTTATATTTTAAGTGACATTTTAACTGATAGTTTTTAATTCTTTTGCAGAGGAGGAAATTGATGTCGTCAGCGTAGAGAAGCCAGTCAAACGAAAATGCCCCGAACCTTGTAGCAATATCAATGTAAACAAAAACACAGTTAAAGCTCTTCGGAACAACATCCAACCGATCGCCAAACGTCCGAGAATGAATCTTAAACGACAACAACAAGCGAACAAAGAAAACAAAGTGGAAAGCGCACAGAAAAGACCTGACTTATCTATTCGGCTTAATGTAAAGGACAAGAGCACAGATGACCCGGAATGCAAGCGAAATGTTCACAATGTCCTTGAACGCAAGCGAAGAAACGATTTGAAGTACAGTTTTCAACTTCTACGCGACAGCATGCCTGAACTTAAAGGTTATGAACGAACCCCCAAAGTGGCAATACTAAGAAAAGCAACGGACTGTATATCAAAGCTAACTTCCGAACAGGAACGATTACTTGAAGACAAGACGATGCTCGAGAAACGAAAGCAGTCATTACATGAAAAGTTACGACGACTAAAGCAATTATCGTAGTTAAAACACGAACACGAAGGTATAATCCCCGAACAGTTGCTGTCTATACGTTAAAAAAGTTTTATATTTAAGTTAAAATATCACAGTTGTCTGGGCTTAATGCCAACATTTCCGTCTGTATTGGTCTGGTTTTTATCGAACTAAAACAGCAACTTCCGCTTTTTGCGTTCGTAAAACACCAAATATTATATTTACAGTCAGAATATAGGGATGCACTGCACAAAATAAGTAAAATACGTCGATTTTTTGGATGTATTTTGATGTTGGTCCTACGACAGTGATCAAGATCACCAACAGATTTGCATACTTGTTGAAAAAGCGCGCGAAAGATGTCATAAATTAGCATAGGTTATGTATCAATTACCGTGCTTCTTCTATCGAGAACATTGTATACACAATTTCTTATTTTTTGAAAATTAAGTATTTTACTAGCATATTTAAGTATTAAGTAATTTAACAAGCTCGTCCTCCGAGTTCTTTAAACTATATATTAATTTTGATAAGAAAGATACGTTGGCGTTTTTACCATGTAAACGGAGAACACGAATAATCACCGTGATTTCACATGTAACTTGTATCAAGCATAATTGCACGTTATTTGTTCGCGATACGGTACCTTTAAATATATTTAAGTTAAAATAGAGTTGGGTATGCATAATTATTGTAAAAGTAACATGAGTCCAGTATGTAAACGTTTATTAAACTTGACGATATCGTTATGCTTGTAACGTGCTATTTTTATACTGCTAGACGTTGAACATAGAAAATATATTTAATATCCGAAAAAATGTCTATCGATTTGTTTTAAGCCATCTATATCTCATAAGGATATTGGTTCTCGTGAAATGTCTGAAATACTTGTGAGATCAATCATTACGGATGTTTGCCCTTGAAATGCACCCACAATAGCAAGTTCAAATTACTAGATGGGATTTCTACACCTTCACCTTTAACCTTTTGATAAAGCATGCATTAAATTCTTGGTTAAACGTACTAAACCGCAAAATGCCCGCTTGATTCGGAAAATAACACAGGTCAAGTGCTTCGTTCTAATTGTTATCAGTTGGTATGAGATGTGAAATTAATTTGTTTCTTACGACGTGACTTTTACATTTTACTTCGCTATTTCTTGCCAAACATAACTCAATAATCCGGATGTATGTAGGCGGAACGGTTTGTTTGATATTTTGTTTATTGCGAGTTGAGAAGAAATCATGAACGAACGCTTCTATGTCATTTTACTTCAATTTTCCCTTCCCAGAAATTTTATCAAAGACGATAAGTGAAGTGAAAACGCTTTTTAATGGAAATGTCATGGGCGTTTCAAGCAAATTGTTCGGCCTATGGAAGCCAAGGCATAAATTAGCACATACGAGGCATCAAGCCGAGTTCTATATGGCTATTTACATTTACGTCATTTACACAAATCCTCGCGTTCAGTCTATTCATCCTTGGACAATCAAACGATAGAGCGTAGCACCTAATGAGATAGAAAGTAATTATGATTGACGCTAAACAATTCGTGAAAGCCTACAACAGAATAACACCTGAAAATTTGGCATGGTTGCAGCGTCTCATGTGTAATTAAGCACCCAATACCGCGTGCATTACACAATAAGATAATAGCTTCATTGTGTGCTTTCATCTCTTACAAAATCTTTCAACTTTATGACACTCCTACCACCTGGAATTATGATTAATGACTGTTTTGATAAAAGCGGTAGTGATACAAAAGCTCGCACACTTCAGCTATTTCGATGCGAGCTATAAATGACATTTAAAGTGTCTTGTGCAATATGAGGAAGATTAAATATCAATGAAAACGTTATTTGCATGCCTTCATTAATCCAAAAAACCTTAATAGAAGTAATTTTGATATAGTTTTGTCACTGTCACGATACAATTCTCAAAAATTTTGCTCGTAGACACTACACATTGTCATTAAAGCTGAGAATTCCGAATTCATATGCCGCGGGCGGTGTGATTTCCTACAAAAATTTCAAAACAGTCATTATCTGAGATTATTACCCGTAACAAAAATAACTTCGGGTTTTAACCAAACCGTTCTAAAGGGAAGCGAGCGATTAAATTGTCTGTATCTATTTAAGAAAAGTCTTACATGTTGATAGCACTTTTCTGAAACAGATGTGCAAACAATACACTTCTTTCACGAGAATAACACGTTGATCGCATCATGCCGATGCAGCTAATTAGCATAAAACGCGCATTAAAAATGTAGGCATATATATTGCATCGCACAAAATATGCATAAACGCCACTTGTTTTGAACAGCTGTTAAATTAGCAATTTGCTAATCTATTTGCAGGGATAGGAAATTACTTTGCTTAGTGCTTAACTTCTCGAAAATACGCTTTCTAACTCACTGTTGTGAAATTTTTAATTTCAATTTATGAAAATAAAACTCTAATAATTAGAATGTGAACACCACGGCATGATTCAAAGTGTCGGAGATATTCAACGTATGAAAAGATCCAACGTCATTATTGTATTTACTCCTGATTTACTCAAACCATCCAACGAAGGACGGTAGATTGGCGATTTTCCTGACCCCCAAAAAACCCCGCCCGAGTGATACCCACCAGATAACATTGAATAGCAATAATAATAAAAGTTTTTCTTAGGGATATTAATCACTTAAGGAGACTTTATTCAAGTTTACATAGTCTTGGCCTCAATACGGGAGCTTAAAGACTAAGTACTTTCTCTAAAATAAGAGTTTTCCCAATAACAGACGACGTCTGCATACAGCACATCGCCCAAGGCGTCTTGGTAAAGTCAATTCTTTCAGGCTGCCTTTCAAGGTATTAGAGACAGCCCCCAATAAAAATAGGAAGTATTGTTTTTTGATTTTCCGTAATTACAGTGCTCGATGCGTTAGAGCAGAGCGTAGATATTGTTAGGAAGAATATTCACAACACTGCGATTTCATCCCGACAAGCCTGTTTCGTGATTTCTCACTCTTCAGGCTTGTCGGGTCGGGGGGATAAAATTGTAGTTTTGTGAATTTTCTTCTTCCTAACAATAATTTATATAATATGTAAACACAATTACGTTGATTACACAATTTATCTCATTACAAACCACATGTATCAATCTATCTTTTAGAGTATTTAGCACTTGGCAGCATCGAGAGAAAATCGAGACAACGTTCAACGAGATATCCCACACGTCAGAAGTAGATTAGGAAAATAGGATGTCACAAAATTGGATGTTTTAAGAGAGGTATTAGCATGAAATGTATCACTTTCACGCATACCAACAGCGATGTGTGAACCAGGCGTTATCACTCACTTTGACATGCGGGAAAAATTTTTCTTCCTCATGGAATATTCTCGATCGTTATTTCGTTATTATAAAAGAAAGGCTTTTACAATTTCACACAAACACACTCATTTTTACAATGCAAATATACTTATTTATTAAATAAATTAAATGTCACATGGTGCTCTGGTGTTGCTTACTATTATTATATCACGTGTCTCTATCGTGCGATCACGTGTTTCCAACGCGTAATTGGAAGGAAACACGACTTATACAAAACATATAAAGATAAAAAATTACTATTCCATTCATAGTTACTTGATTGTCAAATCTAATTTGCTGTTTAAAACGACAAGCGTGATTATATGACGACGCAAATACCATCCAGTGATAACAAAATTAAAAATCTAGGAGTTTCACTCGAGGCTAACTACATCGCCTTTAATTAACTGAAATCTTTTCAAAACAATGTGCTTTGCGAATTGAAAAAGTTTCCGTGAACACGTGAACATCATGAGCCAGAAAAAATGGCCATTATAAGAATAAATAACATTTCCATTTTGCTCGTAGTCTTATTGAGCAAACAAGAAACGAAAGCGTCCGAATGGCGCACGAAAGTTTACGAGTTTAGTGCACGGCCTTTTGGGACGATAACATGGATGCCGGGAGTAAGGCCTCAAGTTCGTCCGCTGATCGGTATAAAAATGCAGCGGACTCACGATAACCATTGATCAGTTGACGTATCGCGGTAACGTCAGTCGTGTTGAGCTTAAACTCCGCGCCAACTCGCGCCCGAGCGGCAGCCAAAGATTCTACAAAATAATGTTTTAAACATAATATTGAATACATCGTTAAAGTTCATTTGAACGCGCATTTACACGATACGCATTTCCGTTTCAATACGGTTTGTAAAAAGAATGCCCAGTACGAAACAAAGAGTCTTAAGCCTGTTTTACACTAGACACGTATCGTAATGTATTGTAGCAAAACGGAGCATGGCGCATGCGTGCTTGTGCCTATTGACCATCAAATTCATAAGCACGCATGCGCAATGTTACGTTTTGCTACGATACGTTACGATACGTGGCTAGTGGAAAACAGGCTTAATTGACTGCACCTCGAGAAAATATTCACAAGCAAATACAGCATTCCTAAGTGCTTGCATGCACACATTGACAGCAAATCACAAGATGTTCATGAAATAGACAAGTAAATATAGGACAAACCTGGCTAAACAGCCTATTTTGCATCAGAGATTGGAGAAAACGTGTGATCACAAGCATCGCATTCAGAATCGGAAAATTAAATAATCGCCGCGGCGCTAAAGCGAGCATTTACGGTAAAGTGTGTTTTCAAGTGCGCAGGAAAGATGTGCGTTCACTAACCTGGTCCAACAGCAGCGAGAGGCAGTCGTGTTACGGAAGATACTGCAAATGATTTTGCTGATGATAAAGATGCATTCGACAAGGTGCTTGATGATACAGCATTTTGTGATGGTGCAGGCGAGGGTGTACGACCATTACCGACGGAAACTTGATGCTTGTTTACTGGTGAAGGAACAGGCGGAGCATAGAGTGCGCATGTCTCCATGGTCACCAAGACTTGCCTCGTTTGCACATGCAGATGCTAAAATATTCTAGAAAAAAAGTATTGTTTATGTGAAAAATAACTTTACAAGTGAGAGATGAAGAGGAAACATGGTTTTTAACTAGGCTCAGTATCCCTTTGCAAATTATAGGTCATCGGCACAATATGTAGGCCGAAGTACATTCCAATCATGCTTATGGTAAAAACCCACCAAATGAGGAAGAATTATTCATTATTTGAGAAATAAAAAACGTTTTTAGTCTTTGCCCTGGTTTACGTATGCAAACCGATGAGACCTTAGGGAGAACTTGAAGGCAGATCAGTGCAAGCCCGAGACCAAAGGTCGAGGCCAGAAAAATCTAAACAAATGTTAATTTTCCTCTAACATGTATTCATGATTGCCTTGCAAAGTCTCTTACATTGATTGAAATGATTGAGCTCGTACGTAGCTCAGCTATAGACCAATCAGCTCGTACGTAGCTCAGCTATAGACCAATCAGCGCACGCTTTGTATTGTTGTTATTCTATAATCTTTAACGACGACAAAAATATACTTCAACTACACGGGTAATGATCGAATATCCTCCTCATACACATGACTCGTTATCATAACGAAACATTAGTCACATAAAATAACGGTAAATTCGTAAACAGTAAGTCCTTGTGTCATTCAAATAGACAAAATATTATTTTAGAGCAGAAAGATGGATGTAATTTCAATTTGAAACCTCGCGCAAAAAAATTTAAGAAATGACTGAGAGTCGGTTTTGATCCAAACTGACTAAAGTTGCTAAATAAGCTTATCATAAAAACTTACATTCACTTCTTGCATTTGTGCTGACGACATTGAAGGAACAGAATTCTAAAAGAAACGATTATTTTTCAAATAAGTAGAAAATTTGTGGATGTCACGAAACGAGAAAATTTAAGAATTTTTTATAAAAATAGAAAATTTATGGACGTCTCAAACGAGAAGCTTTATAAAAAGAGGTATAAGCGTGTGTTTGGCAATGTCAACGACTTCAAAGCAAAGTCATATTTCCTCCTTAATTCATTCAAAGCCAAAGAGATTGGAGTTAGTGACATTACATAGTTGTTTCAAGCTTGACAAGTCCCACCCCAACCCACCCCCCCTCCACGGAGGGCTTTAAGGTTTTCATGGAACTTATAGAGAGGGGATTTACAAGCTTGACAAGTCCCCCACCCCCCTCCACGGAGGGCTTTAAGGTTTCCATGGAACTTATAGAGAGGGGATTTACAAGCTTGACAAATCCCACCTCCCCTCCACGGAGGGCTTTAAGGTTTCCATGGAACTTATATAGAGAGGGAAGTTCCATTCATAGTATTAGAAACGTTGAAAATGGAGGGGAGGGGGGAAGGGGGAGGTCATTGAAAAGAGGGGTTATTTGGCAAGGCAGGGATGAACAAAAAGACTACAACAAGGCTGCATAATATGGCAGACCACAGGGCCATAGGTCCCCGAAATTTTTTTTATGTCGACAAGAAAGAAAATTCGGTTCAAAGTACAAAAGTTAGAATTCCCAAAGAAAAACAAACTGGATTAATACTGAAAGCAAAAACAGAAAGGGAGAAAAAGCTTTAGGTATATACAGGCAAATTGTCTGCCTGACAGCAGTCTCAGCAATCAGAAAGTCAGAAGATTGTAAGAAAAAATCATCTTTGCAGTTCTTACAAGTCATTTCTCCAACTACTGCATTTAACAGCAGCGATTAATGCGTATGCTTTCATTCAAAAATTTGCTGAGAAAAAATTTCCACGAGGCGTTTTTTGGGCAAGAAAATATTTTCGCTGTCCTTGTGGTTCCAAAAAGTAAGATGTTTTATGCAGCCCTGAACTGAAGTCATTGGAAGAAGCAGACACTTACAATTTGATCAGCGGTTCGCCTCAACGGTTCATTGGGTTTTTTCATACGTCTACAAGATTTTAAATAAGTTCTGATTCTCTTTCTCGCACGATCATTGAACTCGGGGAACTGCCGCTGACAAGCACGAATGATGGCCAACACTTTGTCTTTCGGCTGTTTAGAAATAGGAACCAGTCTATCGAGGTTTTCGTCGACGAATAACCTCACAAACACATTAAAAGCTTTCAGTCGTTCAGGATTGACATTCTCCGGTACGGGTTTTTCTGGTTCACCTTCACCTTCGTCGCCTTCGTCATCATCCTCCTCTTCATCGTCTTTGTTATCTTTTCCCTGACGTCTACATGCTCGTCGCAGGCCCTGGTGTGGGAAGACACTTTTATGTTTATTGTTAAAGGTGCACGCAGGTTATAAATTAAGAGCGGTAGGGTGGGGAGGAGTTTGCGAGAAAAAAACTTCGGTCAGCTGGCTGTTTCCCAATAATAGCCAATCAGCGTTCAACGAACTGTTATATAGGGTTAAGTGCCAAAAATAGCTCACAATAACATTACACTTAGCTATATTTTTGACTGTACAAATGAAGACTGTACTCTAGAATCGAAGCCTGTCCAGTCTGCATACTTTACTTTACTCCCGCTTTGTAAATCCTGTAAGCTTACCATTATTCATTTCTTTAGAAATCTATTTCCTCACGGTCAGTGAACACAAAAATATTCGCGGAAGTAATAGTTGAAGATCGTCCAGGTTAGTGGAGTCCTGAGAAGGACTGTTGGTATTGATGTAGGCTGACGTTTCGACAACCTTAGCGGTAGTCATCTTCAGAGTCAAGCGAGGAGTAAACGTTAGGTTAGCCATAATTGTTATCTGGTTCTTACGTCATTGTACAGTGTGTACAGGAAATGTGTGGGTCTTGGGTGTTCAAGGGGGACTTAATTCTAAGTCCAGCGGGAACAAGACCAAAGTCTTTGCAGCGGTGGACTCTACAAATCTGGACGATCTTCATCCACAAACATGTTACGATACTACCGGGTTCAAACCATTTACTTTAGTAATAGCTGGGTCAGCTACGCTATTGCTTTAGAAAATTAATTGGGGGAGGGGAGAGAGGGGGAGATGGTCCCCATCCCTAACCAACATCATTGGCTTACAACAATACGATAAACCCGTTGATCACATTCGAAACAAATAAAATATATACATAGTACATTGTCGCACACACCCAAGACTTTGAAACCAATTTCGAGTGAAACAATTAGCTACCTTTTTAACGGAGTCCACATTACCGACGTTGAAAGATGTATCTTCGTTCTTGTCCACGTCACTTGTGTTCTCAGATAAAGGACTGGGAACTGGTGACGAAGACGTGCTTCGTGTTCCATTGGATACTAGTGGAGGCGGACCTCTTCTTGTAACACTACCGTTTTCTAGGAAATCATTAGAGTAAGTTGTTATTTGTTAATGAAAGGTTACAAGTAAACATAAAAGCAAAACAGGTCAGTAGCGTTGCCACGCGGGAATTTTGGTGTTAATATGTAAATATTTACATAACAAGACAAAACCTGTAGGCTGGCTACATCACTGACAGAGCAGTGCCATTTGCAAGATAGAATAACATGCCATTTTATTTTATCTGTGAATCCAAGCAATGAAATTCATTGTATTTTTCTGATAAATTGTTTCCTCATCCCAACTTAAGTATAACAAGTTATCAATGTAAGTGACAAGAGCATTCCAGACCATTTTATGGCAAAAAAAATTTAAAAAATAACCATTCAAACAATGTTGAAAACACACTAAAACCAGTGCTGTAGAAGTGGGGGCTTGGGAAGGAGCCCCTTCTACCTTTGAAATGGGTGATTTTTAAAAGGCACTATTGACAAAAATGTCAAGAGAGCCCCCCCCCCCTTCCCATCTGATAAATTTAGTTCTACAGCACTGACTAAAATATTTAAGGAAGGTAAAAGAATGTATTGTTTAGCAAGCTCAAAGTATCGATGACCTTGATGTACCTGTTTGGTGGTCAACTGAAGAATGGTGTACAGATTCAAATGATCAGAATGTTCTGACTCAATAAAGTTATTGTATATAACATGCCGAACAATTTTCATTAGTCATTAAGATTGTAGTTTTTCAAATACATAATGAACTTGACCTCAACCTTCCCTCTGGGCTAACCCTTAACAATACCAACAAATTATTGATGGCAAAAAACCCATTGATTGAGACATTTAAATCGGGTGACAGATAGTGTGTAACAACATAACTCAATTTCAAATGGAAACAACATTGGCTTCAAAAACCAACAATTGAACATTTGTTTGCAAAAAGTCAACAAATCAATTCCTACCAACGATACTTGCTCTTGATGGAAGTCTGAACTTATGACGTATCAAAAATTTCTCCACCCAACCACTGGATGCTTTAAAATCTGGACATTCATCCCGTACAAGTACAAGAGCCTGGGACTGAATAGATTCCCTTGTCACTGGTAAGCCACTTTTGCTTCTTTCTAGCACCCATTCAAGGAGTTGTTTGTCAGTTTCTGGTGAATAACTAAGACGTCTGCCACCACCTCCACCTCTTCTTCCTCTCGTGAGAGTCTTTCCTATCAAACTGCTGCTTGTATTGTTCATTCTCTTCATCTGAGATGATTGTGAAAGATCTATGTCTTGATTCATTTCCTCGGGCAAACAATCGCAATCTGACTTCACCATTTCTTTACCTAGGACATAAATAATTCAAAATGGAAAAACAAGCTTACAGACACGCTTGAAATCTTTAAAATGCCACTACTGAACTGAAAATATAACTGGATGGCTGCTCTTAAAGTGCCCCTCCAACAGAAAACTCTTTTATTTGTGATATCAAAACTAGTTGTAATGTCTAACATAACTAAGAAATAATTTTTCGATTTCGTCATGTTGTCTTCTTAAATTCTGATGTCATCTGAGGTAGTTGGTAAACATATCTCGTATTGACGAATTCTTTGCATGACGTCACAAAAGTCATTCCATACTATTTGAACGATGAACAAGGCTCATTAAAAGGAACATGTTGCCAACTTTAAACAGCAATAACAATGGAACAATTTGACAAAGTTAAAAACTTTTTTCCACTGATACATTTGAAATTACACTTAAAATGTAATATCATAAATAAAATTTTTTTTGCTAAAGTGGGCACTTTAAGTAAAAATTCCCATGCTTGCATGAACACAATCATATTTGGAGAAAAAATTATGGTCAACAGTCATAAGTAATGAACTTTAGCCATGCATGGAAGCTTGGGACAAATTGAATGACTGCCTTAAAAATATTGTTCAAGTTCAATGATTCAACTACATAAGGATTGTGGTTTCTTGACTATAATGCCAAAATTTGCAATGAGCCTTTAAATCCATTGAATCAAATAATAACTCTCTAATGCTCGATGTAACTAATATGTCACAATCAGGAAGCCAAATTCTTAGTTTTTGAGAGTTGATCTAAAATAAAACAACATCCTATGCTGCATACGATGAATTTGGGTAGATGTTGTGTCTCATTAGAAAGAGCAGATGCATTCAGTTACATAAATAAAGTATCAGGAGAGAGATATAAGAAAATTATACCAAAAGCTAACATACACTACGACTATAAACAATTGTACCTAGTCGTAAATACACTATGGTTGTTAAAAATTGTACCAAGGCTAATATACACTATGGTTGTTGACAATTGTACCTAGTCGTAAATACACTATGGTTGTTAAAAATTGTACTAAGGCTAATAAACACTATAGCTATAGACAATTGTACCAAGGCTAATATACACTATGATTGTTGGCAATTGTACCTAGTTGCAAATACACTACGGTTGTTAAAAATTGTACCTAGGCTAATATACACTATGGTTGTTGACAATTGTACCTAGTCGTAAATACACTACGGTTGTTAAAAATTATACCAAAGCTAATATACACTATGGTTGTTGACAATTGTACCTAGTCGTAAATACACTATGGTTGTTAAAAATTATACCAAAGCTAATATACACTATGGTTGTTGACAATTGTACCTAGTCATAAATACACTACAGTTGTTAAAAAGCTATCATAGGTCATAAAAAAAAATTCTGAAGATGATTATCGCTAAAGGTGTTGAAAAGTCAGTCAACAAAAACAAAAACAGTCCTTCTCAGGACTATACTAACCTTGATGATGTATATCTACATATACAAAATGGATGTTGAAAATAGCACCAAAGCTAATATACAGTATGGTTGTTGAAAATAGTACCAAAGTTAATATATGCTATGGTTGTGTACAGTTATACCAAAAGCAATAAATGCAATGGTTAATGGCTACATGGTTAATTTTCTCCTTACCATTTGGAACATACTCCGGATCGCCACTACCATTTTCCTGTTCACTACCTTCAGGACTTGTGTCAAATTTATCCAAAATATCCATGCTATTCTCATGAATATAGTCATTGTCCAAGACTTTCTCTCTCTTTACTCTTTTTCGAGCAGGCTCCTCAGTCTTTTTTGCATCAAAATCTTTTTCGTTGCTTGATACAGAACCTTCTCCATCAGTAAGGTCCTTAAAGAGAAGCATAACTTGTAGACGTATTGTGGTTTAAAAATAAAGGCTTCTCTTTACAATTACAGTTGAGATCAATGTGCTATATTAAAGTATACATGATGTTTCTATGATTTCGAAATGTAAACACACATTGATGATATTCACTGGGGAAACCAGTGATATTCAAAGTTCAAACCAGCATGGTATGAATGACAAAAAACAACAACCAACTTCAATCAACCATTGATAAATTATTGTAGTTGGTTCTTATAAACCATAGCAAAATATCACTTCAGCTCCTGATTATTGAGGAAATATAAGTATTTGCAAGTGTGAAAGTTAAAAATGATCGTTTATAAATTCATTAATAATCATAAGTCTAGCAAACTGCCAACCTCATTATTCCACCCAATTCCAAATATATTACACGGAACAGTTGGACGCATTTTAGAAATATAATACAGCGCACTGACTTTCATTCGTATTGAAAACGCAAAACATGGTCGTTAGACGGGATTAAAACGCTTATTACAAAAGGCAATAAATGCTTCCAGCACGCTGTCTTCAGTCTACGAAAACAATCAATGAACGCGCTATATAAAGAGGATGCTATTGTTCTATCACTCGGGTTCATCTGTCAAGGACAAAACGCATTTTAAAAGCAAAATATTTTTACTCCTTTTCGATAAAAACAAGAAAATACACGAAAATATTTATCCCCTTGCCTTATTCTCTACAAAACGAGAAAATATCACGCGAAACTAAGGCAAATTTCAGCACTGCAAGGCAGACATTCTCTTCAAAAATAACCGACACTGCCGATGGCATCATGAATACGACAGTTGGTCAAATGCTACAAGCAAAGTTTGTCGATTTATTTCGAAATAATTCTTCATTTGATCGACGATAAATAAATAAAGCTACCTTCGCTGTTTTCGGCCCTTTGAATAAACGTGCTCCATCACAGACGCTGCCATAAGTTGTACCAATTTTGTGTCTATCGACAATTCAAAGAGGGTCAGTGGACAAGGCCAGACCGCACCCTCGACGAAAACAGTATTGCTTCGCTTTAAAAGGCGCAAAAAGCAACAAATGAAAACGTTTCTTAGAAGATACCCTCTTTAATAAATGTGGACGTTAAGCAACAGCTCCTCGTCAGATTCAAGTCAAAATTACTTAAAATTCAACGAGGAAAAGCCCAACCGACGATCTGTCTTCCTTTTGTTGGTGCTAACGTCATCGACATATGATCACGTGAGCACCACACGGTCACCGGAAGTGGGAGAAACCATGGATAATGATGTCACATGATCATCTCCAAAACTTTGGACCAGCACTCGTTTTCAATAAAATATTCACAAAAACATTCCGAAAATGTATTTCTGCAAGAGCGCTTATAAATACACATTAAGTAGGAATAGAAAAAAATCAAAAACCAGACTGAGCATTTGTTAATATAACACCTGGGTAAGGAGGGCCATCTACCTAACCCCACGCACACACCAACCTTAATTCCTCGAAATATCTCTGTAAATTATCGTATAAATCATCACCTAACATACATAAAATATAAAATACAATTTCAAAAATGAAACATTGACTATACTAACCTCATTGTCACTGTCCACGTGGGTGGGAGGAACACCGTGTTTGATGAGGATAGAGTTGGAGGTCTGGATACGAAGTTTACAATGGTTACAGCTCATAAGATAGTAAGACACTGCCTCGCGCGGGAGAAACGAATACGTTTGAGCCACCTAAGCCAGAAAAAGTCCATAATATCGTCATGTTCGTAAAGGATTTTAATTTTGACGTCGTCACGAAACCTTCCGAATGTGAGCTTCCACTTTTAAAAGTTACGTGAGCTTCAACTTATGCTTCAGTATTGTACTCAATGCTTGTCAGCATCGACCGGGGGGAGGGATGGAGTGAACATAACCCCCGGCCAACCCTTACGGTCAAGATAACAGGAATATCAACAACGATTTATAGAAGAACAAATTTGACTATTCACCTTTGAAAGAAACGCATTTTCCTACATAACGATACACTTTTCTCTGAGTTCTGTCTTAGTTCGTCTACATTTATTTTTCTCAGATATAAAAGAAAATACCCTTCAACAAGTAAAATCAAACATTTCACTTCAATATGCTTCAAAATGGAGTTCATCGAATTAAAAACACTGACTTTCCTGGGCATACTTCTCTCTCATACATTACGTGGCGTAGTCAGCCTACAAGTTCTTCGTGCTGGGTAAATTTCTCTATGTTCACTAACTATGGAAACAATAGATTTCTAAAGAAAGCAAAATTGCTCTAATGATTTGAAATTATCACAACACGTCCAAACTTGCAGGCTAGCTATTTACCACTAATTTACATTACAAATGCATTCCTTTCTATATCAAAGATTTGAGTTTTATAGATTTTGACCGTTTTAAACAATTTTGAAATGATTTCAGTCCTGGAGTATCGTTACATTTTTGTATATGTAGATTGTCCAGGTTAGTACCAGTCCTGAGAAGGACTGTTGGTGGTGAGTGTTGACTGACGCTTCGACAACCTAAGCGGTAGTCCAGAGCGAACAACATCTACCGACATGTATTACACAATAGTGGGCTACGAGTCTACAGCATCGACTAAAAGAGATGGATTTACTCTATTTTTCAAACTGGAAAATTACCATTCGAAAAAGAACCCACTACTCAGAACAATTAAGCAAACATGACGATTTGAAAATTCCGATCGGCGTTTGTTGTATGAATAAAATAATTGC